AGTTATCATCCGATCTGTTTGAAATTGATATGCATGATTTAAATTAGTGAAACGAAGAATCCTATTGAAGTTCAGCAATTTCCTTTAATTACGCCATGAGTTATGGCCCTTGTTTCACTTTGTTGTACCTTGTGGTTGCTTTAACGACAAAAGTTATTATACTATCTGTATGAAATTTAAAGGTATCGTTTAAATTAGTAAAACAAACAAGCCTATTGAGTTTCAGCAAATTTCCATTAATTACATCTAGAGTTATGGCCCTTGTTTCACATTGTTGAATCTTGTGAACGCTTGAACGACAAAAGTTATCACCCAATCTGTATGAAATTCATATGCATCATTTAAATTAGTGAAATGAAGAAGCCTATTGAATGTCAGCAATTTCTGTCAATTACTTCTAGAGTTATGGCCCTTGTTCTACTTTGTTGAATCTTGTGAACGTTCGAACGACAAAAGTTATCATCCGATCTGTATGAAATTGATATGTATTATTTGAATTAGTAAAACGAAAAAGTCTGTCGAATTTCAATAATTTCTGTAGATTACTTCCTGAGTTACAGCCCTTGTTTTAGTTTTTAGAACCTTGTGAACCCTCAAACGACGAAAATTATAATGTCATCTGTATGAAGTTGTCTATTAAATGCCCCCTAATTACCTACAAAAGAACAAATATACGACAACTCTTGTCGACCGCTCGGACGATTTAGCTGCTGTGGGCGTATGTTTAGTTGCCTGGCAACCTATCTTTATATAATGTAGGCCCTATTTAGCTCAGGAATCCATAGCCCTAAAGCTAATTCAAGTATTCAATAGAATAACTTACCTCTATGACTGGTTGTGTTTCGTAGAGCTTAAACAAGATATCAGCTGCTGCAAAATTTCTAGAGCCTGTCTTACTAAGAGACACTGCAGGTTCGGTTCCAACATCTTCCTTCTGTATCTTCATCTGACATCTTAAAGTAAAAAAAGAGAGAAATGGGGATTAACACTCACACAAAACAAACCAACATTTTTGGACTGACACCCAGGAGGTTTGACTCAATGAAAGATCTTATGAGCTTGGACCACTCAACCACCCCTAAAAACAAAAGAAGAGTAACAAGCAAACTGAACATGGAGGCAATAGGAAAACAAGGGAGGTAATTGTGTTATTATTTCCTGTGTCAATGATTTTTAAGGGTGGGAAATAATGCCCATAGTCGTATAATAGTGAGTTGATAACCTATTGAGCAAAAGACATAGAAATAATTATGTTTTGACTTTCATAGAAAATATGAAATTCTGGCTTGAAGGCTAAGGCCAGGAAACACAGCCTAGGTCTTACAGTTAAGGCCGGAAGACGCAAGACTACAGTAGGTCTTAAGAGATTCAAGACTAGGTCTTAAGAGACACAAGACTAGGCCTTACAGTTGAGGCCAGAAGATACAAGACTAAGCCTTACAGTTGAGACCGGAAGACACAAGACTAGGCCTTAAGATTATGGCCGGGAGACCAGACTAGGCCTTAAGGCAACTTACCTGAATACACGATCATCATTGTCAAAAAACTCCCATTCCAACAACATATTGTTGACAAAACATGAATGTTGTAAAATATAGAAACCTTGAACTTTACGATCTACTATCCAACTGACGTCCTCAAAGACAACGATATCCTTGGCTGGTAGTGTTGATATAGGTTTTCGGGTCCATTGTAAGCGATGAAGATTCGAACAGTTATCTTCCAAAATGCAGTTGCCCTTGACACGAAAGTCGATAACATCTGTTGCTGCTTGGTCGTGTGGTTGAAGTTTACTGTGTTGGGGGAGGATGAACTCGGGGTCACAGTTCGTGAAACTTATCGGGCTTTAGAGTAAGCGTCTGCTTGGGCATCTGTTCGGTTCTCTGCTTCACCAATCATGATGAGATGACCAGCTAGATAGAGGTTACAGAAAATTTTCTCCTTTTCTATTTCTGTGTTCATGCTACGACGGTACAGACAAATGGCCGTCAATTTTACATCGTTGAAAATTCCATCCAAGACAGTAATGATGGATGCAGGATGCGTGGCACTGCTAAGTTCGTTCATTTTGACAAACTGTTCACGGAGATCAAATGCCCTAGGATTTGGTGCTGCCTTTACCAAAGTGCTCTGAACCTGTGCTTCTGCTTCTGTTATGACAGACTGTTCGACACCATCTAAGATGTTGCCATGTTCAACATTCATGGTGGTCAGTCGTTCAACCACCATATTATAACACAATGACTTAGCAGTTTTTTTGGAAACTGAAACACCTGCACCTTGTAGTATGTTGTCAATAAAGTACATTCCCTTATGATAAACTTTCCCTGATTCAGCTTTACAACTCTCTACATCATATCGACAACGGACTCGACATTTAGCCACAGAGGCCGCCAACTCCATTTTGCTGACTGAATTGGTTGAAGCATATTTAGGATTGGTTAGAATATCTTGGATCTGTTTCAAAATAGATGGTGGGGGTAACTCTGCAATTGTTTCTTTCTCCATCTTAGCAACGGTCGAGTTAAAATTCTCCAGTTTCTCCTTGATAACTTTTGGGGTCATATCATCCTGGTTCAAAATTTCAGTGACAGGAAGGGTACGATAAAGTTCCACCGCCTTCTTGAAACATGACAGTTTGATTTCTTTCTTGTTGATGCCGATAGCTCTGGCTAGGAACACACCACATCAAAAAATCTGGTCTAATTCCAACTTTAAAACTCATCAGAGAATTCTCAAACAACTAAAATGAAATAAAATAGGATTTAATGGGAAAGAGAGGAAAATGGGCTTTATTGTTCACTCGACACTAGGTCATTTCGGGACTAACATATAGTTCATTTTATTTCATTAGGGGTCTTTAGCAGTGGAAGGAAACCCTGAGGACATGGAGAAAACGCACGAGGTTGAACAGACGACCCTACTCCTTGTCACATACAAGCGGGTAATGACGCATTAACGCTTCGACCACCCAAACTCGCCCAACTGGTCTTATGTAGATGGGCAAATAAAAGAATTTTATACGTAATACATGCTTGAATAAAAATAAAAATAAAAATAAAGCAGAATCTGTGTTTTTAATGAGATTATTGTGAAAAATATTAAACATGCATTATGCAAGAGCTAAACCTGTCAATTTCAGGTCTTTCTTTAGGCCTGAAATCTTATCTAAATTATTAATTAGACATTAATTAACTTATCCAGACCATAATAAACTCCCGATGTCAAGGCTAGCCTTCGATGTCGACTGGATTACAATTCTATATGATGCTATCGCTCATTGATAATTAAATCACAACAATAGACAATCGAGACTATTAGTTTCGAGGCTAGGCGAAACTTTCATCCGCTTAGTTTTCGGTTCATAGTGGACCAATTTGACTGACATTTTTAGCAAATTCCCTTTACATTATGTAGTTTTTAACTATTATAGTGAGAACTGCTAACTCGTTATCTTATCTCCATCTCCCATAATGTATCTTTAATAAATAAAACCTCACCATAATTTCATTGATTACTTTTTTTTCACTTCGTAAAAACATTGAAAGTCGTCGAATTTTTTCTGCTAGCGGCAATTTTGTGGCATCGATTGGTTCTGGGTTGGGTGTTTTGTGTACAGCGGCAGCAGGCAGACCTTTGTTATCAATGGGGCGTGTCTGGCAGTCTGGTAATGTTTCCCATTTCTTCTCTGTAAATACACCATTAAAAAATGTAGTTTGTTAAAGCTGCATTTAGTAACTGTATTGAATAAACCATGACTAATATACCGGTGTATTAAATACAAGTTTTTTCACAGTTCATTTCTGATGACGTCTTGAAAAGTGTTCTCTTGTATTTATCAAGCCACAAACAAAATAAACTTCTAAATAACTTGTATTCTGAATATTGTTTAGTGCCCAGGTTCACTTTGCTCATTTCTGTTGATCAGCGGCTGGGGAGGGGGGGGGGGGAATAGGTTTTACATTTAGATTCAGAACGAACATGATTCTTCTACAGCCATCCTTTTTACAGTGGTTACAACTTAAACATACAGGTTTCAAGTTTAACTGACTACCATGACTAGAGAATAGAATAACGTGATTTATCAACGAATTAACAGAATTTTAAAACAAAATTAAAAGCTTTTGAGCAGTAGTACGGTAAAAATTATGTGTGTCAAAAAGATAAGCACCACCGTTTAAAATGAGGTCTGTTTGATATTTAACCATCAACAATAAACTCAGATGGTTTTTATTTGGAACCATGTAATATCCATCACAAAATACTTCCAGCATAAGTCTTGCCACTCCAAGAAGAATAGTGTCAGGTTCCTTTGGTACCATGGTACTAATCAAACAAGAGGTGTTGAGGACGTGAACCAAGTGAGAGAGGGGGGGGGGGTTTGGATGGCTGAATGGTTAGCGTGCGCGCGCTGTATCATAAAGTCTGTCATTGAGTCAACTGGCGTGGTTTCGAATCCCCGGTTGTACGTGACAAGGAGTAGGGTCGCCTGTCCAACCTCGTGGGTTTCCTCCGGGTCCTCCGGTTTCCTCCCACAGCTAAAGATCCCTACGCGCAAGCGAATTATGGAAATAAAATTGAACCATATGTTAGTCGAGTGGACGTTAAACCCCATTTCTCTCTCTCTCTCCAAGTGAGAGAGGGATACACATGACGATGGTTATCACTACTCTTGTCTGTAATCCTCATCCTTTTCCTGACCAGATCATCTAATGACTAATGGACTCCTATATTTTTCGAAATCCTCAATTAAAAAATATCTATTACTTAAATGACCAAATATTCCTGTCTTGTTTTACTTTAAGGTGGTCCTTAACCTTTTGTCAGTTGTATTTATTTTTATAACTTACTTGCACCACCGGCACTGTTTGCGGGAGTTCCAACACCTCCTATAGAATTCAACTCATTGTTAAAAATATAATTTGCGGGTCACGGAAAGATAACTCTGTTTGGAAACATGGTTTGGTGTGGAGGAGTAACCGAAGTTGGCCGAGTGAAATCTGCAGCCGGTTGCCGAGTGAAAAATAGAAAGTAACTCATTGAAGATCCAGTATTGTGCACAAAATTTACAATGGTAGGTAGTTTTCAGACGTCGTTTACTTGATATTGAGTTTTACTTCTTAGTATTCAGTTGCTAAACGACATAATGACTTAATTCTAATGCTCTATTATTATCGTTTCAGGCGAAACTAACAGAAGATCAAATCGCAGGTGAGTTAGAAGGGGTTTTGGTTGAGGAAATGGGCGGGGTCACCAAAGTTATACGGGGAAACTGTTCACCTGCCTGCATACTTTGAATTTTATGCTTGAATGATTTGAGGTTATTTTTATATATTTTGAATTTCAAGAACTAAGTGTAGTCCAATTTATTTATTTGATTTGGGTTTGTTTATTGTATTCTGACTTGATTAAAATTAGAATTGATGAAAGAATTCGGTGATTGTTAGTTGTCAACTTGACCAATCCCTAGCCTTCATACAAACAGAGTATATCCTTATATAGGCTTGTTGACTGTATTAATTGTCTATATAAATATTGTAATAACATGACAATAACCAGTTTCAATATACAATATTCTTTTAATCATGATGGATCAGTGAGAAAGATGGCACTCGTGAATCTGGTGCAGGATGTCCTGTATAAATTGGCGTGCATGTAAAAGATCCCTTGACAGTAATTGGAGTTCGATATAAGATTAGGCTGTAGTAGTAGTAGTAGTACCACTGTCAAGGCAAAATTTCCCTCATAGCACACTGTATGACGTATGCCGTCTCCATTATCCTAGTTGGAGCAGAAAAGTATGTTAAACCCCATTTCATTTTATATTTTTAATCATGAATTGAAATTGCCAATCTTATAAAAGTTTTCCTGCATTATCTCGCATCTATGGTAAAAAAGATACACAGCTAAAACCTAAAGAATATAAGTATCAATTGATTGAACTTAACAATCTCAACTTTTATTGTATTTGTTAGTTTTTCAAAATAATGAGGTAGTATATGTTAATATTGAGGGAGTACTGTCACTTGACTTGATGACAGGCCTTATACTTACACATGAGGTATGAAAACATGATGTAGAAAAAAATAATCATTTATTTTATTTTCAGATATTACTGACATATTTAATTTAATTTGATCAACGTGGTGATGGGAAAATAGCTGCGTCACAACTTGGTGATGTTTTACGCTCATTGGGTCAAAATCCTACAGAAGCAGAAATAAAAATTAATCATTTATTTTATTTTCAGATATTACTGAAACATTTAATTTATTTGATCAACGTGGTGATGGGAAAATAGCTGCGTCACAACTTGGTGATGTTTTACGCTCATTGGGTCAAAATCCTACAGAAGCAGAAATAAAAAAATGTGGCTTTGATAATAATCAAGGTAACATCATCTCTTCTTACTCAAAATACTATTCAACCTCGTGGGTTTTCTTTGGGTCCTCCGGTTTCCACCCATGGCTAAAGACCTTTACCTGCAAGGGTATTATTGAAATAAAATTAAACCATATGTTAGTACCGAAATGGCCTAGTTTGTGTCGAGTGGATGTTAAACCCCATTTCTCTTTAGCTCTATTCAAATTACTAGTTCTGTGTATAGCAATAAAATATGATACAGAGAGAGAGTGAAATGGGGTTTAACGTCCACTCACTAGATCATTTCGGGACTAACACATGGTTCAATTTTATTCCAATAATTTGATTTGTGCGTAGGGGTCTTTAGCAGTGGGAGATTAAAATAGCAGTGGGAGATATTTTAATCTGGATTACAAAATCTTTTTTATACATCAACATAATTGACATGAAGTCAAATATTGGTCGTCATCCCTGATATGGAAGCTAAAATTATCATTCGATGGTTCTAAGTTGTATACACCACGTTATTATCAATAAACAGCTAATTTTAAAGGAGATGGGTAGCAACAATAATGTGATATGAATATATATGAACTTATTTAGATTCAATCGTTTCTGTTTTCTTAATTTCAAATCATGTATGTTCGACGAAAACTGGATGCTCAGCATGTTTTTTAGAGCATTCTGTTGTTAATGACATTAACCAATGTATATTTAGTTTCCACCCAGATTAATCAAGGTATTGAGATGGTCCTTGTTAACCTATAGTGGACGTAAAAGGCCCTTTGGCAGTTGGTGGTGATTCAGTCGCTGTCTGTATTAACTAACCCAGTTCAGAGTAGAACAGTAGGACGTTAAACTCCATTTCATTTCGTCTTTATTAATCAGTCTTCGTTTGCCTGTTGATCCAGAATCGAAATCGTTGAATTCCATTTCGTGATATTGATTGTAAGTCTATAAATCATTGTTTTAATTTTGCCGATTTTGTTTCAGATGCTCGTATTTCATTTGAAATGTTTTTACCCATTCTACAAACAATTTGTAAAAATCGGCAAGTTCCATCATTTGAAGATTTTATAGAAGGTTTTAAAGTTTTTGATAAAGAGCAAAATGGTATGATGAGTTCGGCAGAATTACGACATATTCTGACATCACTAGGTAAGGCCCAATATATTGTAACATTTCTAAATCAGGTTTGATATATATTGGCGTCAATAGTGCAGGTAAGGGTCAGTATATTCTGACATCACTAGTACAGTTAAGGGTCAGTAAATTCTGACGTCACTAAGTAAGGTCAAAGATATGCCGATTTATATTCTAACTGGGGTTCTTAATCCATTTTTGTTCATCCAGATTTTCCGGCGTGGTTCCCCCTTGTCAGTGATGCAGGACGGAGGGCCTGACAAGGACAGCTGTCTAGTCCTTCGGATGAGACGAAAAACCGAGGTCCTGTGTATATTTTGGAATGCACGTAAAAGATCCCCTAGCAGTTGGAATTCGATATAAGAATAGGCGACAGTGCCGCTGCCTGGGCAAAATTTCCCTCATAGCACACTGTATGGCATATGCCCGTCTTCATTAGCCCAGTATAGGAGCAGAACAGTAGGAAGTTAAACCCCATTTCATTTCTTAATCCATTTAATAACAAACAGTCCAGAGGCCAGAATTGGGTCGTTTTGTTGTATTTAACATATCTACAAAAACCCTGTCAAAGCCTAACATTTACTTGATTTGATATTTGTTTGCATTGTTTACATTCCGTCTTGTCCGCAGATTTGTCTTGTAGATTTTTGTTTTGTGTGTAGTGGGGTCCTCCTGCACTTACTATATTTCATGATTTTGTCACAGTTGATAATACTGTCTCATTTATGAAATCGTGCAGGAGCCAGAGGGTTTAAGGAAATTCGAAAGCACACTTATGTGTGAATGATTGATATCTGTATATTTCTGTGTTTATAATTATACAACAGGTGATAAATTGAATGATGAAGAGGTGGATCAATTGTTTAACAGTCTGGAAGATGCTCAGGGCAATATCAATTACGAAGGTAGATATATTTATTACATCTAATCTGAAACAAAAGACAAAAATAGTGATTAACAAAACTAGGATAAATAGGACAAAGGGAAATAACTCCAGTCAGAAACAAATTAATGGCTATATCTTGCTGTGTAATATCAATGCCTTACTAACCAGGAGATCTTAGTTTCAATATCTGTGTTAGAGACGAAAAACTTCAAGGTATTTCATCATTTATTGCTTTCCCTTGTCACTGATGCAAGATGAAAGGCCATGATGCGAGTTAAACTGTCGTTCAGGTGTGACGAAAAACTGAGATCCTGTTTACCATTGGTGTGCAAATAAAATAGCCCTTGATAGTTGAAATTCTTTGAAGAAATGCTGCTGTCCTGGAAAAATTTCCCTCATAGCACACTGTATGCTGTATATCTGTCTTTATTAGCCTAGTCGGAGTAGAATAGTAGGACGCTAAACCCCATTTCATTTCTGATAAAGCAGTGTAGATTGATCCAACTAAACAGGGGGTGGCGGGCAAGTGGTCTAACTTATAAGCTTTAGGTCATTGTGTCTACTGGTGTCTGTTAGATTCTACACTTGTACGTGATGTGTAGGGTCGCTATGGGTTTTCTCTTATCATCTGGTTTTCTCCCGCAGCTAAAGACCCCTACTTCAAGCGATATATTGAAATAAAAGTGTACCATATGTTAGTCCCAAGATGATGATGATATTAATTGTGTTATATTTTTTTTTCAGAGTTAATCAAGATGGTAATGCCTGATAGAAATTAAACACCGTGTTCCGTTATCATCTTGTTATACGTCATTTAACTTCTCGTCTTATATTGTATATAATCTCTCTCTGGCTTTATATTTTATTATTTCATCCACTAATACGACTAATATCACCATACAGAATAAATAAAACACCTGTCGTAACATCTCAGGCTGGTCAGAATATAAAATAAAACCTCTCTCAGTGCATGGGTTAGTAGTTCTGATTTAAAATACATCACAATTTGAACCGTTTTAGGATTTGAAGAAAGACTGGTGTGGATTATTGGGGTGCCGATTCAACATTCATACATCAACTAGTTGAATTGTAACGATCAGGGCTATGGAACTAGAACACGTTTTGTCTGTGGTAGCTAACGGGCTTGGAAAACTGGTTAGAATTCGTACCACATTATGCTTACGTTAGTCATGCGCAGTAACTATCGTAACACTCGGTCGTTTAAAGAAATATCCAGTTTGTTGCGGAAGTTGGTGACCTGAGTATCTTGATGTTAAAAGGTCATGGTCTTCAAGGAGGGAGGTTAGGTCTGGGAGAGGGTTTATTTTTCTCTTGACTTGCAACGGACCAACTTGAAATATCCTTTTTACGCTTTATTAGTGCTTTCGTGAGAACATTGTATTCATTCCAGTTGTGGGAGGGGGAGGGGGGCGATGTAAGAGAATATTGTTTGGTCATGGGGCATTATAAAACACGTTGTTAGGGTTTTTGTTGCAGGGATAGGTGGGAAGGGGAGGGGGGTTCAATGAATGGTAATACTTATTGAAAGACAAACATTGTGTTATTTATAAAGATAAACAATGAAATAAATTGTATATTAGATATATATAAAACAGACTTGTAACCATGACACCATGATCTACAATAAACTGTCTACAAGTCAAAAATAATTCTCCGTCTTGTTTCTTGTGAGGTGATTGTAAGTGACAAGGAGTAGGGTCGCCTGTCCAGCCTCGTGGGTTTTCTCTGAGTCCTCCGGTTACCTTCCACTGCTAAAGACCCCTACGCGCAAGCAAATTAATGTAATAAAATTGAACCATATGTTAGTCTTGAAATGTCCTGGTGTGTGTCGAGTGGACACTATCTTTCCCATGTTAGTTTGAATTTATAGAAGTAGACCCGTCTACTACAAGATGATCGACACCCTGACATTGTAAGTCTTTTACACCACAGACATGGTGAAACCACGCCTGAAAATCGTGATACACCAGGATCTCCTGGTTGTTGGGCTGACACCTTACTCACGGATCCACTCGGACATACATGCTAAGAATCCCAATGGGGGTGAGAAGTACAAAGGCATTTTTGAGTCTGGTTTCCAATTTGGGGGGTTGGATGGCTGAATGGTTAGCGTGCGCGTGCTGTATCGTAAAGTCTGTCATTTAGTCGACTGGCATGGTTTTGAATCCCTGGTTGTACGTGACAAGGAGTAGGGTCGCCTGTCCAACCTCGTCAGTTTTCTCCAGGTCCTCTGGTTTCCTCCCACTGCTAAAGACTCCTACGCGCAAGCGAATTATTGAAATAAAATTAAACCATACATGTATGTTAGTCCCGAAATGAACTTTCTAGGCCAACACCAAGATCAAACACGGTACCTCCATGGTCAGATCTTCATGTTGTTTAGGCCATCGAAAGTATAAAAATAACAAAACAAAATTTCGATCTGTATGTTAATCAGATTGCATCCAGAATCCAATTTAGCACCCCTTACCTCCAATCTGACCATTATGGCACCCCTTACCTCCAATCTGACCATTATGGCACCCCCAACCTCCAATCTGACCATTATGGCACCCCCAACCTCCAATCTGACCATTATGGCACCCCCAACTCCAATCTGACCATTATGACACCCCCTACCTCCAATCTGACCATTATGGCACCCCCAACCTCCAATCTGACCATTATGGCACCCCCAACCTCCAATCTGACCATTATGGCACCCCCAACCTCCAATCTGCCCAATATGGCACCCCCCAACTCCAATCTGACCATTATGGCAACCTCCAATATGGCACCCTCCACCTCCAATCAACCCATTGTGGCACCCCACAACCTCCAATCAACCCATTGTGGCACCCCACAACCTCCAATCAACCCATTGTGGCACCCCCAACCTGTCCATTATGGCACCCCTTACCTCCAATCTGACCATTATGGCACCTCTTACCTCCAATCTGACCATTATGGCACCCCCAACCTCCAATCTGACCATTATGGCACCCCCAACCTTCAATCTGACCATTATGGCACCCCCAACTTCCAATCTGACCATTATGGCACCCCCAACCTCCAATCTGCCCAATATGGCACCCCCCCCCCCAACTCCAATCTGACCATTATGGCAACCTCCAATCTGCCCAATATGGCACCCTCCACCTCCAATCAACCCATTGTAGCACCCCACAACCTCCAATCAACCCATTGTGGCACCCCCAACCTCCAATCCGTCCATTACGGCACCTTCCACCTCCAATCAACCCATTATGGCACCCCAACCTCCAATCCATCCATTATGGCACCTCCAACCTCTAATCTGTCCATTATGGCACCCCCCGCCTCTAATCCGCCCATTATGGCACTCCCCACCTCCAATCCGCCCATTATCCCCCCCTCCAATCTACCTATTATGCCCCCCACCCCTGCTTCCAATCCACAGTGGACATACTAGGTGAATTTCGACCCCAATTGATTCGGCTAGTGTGTCCACTGCTTTAGATATGTGAAATATTAAAACATGTAGATCTATATAATATAAAAAGTTTATTGTGGTAGTTTTAAAATATCTATAAATCATTTAGTTACAATATTGGAATGTATAAAAAAAAATCAAATGATATGAATTAATAGTTGGATCATGATACACTTCACAAAATATTAAAATTCACCATCATGATGCTGTTACCAGGTAACAACATATCTTTATAATATTCTGTTCAAATTCAGGCTACAGTTGATGACAGCATCATTGTAAATTTCAAATGCAAAGTTAGAATCATATTTGAAGAGCCCCGTGGAAGAACGATCTATGTCACTTTTTCAACGAACCCCAGTAGTAGCAAATTGTATAAGCTTTCTGTGGAACAATCAATTTCAGGTAAAAACGGACAAATACGTCCATCGTACCCTTTACTTGACCTTAATTTGGCTGAAAAGTGGAAGTCAGTTGTTGTACTGGTAATTATGATTCGTATAAACATCATTTTAAAGTTGTAATTAAACCCACTCGTTGTTCTGTTAGCGTCAAGCATTCTCGTCCAAAAGTCTGCTTTGCATTTTATGCGAAAACACAAAAATGTGACTTAGATCGTTCTTCCCCTGGACTCTTCATTTCTAAATCGGTTAGTTTTAGGTTACTGTTGATGATAGCAAGGCTCCAAATTATAAATTTCAAACAAATAAAATCTAAATAATTATCCAGTTGACAAATTTCAATATTATTGTAATCATGATTTGGATTGTTTTTAGTTGAGGTTATAAAATGGCAAGCTAATGTTTAATATAATATAAAATGAATGTATATATACAAGTAACAAAAATAGGACAATATTTACACAGAGAGAGATAATTTATAATTCATCTCAACATCATAATTATCTTCTATATATACTGCACAAAACGATGAAACGTTGTATTATTACTGATGACCATAACAAGACGATTATTAAAAAAAAAATTCTACAGAAAATTTATACTTTTTAAAAAAATTAGCCTCTTTTTTTAAAGAAAGAGAATTTTTAAAAAAGTTGTATTAAATTCTGATGACTATGTTATTATTATTTGATATTAAAAAATATATATTAAGAAGAATTAACTTTTTAAAGTGTAAAGTTAATAAAATGATTTTATGCTTCATTTATTATGAAAATAAAAATGGTGATCATTCAAACCCTAAATTTTAAGTTACCTTTGATATTAAATAACGTTATTTCTCTAGAATAAAGCCCACATTTCAGTGTGAATTGGTTCCTTAGCTACACCCCCAGTGGCTACTGATTGGCAGGATTAGTTAGAATGAAATGCTGTCGATTTCAAAATGGCTGGCCAGTTTTACCAGTGATAAACGAAAGGGTAATCTTATCTCTGGGAACGATATTGAGGGGTGGAATGAATGTATTTGATTTTGAAAGTCCAGGAGATTCAGAACATAATTTCTCTCCCTAATTCTATATTACATGATAACAAAAATATCGGAATCATTACTGGAAGGATTGTGTTGATGAACAACTTTATATTTTATAGTCTATCTATTTACATATTGTGATATATATACATAATGATAATGTTAAAAACAAATAGATTTAAAATATACATCTCTTGTACAGAATAAGTATATTTATGTTTTTCTTAAAATTTAAAAAAGAATAAATATATGCTTTATATCTAGAAAAATTATGAGCACTTTTAAAAAAAAAAAAAAAAAAATTTCAAATATTTAAAAAGATATTCGTAAGATGTAATTTTACTAGAGAATTATCCATTATCAGTTAAAAAAAAAAAAAAGGAAATATTTAAAAATATTCGTAAGATGTAATTTTGCTAGAGAATTATCCATTATCAGTTATGATTTAACATGGTTTTAAAAAAAAAAAAAATCAAATATTTAAAATAATTCCTAAGACGTAATTTTGCTAGAGAATATAGACTACATGAACCATTCTTGTCTTTTGGTAACTTCACCGACGCCGGTTTCATTATACATGACGGCTGTATCCTGATTATCGGCTACGTCCGCGAACTTGGCTTCCTGCGTGTCGTAATCACCCTTATCTCTTCTACGACACAAGAAAACAATGAAGACTATCGCTAATATAAACACGAAGGCCAATATAGCTGAAAAAAAAACAACAAAAAACAGTTTGTATTATTACACAAAATAGAATAAAACATTTAAATAGACCTGTCTTAATTTGCCTGTTGCAAAGAAATCATAAAGTGTACAAGCTCAGGCATAATGGTCAAGCCGAGAAATGAACACTGGGGTTATATATCTTCTATTCAGCATTTTATCTTAGTTAAAATTTCGTGAAACAGGCCCCTGGATACTAGGGCCATGTATTAGACAGAACACCTGGTGACACATTTCAATTGAGGGGAGAGACACAAACTAAGTCATTTCGGGACTAACATATGGTTTAATTTTATTTCAATAATTCGCTTGCGCGTAGGGTTCTTTAGCAGTGGGAGGAAACGGAGGACCCGGAGAAAACCCACGAGGTTGGACTTCAATTGAGGGGATTACATATATAACGTTAAATGAAATGAAATGGGGTTTAATGTCCGACTAATCTTCATGCAAGTGTGCTAGGAGAGAAATTTTGTCCATGCCATGACAGACCTTTTGACCTAAAGCCCACATCTTAGACCATTCAGTCACCAAACCCCCCTGTGTTTAGTGGGGTAGTATTTTACCTCCTAGAATTGCTCGTTCCTCCGTTGTCATGCCTTCCTGTGGTACGTAGGGATACGTTACGTTGATATAATCTCCACCTTTAGGACGAGATTCAAATGGATCCCCAGGCTGAGTAACTTCTTCAAAACCACACATATCTTCCTTTACTTTACCTGGAATAAATAAATAAATAAATAAAAAAAAACCACACATATCTTCCTTTACCTGGAATAATAATAGTAAATAAAGCCCCCGAGCAATAAATAAATAAATAAATGATAACAGAAATTAAATGAAATGGAGTTTAACGTCCTACTGTTCTGCTCCGAACTGGGCTAATGAAGACGGGCATACGCCATACAGTGTGCTATGAGGGAAATTTTGCCTGGACAGCGGCACTATGGCCTACTCTTATATCGAATTCCAACTGCCAAGGGATCTTTTACGTGCACGCCAAGGATCTTTTACGTGCACGCCAATATGTACATGGGACCTCAGTTTTTCGTACCATCCAAACGACTAGACAGCTGTCCTTGTCAGGCCCTCCGTCCTGCATCACTGACAAGGGGAAACCAATAAATGATAGTATATGTTTAGTCGAATGGTCAGTTATAAAATGGTTATAATGTCGTCTTTTTGGAGAGAGAGGAATGGGGTTTAACGTCCACTTAACACAAACTAGGTCGTCACTTCAGTATTAACATATGTTAAATTTTAATTTTATTTAGCAGTGGGAGAAAACCGGAGGACCCGGAGAAAAACCACAAGGTTGGACAAGCAACCCTACTAATCGTCATGTACAATCGGGGAATCAAAACCACGCCAGTTGAATCAATGACAGGCCTTATGATACAATGTGCATGCGCTAACCATTTGGCCATCCATCCCCCCTGAAATGAAATGAAATTGAATTTTATGGTAGTTTCAATATCAATATATATAAAAAACAAGTTGTAAATACCTGGTGGAAATAGTCTTATAAAATCTGGCCGTGGATCTTGGAAGGCTCGTTTTAATGGAAAGATATTATCCACCTGAACACGGAATATACAACCTTCAAATCCTCTTGATGTTTCCGTTGTATCTAAAATAATTAAAATGATATCAATACACAGTGTTGCTTCACTATAAAATATTCATGTATCTGTAAATTATTCTTAAAAAAACCCAGCACCTTCTGGGTTCATTTTCAATTTGCTGGTTTCCTTTAAGAGAGAGAGAGAGAGAAATGGGGTTTAAAATCCACTCGACACAAACTAGGTCATTTCGGGACTAATATATGGTTCAATTTTATTTCAATAATTCGTTTGCGCATAAGGGTCTTTAGCAGTGGGAGGAAACCGGAGGACCCGGAGAAAACCCAGGAGGTTGGACAGGCAACCCTACTCCTTTTCACGTACAACTGGGGAATCGAAACCCGGCCAGTTGACTCAATGACAGACTTTATGATACAGCGCGCGCCTGCTAACCATTCAGCCATCTCCATCCCCCCCCCCCCCGGTTTCCTTTAAGCCTATTTGTTAACCAGGACACAGAAGGTCCTAGAATGCTAGGGGTAATTCGGAACGGAAGGTCTCAGAACACTGAAAATTAACAGGATTTGTAGTCTTATGACTCCAATGCTTCACACTTAATATTAAAATCATCTAACCTCTATTGCATTCACAAGATTTCAGAAAAAGGGGGGGGGGGGGTAACTCAGGAAATGGAAAGTATTAATGCTCTCATGATCCCATAGTATCGGTCACCGAAAACCTCCTAATCTTCAACGTACAGAGGGTCTGGAACCGTTGTCAATAATTGACGAAAAGTTCAATTGCCCATGAGTAACAGTGAGTTTGTTTTTATATGTGGTTGATTATCCAGTATCTTTGGCCAAGTCAAGTAAGAGTTGCACCCCTTCCCGCAATAAATCCCATAATTCTTGTATTAATATAAACAAACATGAATTGTGACGACGAATTAGGATTAATTAAAGAAACATAGATATGGCTCATGAAGAGAGAAATTTTACAGTATAAAAATAAGAGTGTTGGATACTAAACTGGCAATGCAATCAAATGGATTTTCTGAAATGACATTATTAAATTAATTTCATGGGTGCCAATATCTGGTTTTAGGACTAGTTACCTCCCTTAGACTTTGTTTATGATTATATGAAAGACCGGCTAATCTAGACAATAACATACTCTTCTCAAAAGTTGACAACGCATCCAGACTAATATTCGTAGAATATTTTTCTGGATGATAGAGACTATAATGAACCCAGTGCCCTATACCAAATTTTTATAAAAATCTGTAAAACATAGCCTCTATTGCATTTCGAAACAAATTGTTTAAGGACGGTAGGACAAGAGTGACACTTTACGGCCACACAGAAATTTGTAAAAACTAGAATTTAAATACTTACCATTATTGCCAATAAAGAGATATTTAGGATTATCTAAAATGGTATCACTAGAATCTGAGATATCAAAAGTCTTCACACCTGGTGCATAATTATCTACCTGTAAAATAGAAATAAATTAAATTAATTGCCAAGGTGTTAGCTAATATTAAAAAATTAGTGGATATATACTTAAAGAGAGAGAAATGAGGTTGAATGCCCACTCGACACAAGGTGATTTCGGAACTAGCATAAGCTTCAATTTTATTTCCATAATTCTCCTGCGCGTAGGGGTCTTTAGCATTGGGAGGAAACCGGAAGAACCCACAGAAAACCCACGAGGTTGGACAGGTGACCCTACTCCTTGTCACGTACAACTGGGGAATTGAAACCACGCCAGTTGTCTCAATGACAGACCTTATGAAACAACTCGCACAGGCTAACCATTCGACCATACAACTTCCCCTTAATAGGGTTGATAAGGTTGGGAGTTTAGATTCTAAGCCAATAAACATTACTATAACAGCAATTCTTGAGTCGACTTTCTGTTCACACATTGCGGAAGCAGCGACTCCTGTGAAACTGATTAGTCTAGTCCACCTGCGATTTCTATTATACTCCAGGCCCCAGCAACTATACTCCAGGCAATAACTTGCATTTTATTTGCAACTAAGCTTCTTTTGGTGAACGTAAACAAAGAAGCAAGGACAGGTATGTAAACTGTTTTTTGATTGGTTCGTAGAATCAAGCTACGATCGAGGGCAAATAATTTGACTTCATGAAAACCCTGTGGATGGACCTAGAGATTAGTGGAGTAGAATGGATACTGAGAATGACTCTTATTTTTCAAATTCCAACTGATTACTCTGGTTGAAAGCGGGAGCCACGATACGCTGGCTCGCTAGTCTGGAGGTCGGGTGTTCGATCCCTGCATTGGCCGAGAAAGTTCATCCAGACATTCCGGCGTGGTTTCACCTTGTCAGTGATGCAGGACGGGGGGCCTGACAAGGACAGCTGTCTAGTCATTCAGATGAGACGAAAAACCGAGGTCCCGTGTACACATTGGCGTGCACGTAAAAGATCCCTTGACAGTTGGAATTCGATATATAACAGTAAGCCGTAGTGCCACTGTCCGGGCAAAATTTCCATCATAGCACACTGTATCGCGTATGCCCGTCTTCATTAGCCAAGTATAGGAGCAGAACAGTAGAACATTAAACCCCATTTCATTTCATTTATTTCTGGTTGAATGCGATGACCGTTAAATTAAATGCGTACCTGTACAGTTATTTTCTTTCCCTTATTGCTGCGTCTGACGATAACTTCATGTTGCTGTCCGTTACAATAATCTATACCCTGATTAGGTGTGTTTACTTCTTCTCTCTGAAATCCTACATCAATAGCCACACGTACACCACCTGATATAACAAAATAAAGCCCTTAATAATACTCTTATATCGATAGATAGAGAGATGGGGTTTATCTAACGTTCACTTTAACTGGTTCAAACAAGGTCATTTTAGGACTAATATACAGTACCATTTTATTTCAATAATTTTCTTGTGCTGAGGGGTCTTTAGCAGTGGAAGAAAACCCTACTCACTGCCACATACAAACTTAAGATCGGAAATCTTGCCATTTGCGCAATGACAGACCTGTGATCTAAAGTGCATGTATTACTAATACTATTAGGCCACTCGGCCACCAAACCCACTCACACATCTTCCCCTCCCCTTAACTTCATCAGAGATATATACAATAAAATAGTTCAGTTCTATCCAGTTAAACATACATTATAGGAGATTAGATAAAGAGTTGGCAGTTCTCACTAAAATAGTTAAAAACTAGATAATGTAAAGGCAATTAGCTGACAATTTCGGTCAAATTGATCCAGTCTGAGCCAAGAATTTAGCAATTGAATTTTGGGCCTAGCCTTGATCATAATTACTGAAGTCGGTACGATAAAAAACCTAGTCTTGATTATCCATTTTTTGATTTAATCATGAATGAGCATTGAGCAGCAGATTGGATCCTAGTCCAGTAAATATCACAGGCTAGCGATGACATTGAGAGTTGATTATGGTCTGGATAGAGAGAGAGAGAGAGTGAAAAATGGTGTTTAACGTCAACTCGACACAAACTAGGTATTTTCAGGACTAACATATGGTTTAATTTTATTTCAATAATTCGCTTGCGCATAGGGGTCTTTAGCAGTGGGAGGAAACCGGAGGAACCGGAGAAAACCCACGAGAGATGATTATGGTCTGGATAAGTTAATTAATGTCTAATTAATAGTTTATATAACAATTCAGGCCTAAAGAAAGACCTGCAATAAGCAGATTTACCTCTTGTATAATGTATAATGTTTAACTTACCGTTATTATTGACCTCTACAGAGATATATTCGGTATTCTCTTCATTACGAAGCTGTAGTAAGATCCCTTGTTTCAACTTCGTAGAGAAACCAACTCGAGCAAACTGGAAGTCGGAAGCCGACAGACCCTGGATGTCATCAAATTCATATTTCACCTGGAAACTGGTCTGAAGATTTATACCCACCTCTGGAAAATACAACAATATGACTTTTTATAGCGAGAAAAATTTAACGTCCACTCAACACATTTTGGGACTAACATATGGTACAATTTTATTTCAATAATGCACTTGTACGTAGGGTTCTTTAGCTGTGGAGGAAATCAGAGGACCCGGAGAAAACCCACGGGATAGACAGATGACTCTACCCCTTTGTCACATACAAAGAGAGAGAGAGAGATATGGGGTTTAATGTCCACTTAACACAAACTAGGTCATCTCGGGACTAACATATAGTTCAATTTTATTTCAATAATTTGCATGCGTGTAGGGGCCTTCAGCAGTGAGAAAAAAACGGATGACCCGGATAAAACCCATGGATTGGACAGGTAGTCCTTGTCACATACAACCGGAGAATCGAAACCACGCCAGTTGACTCAATAACAGACCTTATGATACAATGCACATGTGCTAATCATTCTATTTGACGATCCCCCCCCCCCTCCTCCTCCCTTGTCACAATAACACCACTTGACTCAAGGACAGATCTTATGATCTGAAGTGCACTTGCTAGACCACTCAGCCACCCCTACCCCCCACCCCCCATCCCCCAGTTAACCAAATAACAACTGATCTTGAGTGTCACCAAGTAAAAATTAAGAGAAGAAAAAATAAAGCCCATACCTCGACCACACATCCAGCCTCTAAATGGTGTATATGAACAATCACATTCATAGCCCGAATACCCTTCTTGACACGTTCCTCCGTTAAAACATGGATTACTCATACATTTACCAACACAACCTGCACAAATAAACATTTCAAAACATCACAAAATATCTAGCTATAGACATTAAACTTTAACCGGTCATTGCCGACTATATTCACCATAACGTTATACAGCTAAGTGGTCACGGTCGACCACAGCAAGAACCTTTTTTATAAGCCGCATTTGAGTATTTAGTTTCATATTTAATTGATATCGCCACGCATGGGTGTCAGACAGGAACCTGTCTTGTCAATGGCATTGAGAAAAACATGTCTTTGTTCAACATTTTTTGACAAGAAACGTAATTTAACGATGTCAGGAAGGTTCAAGATTCTCATAGTGGTTGAAATGCTTATGAATGATTATGACTCGGATTATATCGATGACACCAATTCTGAAGACAATATTTCTGAGGAAAATGATTTAGAATGATTTGCAAATTATAGATCAATTTATCCCTTTCAACTTTTTTATTGGTGTTAAGAGTGTATCACTTATAATTATCCGGCAGTAGTCGATTGAAATAGTCATACAAAATATTTCACTTTAGCCTTTATTTAGCCTGACCACTTGACGTCATGACGTCGACCGGTTAAGGGTTAAAGTCAGGGGCATGAATACTGATTTTGCCCGTGAACTGAGTCGATTTGTATCCTAACTAAAGGCCGATTTATTCTCCGTTCAAAAATTGATCATGCAAAGACTTCGCGATGCTAAAACTTGGGCGCAAGCTGGGCTTTGAAAAACGCAAAGGCTTCGGACATGGATTGAAAGTAACACCAATCATATAATCTGTATATTTCTATCTGCTATTATTGTTGCAAGTTCTCCCACGACCATTGTTTAGTTGGCATAGTTACTTATTTTTCTAGTCTGAACTAGTCTGTGATTGTGTCCCATCACATGACTTTCGGCTTGGAAAAACTCATTTAGGATATGCTTTTAATATACAGTGATCAAATTTTCTGGACCCGTTATTAAAGTAAACAAGGGATTTTTCGCACAATCAGGGGCCATAATTCAGGAAGTTACAATCTGATATGCGCGAATATCAAAAGGAACCACGATCTTTGGGTTATATACATGCATTTCAAGTTTCAACAAAATCAGATGAAAACTGTGATCTCTAGAGTGTCCACCAGCCAAAAACGTGATTTTTCGTACAATCAGGGCAATAATCCATGAACTGAGATCTTTGGGAGATAGACCTATATTTAATGTTTCGTCAAAATCGGATAAAAATTGTGACCTGTACAGTGTCCACAAACAAATTGTGGACGGACGGACAGGGGTGCGTGCATAATACGTCCGCATGAAAATGTTTTCCCAGCAGTGTCCATAAAATCTTTAAAAACAATGTATTATTAACAAGTACATGTTTAATACTCACCAACCGACACACCATAAGTTACCTCCCCTCGTTCAACCATTCCCTTCAAATCTAACAATCTACCATTGACACGTAATCCTCTGATACAACCAACGTAACCATCAGTATTACCAACACTGGATCCTGATAAAATTATAAACATATATATTGTAACTTGACTATTCCTTTGAACTCTTTTATTAGTCGCATCTCACTTCTGATTTCCAAGGCATTTTAGTCCAACCCTTGACTCTCATAATTATATCATACCATAAGAGAGAGAGAGAAAGAAATGGGGTTTAACGTCAACCCGACACAAACTAGGTCATTTCTGGACTAACATATAGTTCAACTGCACGCAGGGGTCTTTAACAGTGGGAGGAAACTGGAGGACCCAGAGAAAACCCACGAGGTTTTCAAGACTAACATAAGGTTCTATTTTATTTGATTAATTCGCTTGCACGTAGGGGTCTTTAGCAGTGGGAGGAAACCGAAGGTCCAGAAAAAACCCACAAAGTGACCCTACTAATTGCCATGTACAGTTCATGTTCCTGAAGCAATGACTGCGAGTTTCACAGCATCTGGCCGTTGCTTGTTTACTTCACAATTCCCGAACTTATAACCACGTTATCTACAGACAGGTGAGCAGTAGCATTCAATCAGAGGTTGTGACATTGCGCCCTCCACGGAAACCTTGACATTGAATGAACCTTGAACTTTGCAACTCGATTATCACAGAAGTAGACATTTTAGCTTGAAACACTGAGACTTGGTATTCGCGACGATCGAGGAATTTGATAGGCTCACAAGTTGGGCTTGTAACCAATCGAAATTAGCGCTGAAATATGTAGGGTATTACGTGAAGGCCTTGATAAGATGTACGTAGTTAAAGCGAGAGAAACTAAATACGAACCTACGACAAGTCGAGAGGTCAAATCCAACATTCGAATCAAATCAGAATCTTCATTTGTAATTTTTTCCGGCTGGTCGTCAATTCTCATCCAAGCTTGTTTACGATTATGTTCCACATGAACTGTGTGCCATGTATCGTCGTTGAGAGGTCCGGGAGATTTGTACGATAATACGACCACGCCATTTCCCACGTTATAACGGAACTGTATCGTGTCCATTTCTAAAAACAAAACAACCAGACAAACTCTCATATTATTTTCAAAACAAGCAGAAGTTAAGATTTAGTTTGTACCATAACTTTTTGTCAAAGGAGCAGAAAATTAAAACTTGTACTATGGAGAATGAAATGAAATGGGGTTTAACATCCTATACTGTTCTGCTCCGACTGGGCTAATGAAGATGGGATTACGTCATACAGTGTGCTATGAGGGAAGGTATTCACAAACAGCTATGCTACGTTCGTCTCTTATTACGAATTCCAACTGTCAAGAGATCTTTTACATGTACATCAATATCTCTTCATTTTTCGGAAAATATCAAATTTTCTGCAGCTTAATCCATATTTTGTAAGCATACTCAAACTAATTTTTTAACATTTTAATTAAGAAATCAAAATATAACAGATTAAAATGAGGCCCATCAAAAGATTCTGTAAAAATCATAGACAGCACTGGCTTATACTGACTATCCGATATAATCGGGGGGGTCAATAATGTCAACAACAAACTTTGGTCATTTCGAGACTAACATATGGTTTATATAGGTTGATAATTTTGCTTGCTAAGCTGCATTTCTTTAAAGAAATTGAAACTGCAAAGGGATCTTATACAAGTCTGGACATAAGACACCCATCACAGACTTCATCAGTCTCAAATTATCACATAACATATATGTTATGCACGCCTGGAAATAAGGCACCTGTCACAGACAGACACCTGTCATGGACAATGTCAGGCACAGATTCAGGCTTTGTCAGGCACAAAAACTATGGTATCTGTCATTTTGTCCGGCACTGATTTGTTTTTTTTTTATTGATATTATTAATACATGTCCGGCACTAAGTTGAAAATGTCAGGTACTATTTCATTAGTGCCTGACCTTTTGTCAGGTACATCTAAAACTGTTATTTCCAGGCCTGTTGTTATGTGATAATCTTGTCGGACAAAGTCCGTGACCAGTGTATTATGTCCAAGCTTGTATATATATGTTATGTAATAATTTGTGTTGAGGTGTTCAAGCTTGATTGTAAAGAAAGTCGAGTAAAAGATAAATTTCTTACGGAAAAGTCTGACTTCTATAAAATCGACGGGTCCAGTATTGTGAATCATTATTCCATCTGAAGTTGTGGTTCGGAACTGGAACCAAATATCTCCGGCATTATCCGCTTCAAATGTTGCAAACTCGATCGTTGCATCAGCTTTACGGAATGTCACCACATTATCGAATAAATCTGAAATGGTTGTTAGCAATTAGAATCATCTACGATATCAAGACTTTCCACTCGAAACAAACTAGGTTGGGACTAACATATGATTCATTGTTATTTCAATAATTCGCCTGCACGTACGGGTCTTTAGCAGTGGGAGGAAACCAGAGGACCAAGAGAAAAGCCAGGAGGTTGAACGAACGACCTTGTCATGTACAAGCAGGGAATTGAAACAACACGCTTGGTGGTTCTTTAACCAAAATGTTAGACAGGCGACCATAATGTCAGTAGAGTTATTCTACGTCGACACACCTCTTGTTCACCCAACCCCAAATTCCACTTTAACAACATCATCAAATTGATATGGACTACGCTTGATCACCCATCAACAAACTCTAGTTTAACCCCAATATCAAACCATCATCAACACATCTCAATCACTCAACCCCAAACTTAGACTTAAACCCCATAATCACCCATCACCCAACTCAAGTTTAACCCAACAATCCACCCATCAAACTTAAAGGACCTAAGTTCGTAACTCAAAATCCTCCAAAATCTTCGACATCGAAAACACGAATTATTGGTCAATTTAAATCAACATTGATGATGTAAACTTACCGGGAAAAGATGAGCTTCTGATATCCGATATTTAAGATAAAATAATTTTTTTAACATTGGTACACGAATCGTGTACCATAATGCGCTTCAGCCCCAGTTGTATTGAGAGACTCGAGGGACGAGGCTAGACACATTGCACCAAATCAAATGGAGTTATGTAGACTAGAATAACTAGACGCTAGAAATTTGCACTCGATTGAGATTGCCGACTTATTTCACCGAACATAACTGATTTGAAATTGGAGTAAAAACGGAAACCATTAAATGTAAATCAGTTTATATACATTCATATTACAGTATTATATGTCTTGCGACCCACTTTTGTGAATTTCTAGGTCCCAAATGTTAGCTCCTTTAAGTTTAACCCCACAATCAAATTGTCGTGAACACCACCTCTATTACCCAACCCCAAACTTCACTTTAACCCCATTATCAAATTGTCGTGAACACCCCTCGATTACCCAACATCACAATTAAATTGTACTCACCATCTCCAGTACATTCTAACTCTCCGACGCGATGGTGAGCGACCTTCCGATCTGTCACGGACCCTGTATCACCGAAATGTAGTTCTATCACGGGAAGATAATCTTTATGCACCAGATAACCTTTGTCCGATTTCTCCGTCTCCAGACCAGCATCACAGTTACACGTCGTACTTCCAGACTCGCAACCCTTCTCCTGTAGACCACACAAACATTTACCGGAACCCGGGGCCGCTCCTCCCCAATAATACATAGGTTGATACGTTCGTCCTACCCACCATCCGTATGATCGAGGTAGATTACTGATAACAGGTGTGTTAATATTTATAGTATTATCTTGATTATTACTGTTGGCCGCTGAAATATAAAATAGTAGGAAATGAAATAAAAAGAGAGAGAAATGGGGGTTTAACGTCCACTCGACACAAACTAGGTCATTTCGGGACTAACACATGGTTTAATTTTATTTCAATAATTCGCTTGCGCGTAAGGGGTCTTTAGTAGTGGGAGGAAACCGGAGGACCCGGAGAAAACCCACGAGGTTGGACAGACGACCCTACTACTTGTCACGTACAACCGGGGATTCGAAACCACGCCAGTCGACTCAATGACAGACTTTATGATACAGCGCGCGCACGCTAACCATTCAGCCATCCAACCCCCCGGTCAGGAAAAGAGAATGTCAGGCAACTAATCAGGCGACTAGCCTACATCCTGTTCTTTGGACAATCGTCAACAGCAAAATGAAATGAAATGGGGTTTAACGTCCTACTGTTCGGCTCCGACTAGGTTAATGAAGACGGGCATACGCCATACAGTGTGCTATAAGGGAAATTTTGCCCGGACAGCGGAAATACGGCCTACGCTTATATCGAATTCCAACTGTCAAGGGATCTTTAATGTGCATGGCAAGGTGTATACAGGATTTCGGCTTTTTGTCCCATCTGAATGGCTAGACAGCTGTCATTGTCAGGCCCTCTATCCTGCACCATTGACAAGGAACTTTCTCAACCAACACCGGGAGCGAACCCACGACCTCCAGGCCAGCGTTTTACCCACTTAGCCAACGTGGTTCCAAATATCAAGAAAGAAACCATCAGGGCTATAGTGGAATATAGAGAGAGAAGAAAAGACCTGCAATAGGTAGATTTAGCTCTTGTATAATGTATGTTTAAATATAAGTATAAATATAAGAGAAAGAAACTTACTTAAAGGTAACAATAATCGTGAATTGTTACAGATATACTCAATATATTGTTGACACGACTGGGCACGCTCAATAACATCCGTTAATTCTGGTAGATCTGTCACGTAATTAAGCATACGAATATACGAGCCCGGTTCCTGGTAGCCATTTACAGTGATCAGATTCTGACTGTCGTGAGAAATGTACGTTATTGTTTTACCATCCGCTGTTGAAATAAAAACAAAATCATATCATGCTACAGTTCTAATGATAATTCTAATGATAATCTAAATGACAGTTCTAATGACAGTTCTAATGATAATCTAAATGACAGTTCTAATGATAACTTAAATAACAGTTCTAATGATAATCTAAATGACAGTTCTAATGATAACTTAAATAACAGTTCTAATGATAATCTAAATGACAGTTCTAATGATAACTTAAATAACAGTTCTAATGATAATCTAAATGACAGTTCTAATTACAATTCTAATGATAATCTAAATGACAGTTCTAAAATAACTGTTCTAATGAAAGTTTATATGACAACTCATATTACAGTTCAAAATGACATCATGCTACAATTCAAAATGACCATTCTAATGACAGTTCAGATACCAGTTCAAAAAGACAATTCTAATGTAAATTTAAAATAACCGCTCTAATGCTAGTTCAAAAAGACAATTCTAATGAAAGTTCGAAATGTCTGTTGTGCGAACAGTTTAAATCCCCAACAGCTTAAAATGACCGTTGTAATGACCGTTTACATCACTGTTTTAAAAACAGCTCTAAATGAACGTTCTTATGACAGCTTAAACAGTAGCAATTTTTAGTAATAACTATATTTATGAGGCTAAAACAATTTGACGTTTAGTTCTTTGGCATCTAGATCAGTGTTTGATCATTTCAAAATATGGAGCCAAAAGCTTTTGAAAAGGGCAACAACTCCCATAAGAAATATGTATCGAACTTATTATAGAACTTCCAGAAGAACTCTATTCAAATTGGGGTGGTTTGAGTTATTATTGACCTACCTGTTTCACATTTTACTGGGAAAGGTTTGAGTGGACCGGAACCATCGGGGTCTATAATCGCTTCTTCCATTCCTTCGATGTTAGAATACAGTTTAAACATGGCACATGACACAGGATAAGCAGCTAAAATACATCAAGTTATGGCACATGATACATGGATAAAAAATAAGGTCAGAAGGTTAAAGAAATGAAATGAAACGGGGTTTAACGTCCTATTGTTTTACATCAATTGGGCTAAGAAAGATGGGCATACAGTGTGCTATGAACGACATTTTGCCCAGACAGCAGCGCTACAGCTTACTTTTATTGATTTTCAACACACTAATGTGCCTATATCTTGTCCCTTGCCAGCCCATCGGTCCTGCACCACTGACATGGGGGAACCATGTGGAAAAATCCTGATGAAATTTCTGAATCAACACAGGGATTGAATACAGGACCTCTGGGTTAGCAAGCCAACGTCTTACTCAAACAGTGAATCCCTTAAAATAACAAGAGATAACTCAACACAAACTAGGTCATTTCGGGACTAACACATGGTTCAATTTCATTTCAATAACTCGCGTCCTCGTAGGGATCTTTAGCAGTGAGAGGAAAGTGGTGAACCCGGAGAAAACCCACGAGGTTGGACAGGCAACCCTACTCCTTGTCACGTACAACCGGGGATTCGAAACCATGGCAGTTGACGCAATGACAGAACTTATAATACAACGCGCACATGCTAACCATTCGGCCATCTAACTCCGTAATAAAATAACAGGTGAGTAGATTAATGAAACAGATGTTTTCAAAACGAAGGGTATCGAAACCACGCCATTTGACTTAGCCCCATTCAGTCACCCACCCCAACCCCCCTTATCCGACATCACATGGTTCAATTTTATTTCAATAATTCGCTTGCGCGTAGGGGTATTTAGCAATGGGAGGTAACCAGAGGACCCGGAGAAAACCCCTGAGGTTGTCCGAAATCAACATACATATATGACACATAGCTCCCTTGTATCCGGTACCGTCACAGCGACAGTAGAAATTATTCCAATCCTGGAAACAAAATCCGCCATGTTCACAGGGGTTAGGAGTACATCTGAAATATAATAAACAAACTATGATTATATGTACGTGAAATAAAATGGGGTTTAACATCCTACTGTTCTGTTCCAACTGGGCTAATAAAGTCGGGCATACGCAATACAATGAGGGAAATTTTTCCTATGGCCTACTCTTATATCGAATTCCAAATGTCAAGGGATCTTTTATGTGCATGTCAATGTATATACAGGACCTTGGTTTTTAGTCACATCTGAATGACTATACAGCTGTCCTTGTCAGGCCCTCCGTCCTGCATCACTGACAAGGGGAAACCACGTCAGAAAATCCTGATGAACTTTCTCTGCCAATGCAGGGATTGAAAACAGGACCTCCAGGCCTCCTTTTTGATATAAAACACGTTGGAAAATCCTCCACAATTTATCTGTGAAATATTCTGAAGTTGAACAAATTGTATTACCTGTCTCGGATGCCACATGTACCGATCGTAGCTTTTACAATCGCATCGGAGCTCAGTTCCTCTATTTCTACTTTACGAGCGGAAACTTCTAAATTTCTGATACATCCCAGGAATCCTGTGTTTAACTTGTACGCACCTGTCGAATAAATCAAATAAATTAAAGATACATTATGTAAGATTTAGATAAAGAGCTGACAATTCTTGTTATAATAGCTCAAAAAATAGATAATGTAAAATGAAAATATCATTCAAATTACTTCGTTCTGAGCCAAGTTATCACTGTTTGTAGTTTTGTCAAGATGTGTGCACAGTGATAACCAGGGCACTGTTATATTCAGAGACTTAGCCTCGTTTTCCCATTTTTAAATTAAATTTTCAAATGGCGAACCATTCTAATCTAGTTAAAATCTTGAGTATCCGATGCCATCGAGAGTTGATTATGGTCTTGTTTTGTTAATAAATATCTAATTAATAGTTTATATAACATTTCAGGCCTAAAGATAGACTTGCAATAGACAGATTTAGCTCTTGTATAATGCATGTTTAAATAATCAATTGAGTACACATTAGCATGGATTAAGTCATAAAAAATTGATATTTTTCAAAAAGTATAATCAACACACGTAGAGCCTCTAAATAGAAACTTCCACAAAATACGCGTCAATCTAAAATTTAATTTTTTCTCATGTAGCTAATGCTAGGTTCTTTCTATCACGATTCGAGCTGTGATTGAAATTGTGGTTTTATTCGCGGAGTAATCATGGTGATCCTATCAGGTCAGTTGTAGCAATCGTGTTGATTGTATCGAAACGTATACGAACGTATCTGCACGTACCAGATCGTGGACTAGATAGGGACAATCCTATGAATATACAACAAAAACTATACCTATGTAGTAAGTGTTTCCTGACTGGATGTCGAGGACTCTATTTGATACCTTGACGTTCCTGTCTACTGTACAATTGACTTTTGTTCGATCAATGTGGAGGGAGAAAGAATGCCAAAGACCGTCTGTAAAACTTCTTGTGGTACTTAAAACATCAGCTGAAAATATATTTTATATCGGGGAATGAAAAACAAAGCAGGTTTCAAAAATATGTTGGGTATTTTTCAAAGGATACTGACCACATGGGGTGCGATGCATGACAAGGAACACATGAAGTGGACATGATGTGAAATGCATGACAAGCTGACGCATGACATGAGATACATAATGGGGTCCATCAAATGGACACAAAACCAGACCCAACTTTTCTAGAGTAATCAGTTGGCCGTTGGGGCATTTTCGAGATATTCGGGGTCAAAGGTCAAATGGGTTCATTTGCATTGAAAGTGAATGCGCAGTCATTCTTATATCATGAAAATAAGCTGATAATGATCAAAAGTAATCACACTTTCAATAAAAAATGTAAACTTGCTAAATTCACCTTTGTTCTTTGTGACCCCCAGAGGTCAAAAGGTCACATTTCCGTTTTAACACTAGCAAGATTTAAAGTAATAATTTAAGTGTCAGCGTAAAATACAAAAACCAAAGCGAAACCTGTTCTAATTAAAAATAGGAAAATTTAAAATTTATCTTTAGACATCTCAGCAACCCCAACTCCATTTTACATATGGGAGTCATGGTGACTCAGTGAGTAAGAAACTAGCTTGCTTAAAGGAAGTCCAAGGTTCGATCAATTTCTGTCCAAATAAAAAAAAAAAGCGATGTACTCACTGTTTCTCACGACGTCCTCAATAACTTGAAATGAGGTGGAAACGATTTTATAGGAAATGAAACCGTTTTCATCCAGCTGAACCTGTAATATATAAAAATATAACATCAGCCGGATTTATAAACAAACATCTATAATAGAAATATGTAGAGAAGCTACCCTTATAACCAGCTTCTCTACTCATTTCGTCGTCTTCCTGAACCCTTTATGTATCACTGAGATCCAAGTTCAGATGTCCTCCTATTACTTGTCTCACGGGGGGGGGGGGGGGGGGGGGGGGGGGGGGGGGATGGCTAAATGGTTAGCGTGCGCGCGCTGTATCATAAAGTCTGTCATTGAGTCGACTGGTGTGGTTTCGAATCCCCGGTTGTACGTGACAAGGAGTAGGGTCGCCTGTCCAACCTCGTGGGTTTTCTCCAGGTCCTCCCACTGCTAAAGACCCCTACGCGCAAGCGAATTATGTAAATAAAATTAAACCATGTTAGTCCCGAAATGACCTAGTTTGTGTCGAGTGGACGTTAAACCCCATTTCTCTTGCTCTCTCTCGTTTTGAGATGTGTATATTAGAACTTACCGAGACATAACTACCAACTGCATTGCACGGATGATAAACCAATAAACCATTTGTATCGTGGGTTCGGAACTCAAACGCCACACGAATCGGCTCCGTCGATGATCCAGGAACAATCAACTGAGATTCCGAACTTGGGAAAGAAATAGGAATATCTGAACTAATCTGAAAAACAAAATACACAGAAAAAGATTATTTTGAATTAATTTCATGTTTTCAGGGGGGAGGTTGGGGGGGGGGGGGGGAGTGGGGTATGAGAGGTACGTGTGATGGCTCAGTGATGTATTGGTGCTGGCCAACTAACAAGATCCGGGGTTTGATCCTGGGTGTTGGCTCAGATTTCCCAGTCTGCTTTCCCTTTCAAGGGACTGGCAAGGAACAGAGTCTAATCATTTGGATGGGACAAAAACCCTTAACAGTTGTAATTGACAGTTGTCCAAGGAATTACAGTCTGATATGCGCCAATGTTGAAAGGAATTGAGATCTTTGGGTTTGAAACATATGTTTTAAGTTTCATTGAAATCGGATAAAACTTGTGACCTCTAGAGTGTCCACAAGCTAAAGACATAATTTTTTGCACAATCAGGGGCCATAATCCATGAAGTTACAGTCAGATAAATGCCAATATCTCAGAAACCAAAAACTTTGGGAGATAAACCTATATTTCAAGTCTCATCAAATTCGGATAAAAATTGTGACCTGTAGAGTGTCCACAAACAAAATGTGAACGGATGGACATGCAGGGGTGAAGACAATATACATCCACATGAAAATGTTAGAATTTCTTAAAATAACTTACACCACAATTAAATCCAACTGTTCCTTCACGAGTTATCATCGGTGATTCACCCAGATGAGCATCAACCAATAATTTACCTCCGTTAAAATCTACATTTTCTATACAACCAATGAAATTATACTTGACTTCAATACCATCCAGGGTAAAGTATGGAACACCACCAATATAAATCTGTAATTATAGTGAGATATTATACAAGTATGAATATTAAACATACATTATGCAAGAGCTAAATCTGTCTATTGCAGATCTTTCATTATGCCTGAAATGTTATCTAAATTATTAATTAGACATTAATTAACTTATCCAGACCATAATCTTGATGTCATCTTATGTGTCGGGTTTTCACTGGACTTGAATCCGATCTGCTGCTCGAGATTATGTTTTTTACCATACCGACTTTAGTAATGATGATCGAGGCTAGTCGAAAATTCAATCGCTAAATTCTTGGTTCAGAGTGGATCAATTTGACTGAAATTTTCAGCAAATTCCTTTTAAATTATCGAGTTTTTAACTATTATAGTGACAACTGCCAGCTCTTTATCTAATCTCCCATAATGCTGTTTATTCATTTTTTACAGTGTTTATACATTAAGTCAGTTTATGTGGTCTGTGGCATTTCATTACCATATAAAAGATACTTGAAATACAGATATTACGTCACCCCTTGTGTGGGCGTACAAATATTTCAAAAAATGTACAGGCAATGTGCCAAGCGTACATTATTTATACTAAATAAAATATTAGACTCGGTTGGCGATTTCATTAAAATGCATGTGTGGGATAGTGTCTGTATTTTTAGTTGTTTAATGACCTTGACCAAGACATTTTGTAATATATTGAGACAACACTCGGCCTGATGTCCTTGTACAGTATAATACAGAGAGAGAGAGAGAAATGGGGTTTAACGTCCACTCGACACAAACTAGGTCATTTCGGGACTAACATATGGTTTAATTTTATTTCAATAATTCGCTTGCGCTAGGGGTCTTTAGTAGTGGGAAGAAACCCGAGGACCCAGAGAAAACCCACGAGGTTGGACAGGCGACCCTACTCCTTGTCATGTACAACCGAGGATTCGAAACCACGCCAGTTGACTCAATGACAGACTTTATGATACAGCGCGCGCACGCTAACCATTCAGCCATCCAACCCACCCAGTATAATACAATAATCTGATTAAAACACAGATCCTATTTCGTTTTGTTTTTTATAGTTCAAACTTTCGTTTTACTTGTCTTTACTACACTAGGATCTGGAATAGTTGTTATCCTTGACATGTTCTAGATGAAGTGAGGGATTAGCCCATGAAACGGTCTGTTACGGTGAGTTCTTAGCGTGCGATGCACGGAACTGTGGGTAAACCACTAGAAATGTCAATGCTGATTGATTAAGCAAACTTCTGAAGTCATAGGGTCAAAAGCTGCTCGTATGACCTCTGACGCGACCTCCCAAAACAACAGGTCAGATCTTCATGTAGTGTGGACGTAGTGTAGGCCATAAAAATATTATAATGCAATAAAATAAACAAAAATCTGAAATTACTTACAAATTTATCGAGATCCAATCTATAAAACAATCCTTCTGTTCGGACTTCATTAACCAGACGATCCACAACGACTGTCAACTCATGTTTCTGTCGTCGGATAACGACGTCATGCCAGTTGTGGTCATCCAATAAACTGCCACCAACAACAACAGTTCTACCTCGGCTGAGTTGTGTAGAACCTGAATGTATAGACAATTGGAAACAGAAACTGCATATAGAGGGTATATTACCGACGTCTTCCCCGAGTATAAAATGAAATGAAATGGGGTTTAAAGTCCTACTGTTTTACTCCGAACTGGGATAATGAAGACAAGCATACCCCATAAAGTTTGCTATGAGGGAAATTTTGCCCGGATAACGGAACTACGGCCTACTCTTATTTTGAATTCCAACTGTCGCGTGTTCGATCCCTGCGTTGGTTGTGAAGTTCATCAGGATTTTCTGGCATGGTTCCCCCATTTGTCACAGGTGCAGGACCAAGTGCCTGGCAAAGGACAACATATAGTCGTTGGGATGGTATGAAAAACCTATTCGATATCAGAGTAGGCCATAGTGCTGCTGCCCGGGCAAAATTTCCCTCATTGCACACTGTATGGTGTATGCCCGTCTTCATTAGCCGAGTCGGAGCAGAACAGTAGGACGTTAAAACCCAAATTCATTTTGATTTCTAGTAAGGGTAACTATTAACGATGGCTATATTTACCTAAATCTTGTTTAAAGTATAAAAATCCTCTCCTCATCTCCAACATGATAAAATCACCTTGGTTACCGCTAGCGTAAAATAAAACCCCATCGGCTCTATTTGTTTTAAATCGTAATTCTAATTTATCACTTTCTGATTGGACGGCTTGTTGACTTATATCATACTTGAGGAAACCACTTCCGCCAAATGATGCTACGTACGGTTCTAAAATAAAACAAAAAACATTCATGATTGCAAGCTGTTCTAATTTATTTTCTTTCTCTTCTTAGGTAGGGCAGGGTAGGGTCAGGTCAGGGTCAAGGTCATAGTAAGTCAAGGTCAGCCTAAAGTAGAGTAGGGTAGGGTGAGGAGAGATAAGGGAAAGGAGAAGGAAGGGTTACTGTGGAGTAAGGGACGGATAGGGTAGGGTAGGCTAGAATGGAGAGGGTAGGGTAGGGTAGAATGAAGAGGGTAGGGTAGGGTAGAATGGAGAGGGTAAGGTAGAATGGAGAGGGTAGGGTAGGGTAGGGTAGAAGCTAGAGCAGACTAGAAGGGGGAGGAGAGCGGAGGAGAGGGGAGGAGAGGGTAGGGTAGGGTAGGGTAGGGTAGGGTAGGGAAGTATAGGGTAGAAGGAAGAGGGTAGGGTAGGCTTAAGCTTGGGTGAGAGTAGAGTAGACTAAGGATAGGGTGAATGGTAGGATACGTATTGGCGGGGGGGGGGGGGGGGTTGAGTGACAGCACCTTACCCAGTGAGTCACAGTGGCTCCACTTAACTTAAGAGACTCAAACTACTTGATGTAAGCTTGGTTTCAGCTGTTATTTTCATTTTATTCCATGTCTATTAGAATTTAAAGTTTGTTAATCTCAGGTTCCAATACTTCGTGACTGTTCGTTATTTTACCAAGAGATTATATAACTTACTGAAGAGACAACCGTAGATTTCAACTCTCAAGGATATAAACATATTCCATCTCTGTGGATTAAATCGCACGTATCTTGCTGTTATTGGGTAACGCAGCGTATTCTTACGCTCTTGGAATCCATTATCATTACCAGTAAACATCTAAAATAACAAAAATACACAAAAGAAGAAATAACATTTCAAATCATAATAATTTATAATTTTCTAACACTAGAACATGGAAATGAAATGAAATGAAATGGGGTTTAACGTCTGACTGGGCTAATGAAGACAGACACATTCAGTGTGCTATGAGGGAATTTTGCCAGGGCAGTGGCACTATGGCCTACTCTTATATCAAATTCCAACTGCAAATGGATCTTTTTGATGGGACCTCAAATTTCCGTCCCATCCGAACGACTAGACCACTGAAAAGGGGAAACCACACGAGAACATGGTAAAATAACATAAGGATATCATCATTTACGATAAATGATAATTGACTCAGCCCTTCAGGAATAACGTCAAAAGGTGATGCCTTCTATTTTTGAAAACATTAGGTGAAATGAAATGGTGTTTAACGTCCTACTGTTCTATTCCAACTGTGCTAATGAAGAAGAGCATATGCCATACAGTCTGCTATAAGGCAAATTTTGCCTGTACAGTGGTGCTACGACCTACACTTATATCGAATTCCAACAGCACTGTTTTAAAGATAATATGTCCATTTATTAAGTGCCATATTACTAAAATTAATGGTTCATTTGATATGAATGATGTATACAAAGCATACCTCTGGAATACCGTATTCATTTGTATAAATTCTCCAGGTGTTCTTATCATCAGAAAATTCCAGGAAATATTCGGTGACATATTCGTCACTTCCACGGCGACCTTGAGTAGCTACACTTGTAACTATGTAACGATCACCAAGGTCAACACCGAGAAATTGCTGTGAATTCTGGGTACCTGCTGTCCATGCACCTGTAATGATATTCAATTATGAAAGGTCAAAGGTTATACAATAAATAACAACACTGATAATTTTAAAGCTCAAACGGTGGCAAGTGTGCGTGCTGAATGGTTTAATGTGTGTGCGTGAAGCCATAGGTCTGTCATTGCCATGGTTTCAATTTTCCGCTTGCATGTGACTAGGAGTAAGGTCATCTGTCCAACCTAAGTGGGTTTCCTCTGGGTCTTTCAGTTTAGTCCCACTGCTTAAAGGGGTTTTCAACAAGGTTTCCATAAATCTTAAATATATATTGATAAATAATCCCCTCTGTAACACAAGCAAAAAAGTTTTTGTAAGCGAGAAATTAATTTTTATTAAACCGAAGTGACATAGTTGGTTCAACACGCTCACTCGGTTCTATAGTAAGCATACAGATTTGGCATAAGTTTACTGCTGTATTGTGTTCACGCGTCGTCCTTTGGCCAAAAATCTGATCAAATGGGTTGTTTATTAGGATATTATAAACACGAATTTATGGGGTTTTTTAACGTTTAGTACACAAAGCCGTCGCGTAAATTCACTCAAACTGAACAGTACGCTGTGCCTCAATTCACGCCACATGGCTAATTGTTTACATCACGTGGTTTAATTGACAGCTTGCAAGTGAGAGATATTTCATCTGCTTGAATGTTTTTGTGCGTGCTGAGTCTGCTGACAGTGTTTTTATTTACTTCAACGGACTTGTGGCACATATATATATATTCAAATAAATATATAAATTTCCAAAATATGTCAACGTCAGACACCAACGTATTGGAATATAAAATAACTCTTCTATAGGTCTACAGTAATGTCGTATAAACATTTGAGCCCATGCAGCCATTCTCAAGAGGAAATGGAAGAAAAAGGGAAAAGTCGTTCACGTCGACATTATGTGCCAAAATGCACTATATGTCTCACATGCCCATAATTTTGATCAGTTTATGTTGAAAAACGCTGTCAGCACGCACAAAAACATCGAAGCAGACGAAATACATGTCACTTGCAAGCTGTCAATCAAACCACGTGATGTAAACAATTAGCCATGTGGCGTGAATTGAGGCACAGCGTACTGTTCAGTTTGAGTGAATTTACGCGACGGCTTTGTGTACTAAATGTTAAAAAAAACATAAATTCATGTTTATAATATCCTAATAAACAGCCCATTTGATCACATTTTTGGTCAAAGGACGACGCGTGAACACAATACAGCAGTAAAGTTATGCCAAATCTGTATGCTTACTATAGAGCCCAGTGAGCGTGTTGAACCAACTATGTCACTTCCGGTTTAATAAAAATTAATTTCTTACTTACAAAGACATTTTTGCTTGTGTTACAGAGGGGATTATTTATCAATATATATTTAAGATTTCTGGAAACCTTGTTGAACATCGTTGGTCTTCCCCTTTAAGACCCCTATGTGCAAGCCAATTATTGAAATAAAATTGAACCAAATGGTAGTCCCGAAATGACCTTGTTTGTGTCCAGTGGTCATTAAACCCCATTTCTCAGTGGGAGGAAACTGGAGGACCCGGACAAAACCCACGAGGTCGGACAGGAGACCCTACTCCTTGTCACGTACAACCAGGGATTCGAAACTGGAACGGGCAAAGAAGAGGCTTTGAGAAACTTCAATGCCAGTCGAGACTTCAGGTAGGTCAAAAAAACCTTGGATGAGATGAGAAGAAGAATGGGGATCTTATAAACCCAGATCTTCACCTGTTGGAGGTTCAGGTATAAACACTGATCTTCACCTGTTGGAGGTTCAGGTATAAACCCAGATCTTCACCTGTTGGAGGTTCAGGTGAGATTAGAAACCTTGAATGGTCCGACGATTTGGGATTTTTCAAACCCATCTTTTCACGTGTCGGAGGGGGGTCGGTCAACAATAAAAGTGTTTTACCTGAAGAATCACCAAGCCTGGCAGCATGAGGTGGACGTTTTTTGTTAGAATCTGTAGACCAGAATGCTGAGTCTGGAATTCTTCCTGATGAGACACCTAATGGTTCCTGATAAGCAGCACGACATTCATCATATTCATATATTTCACCTGAAATAATAAATACACATATTTTATGTAGATATATTTCTTTTCTTAATACTTTTGATGGCCTCTAATACGTGAAGATCTGACAAGTTGTAGTAGAAGGTCGCATCAAATGAAATGAAATGGAGTTTAACGTCCTTCTGTTTTGCTCCGAATTGGGCTAATGGAGACGGGCATACGCCATACAGTGTGCTATAAAGGAAATTTTGCCCAGACAGTGGCACTACGGCCTACTCTTATATCAAATTCCAACTGTCAGGGGATCTTTTACGCGCATGCCAATGTGTACATGGGGCCTCAGTTTTTCGTACCATCCGAACGACTAGACAGCTGTCCTTGTCAGGCCCTCCGTCCTGCATCACTGACAAGGGAGAACCACGCCGGCAAATCTGGATGAACTTTCTCGGCCTATGGAGGGATCGAACACCCAACCTCCAGGCTAGCAAGCCAGCGTCTTACCCACATAGACACCGTGATCGCCCCCCGAGACAAAAAAAAAGAGGTCCTGTGTACACACTGGTGTGCATGTACAGAACCCTTGGCAGTTGGAATTCGAAATAAGGGTAGTTTGTAGCACCTATGTCGAAGCAAAAATTTCCATATATAATAATTTTCAAATTTATTGTCCAAATTTTCTTGAGAATATGGACAGGATGGATATGGACAGCTGTCTAGTCATTCGGATGGGAGGAAAAACCTAGATAACACTGGAAACTGATATAAGAGTCGGCCATAGTGCCACTGTCCAGACAATATTATTTCCCTCTAGCTCACTGTATGACGTATACCCATCTTTATTATCCCGGTCGGTGCAGTATAGTTGGACGTTAAACCCCATTTCATTTATTTTATTTAAAACAAATATACAATATGGAAAATTTTAGACAATAAAACCACTTAATATTCATCCCTTACAGTTGTAAATTCCATATTTCTGAGTCATAATTGTTAAGATTACAAAATGTCCAGATGATTACATCTTTTAAAACAAGAAAACACCTGTAATTGTTTACCTGTTCAGGTGTAAGTTAATTACAATTTATTATCTTTGTTATATCTCATGTTAAACGGTTTGACAAAACAACACAAGATAAAGAAGAAAGGGGTACCTGATTGTTTATTAGTGCATATAATCATTGGAAGCCATCTTGTTTATTTGTAATGTGGGTCACCTCAGGTGTACGATTTACCTGTGCGGCAATAATTCTTTGATCTTTACAATAAAATAACAATAAAATAGCCTTATACTTACGCGATCTTTCTGCCGTCGTAAATTGAAAGATCACCGCTAATAACGGTAAGAAAATCAACTCTATCCTCATTTTCCCACCTGCTATTCCGACATGTTTTAAAAGTTGACCCTTTCTTGATGTCACGTGACAACTAGAATATTTGTCACTGGTTTGTCATGCAGGTATCTGAGGAAAAGGGAGACTAATCCATTTAATGTTCACCGTTTCCGTCATCGTTCACACTAAAAGCTCCAGCTTTGGTGTCTTGTCGTTAGGGTGGGACGACAAACAGAGGTTCCATGTAAACTTGGCGTGCATGTAAAAGAACCGTTCATAGTTGGAATTTAACATAAGAGCAAGGGGGTGGATTTGTCATGTCTTTTTTTTTTGGGTGGGGGGGGGCCGACGAACCCTGGAGTACCTTTCATTACCAAACCAAAATAGTAATTACGAACAGTTTACCAGTGTTATTTCGATGAAAGCTTTAAGTAGGGGTAATATGATGACGATATGGTAAAATTGACTACCTACAATTAAGGAGGAAGAGATCGTGAAGATGAATTACTGTGGCGAGACCCAAAGGCAGTGGTTAGATAGCCTTCAGAACTGGACATTCATGTGGATATAAACATGAAAATCTGTCCTGGCGGTCAAAATCATGGGGGGGGGGGGACAGGGACCGTAAATCTACGCCCATGGATAAGAGTAAACCGTACTAGCTTCGCTGTTTTGGCAAAATTTATCTTGTAACATAGATCAGTGCTGGATAAACTATTTAGCAAAATAAGCACGTGCTTTAGGGCATCATGGTTTATGGGGGCACCACAGAATGTCTGCTTTGTTAGATGCCAGATTTAAAATATTTAATTTAAAAATTAATTAATAACTTTCGATTACCGGTAGTTTTTCATTGTTTTTGACTTTCCATACTGTTACCTGGTTGCGCAATTACCAGTGACGTGTATAAAATGCGAGAAAAAAAATCTTTATTAGCCTATATATTTGTTTACATTTTGAATTACATATTTATGTAAGGGCGTATAACTCTATTTTGTTTAACCTTGAAATAGACAAAATTGGTTCTAAAAGCACATATTAATGTAATATGAATGTATGTAAAGTGATTTATATTCAATCTTTGAAAAAAAACATTGTAATTTCCAATCAATTATGTTCGATGAAATACGTGAACAGTTTAGAACGAGTGCATTCTACAGGTTTTAAAAATTATTATTTTGCCGTTTGTGAATCAGCCTTTACTAATTACTTCCACATTGTATTGTAGTATATTCAGTCAACCTGAATATATAAATATTGTTTATATAAAAAAAAAGGATTGAATTCTAAAATATTTTTTTTGCAAAACTTGTGTAGAATCTGCGTCCCAACAGGAATATGAAAACAATGGATCAAAGGATCCGATACGGGAGTGTCCGTCACTAGATATATATATATATTTATTTCATCTCTAAGCAAGAAAACGTTTATATTTTCACTCATGCTATGCATTCGTGAAAATATAAGTTTTCTTGCTTCTCGATGAAATAAAATATGTTATTCACTCTAAAACGACAAATATCCTCTATATATTAAAGATAAATAAAAGTGACACTAACACTGTTCTCATCGTGAATAGGGGGTGGGGGTTGGATGGCTGCGCTTTATCATAAAGTCTGTCATTGAGTCAACTGGCGTGGTTTCGAATCCCCGGTTGTACGTGGCAAGGAGAAGGGTCGCCTGTCCAACCTCGTGGGTTTTCTCTGGGTCCTCCGGTTTCCTCCCACTGCTAAAGACCCCTACGCGTAAGCGAATTATGTAAATAAAATTAAACCATGTTAGTCCCGAAATGACCTAGTCTGTGTCGAGTGGACGTTAAACCCCATTTCTCTCTCTCTCATCGTGAATAATATCTGACGACGAAAACAGTGTTAGTGTCGCTTCTGTTTCAGGCTGGGGGAGGGGGACCTACCCTGGAAGAATAACCTGTTTCAGGCTGGGGGAGGGGGACCTACCCTGGAAGAATAACCTGTTTCAGGCTGGGGGAGGGGGACCTACCCTGGAAGAATAACCTGTTTCAGGCGGGGGGAGGGGGACCTACCCTGGAAGAATAACCTGTTACAGGTTTAAAGGAAAATTTTCAGAAGAATAACTCCAAATTTCCCAGTATATATCCAAAGCCGCCTCCGACTTTCTGACCGCAAGTTATTCCGGGCATAGAATATACCCAAAGATCAAAGAGATTTACCGTTACATTTAAACATACTTCAGTCCTTCCTTCCCCAGCATGACCTCAGTGACCCAGCCTCGTGCTTTATCCTACACTGATGGATGGATGGATAACGGTTGGTTTCAACAGAAATCAATCGACTTTCGAAGCAGCATTCGTCGGACACCAGAAATTTAACTTTCACAAAAACAGACCTTATGATACCCAATAATTACTGTTTAGACATTGTTATTGCACAGATTTTAAATTTTAATCCAACAGTCATTTACGATTCTCGAACAATTGACGAAACAAATAATGTCGCACAAAGCAAAGTGACTCCAGACAAAATGTTTTATAAAACATAGTCAATTTTGTAGAAATTCGCCGTATAAATTAAAACAATGCAAATTTAGTGTCTTATTAGCATATTAAAGGCTCAATACCACTCTTGTTGTAACTGCATATGTCCCAATCTTTATTCTGGTCAACAAATTGTACTATTTAACAATATTCCAATTAATTGATGATACAAATTTCATCTTAACACACCTAATTTATAAAATTGGAAAAATTCAACTAAATGATTTGAAATGCCTACGTAAACCTTTTCAAATGTGACTTGGATTTAAAAATATTTTTGAACCCTCTGGACAAGTAAAATAGGATTTAATGGATAATTTACACAACAGGTAGGACACTATCACATCTAGTACTTAGAATAAGGCTAATATTTATTTACTGGAGCTGTCAAGCCAGCAAGAGTGTTATTGTCCCTTTAAAGGCAAAATATTCCCCCCCCCCTCCCATATATTCTACTAACGATCATGGTCGTGGTGAATTGCCCCTCCCCCACATCAACTCTCTTATAAAGCAATACAGGTGCCGACGGGCATTATTTTAGGTAAGTGCTCTAAATAAAAGTTGTGTGAATACATAAGATCATCTTTATATCAACATGATCACATTTCCTGTCAAATTTTTTTTTTTTAAACAATAATTTTACTCGGTTTGTCTGAATGGGATTGGGGAACAGGCTGAGCCTATTTAAAACCCCTCTCCCCTTCTTGTCAATTGTAAAAGGTACCATTCTGCCCAACCTGTTTATGATACTCTTAGCGTAAACAGGTGGGTTGGATGGCCGAATGGTTAGCGTGTGCGCGCTGTATCGTAAGGTCTGTCATTGAGTCAACTGGCATGGTTTCGAATCCCTGGTTGTACGTGACAAGGAGTAGGGTCGCCTCTCCAACCTCGTGGGTTTTCTCCGGGTCCTCCGGTTTCCTCTCACTGCTAAAGACCCCTACGCGCAAGTGAATCATTGAAATAAAATTGAACAATGTTTGTCCCGAAATGACCTAGTTTGTGTCCAGTGGACGTTAAACCCCATTTCTCTCTCTTAACATAAACATTGCACAAGCTATCGAGGCCAATGGTTGACGCCGTGTGATGTGACGTCAGACATAAAATTGATAACCTTTGTGAAACATTGATACCGTTTTGTTCCACTGGGCTCATGAAGACAGGTAGACGCCATACAGTGTGCTATGAGGGAAATGTCTGGACAGCAGTGCTACAGCTTTTGTATTGAATTCTAACTTGCGGAGGATCTTTTAGGTGCAACAACTATACCTTGTGCCATGGCAGACCCTCTGTCCTGCACCACTGACAAGGTGGAAGCGAGAAATGGAGTTTAACATCCACTCTACACAAACTAGGCCATTTCGGGACCAACACATGGTTCAATTTTAGTCCATTAACACACTTGCATGTAGGGGTCTTGAGAGAGAGAGAAATGAGGTTTAACGTCCACTCGACACAGACTAGGTGATTTCGGGACAAACATATGCTTTAATTTTAATTCAATAATTTACTTGCGCGTAGGGGTCTTTAGCAGTGGGAGGAAACCAGAGGATACGGAGAAAACCCACACGGTTGGATAGGCAACCCTACTCCTGGGGATTCGAGCCAGTTGACTCAATGACAGGCCTTATGATACAGCACGCACATGCTAAACCTTCGGCCATCCAACCCTCTAGGGGCTTTTATCAGTGGGAGGAAACCAACCAGGTTGGATAGGTAACCCAACTCCTTGTCACACGCTACCGGAGAATCAAAACAATGCCAGACCTTATACCGCACACACATGCTAACCAATTTTACCATTCAGCCATCCAACCCCCTCAATGTGGAAACACGCCCGGAAGAATGTTTTCAGCTAACAAAGGGATTGAACAAGGGGCCACAAAGGTAGCTAGCCAACATCTTAGGCATTGGGGCTCCTATATGCATGCCAATGTGTACCTGAAGGGATTTTTGCATTCTTTTTAAATTTCCAGTCTTCAAGAGTTAACCTGCAAGCCAAGTTGCCAAATTCACAGGTGAAAATCAAATTATCATTGGGACCAGATTCTCATCAGGAGCACTTTCCTTGTCAACATTTTAGAGCATCGTGGCAGCACTCTACAACCTAATTTGTGTTTGGGTACATATCCCGCAAACCGCATCAAATTTCCAGAATAAGGCCCAAGATACTTGCTTTGTTGCCAAATCCTAAGTCGCAAGTTTACAACCAAACCATATCCCCCCCTTCACTCAAGATAGTTGCTTTGTTGCAAACTCCTCAGTCACAAGTTAAAACGAAAAAACAATTGAGTGTTTTTTTAAATTCAATTTTATTGAGAAAAAAAGTTATTTTACATTTTTACATAAAAAAAAAAATCTTTTATGTATTCACATTATTTTTTTTCTTTCCAAAAAAAAACAAGAAAACACAAATATTCTTCAGACCAGTCACTGCTAGTCCGACATACTCTGGTTATTATATTATACATACATGATCATAAACATCATCCTAAAATCAATTTAGGTCAAAACGGAGGCGGTGGGGGCGGCTGGGGGGCGTGAGATTGGGGTAGGGGAGGGGGGAGAGGGGGCATAGTTCCTAGATCCGAATCAAGTAAATCCATATCAAATATATTTGTCATTGACGGCTGTGGTTGGTGATTTGTCTGCAGCTTTTGGATCTGGTATTCTTGCTGCGCGATCAGATGTTGGATTTGTGCCTGCAAGACTTGGGGGTTAACGTTACCAGTAGAAACGTTTGACATAGCGCCCCCGTTCGTATTCATGGCTTTCACGCCAGCCATAGAATTATCAGGATATGTGCCCGCCATATTATACCCGGTATTAGACATGTACTGTGGATGCGGGTAGGACCCGGAATGCCCAGTATGTGGATAACTTTGATCAAAAGATGTGTTTAAATTCCCTGGTCCTTGTTTGGCCGATAGAACGTGGGAAGAGGAAGGTGGGAGGCTTGATTTCGTCTGAAGGTGGAGGGCCGGGTGTTGGGAATGGTGGGAGGAGGGGGGTTGAGGAGGAGAAAATATACTGCGATCTTTTTTAGAGGAGCTATTTGGAGTTTTTACATGTTGATTTAAATTTAAAGCCGGCGATTTCATCGAGGATTTCACACTTCCCCATAACGATCTGTCCGAATTTGGTGTCCCTTCATTATATGATTTATTTTTAGACATACGATCGGAACCGCCGTTTCCAGCGCTCGTCATTTGTGACAATCCCATATGATACATATTTTGTCCACCACTACTGGTGGCGACGGCACCACCAGGTAGGAATAAGTCCGAATGATTAATTGTACCAGTCGAGTCATTAGTCAAAGGATGCGTTTCACTACGACGATGTTTAGAATATCTTTCTCCAACGTCTAACATCTCGTTATCAGATTGGTGTGGTCGTTTTAAAACTTTAGAACTCGTCGCATCCACAGATTTATTTACACATTTATCGTCTTTGTTCGATTTTATCGTCATTTTTAACGGTGAATCGTGTTGTCGTTTCACATCCGGACGTTGCTGTTTCGACTGATCTTCCCGTGAGAAATGATGTAAGCCGTCGTAAGCAGATTGGGTTGCCTTTCTTTCAGCATCAGCTCGTATGTGTTGATTGTGTGATCGCTTGACATCACCGTTGCCGTGGGATTTATTACTGGCACCTGTTGAACTACTACTACTGGCACTTGAAGATGACGTCTGACTGTGATGGCCGCCAGACATGCGTTCTTTCTCTTTTCTCTCTTTATAATCTTTATTATGTTTATAGTCTTTTAATGTCATTGCCACATGTGGAGCGGCTTTACCCTCCGATCGGGATGTCGAGGCGGACGATGCACTTTGGGATCGCGACGCACCGTTGACGTCATCAGACGATTTACTCGTTTCGTTTATTATCGACTGGGAATCTTCAAATAAATTACGCGAATGGCTGCCACCTTCCTGTTTGACACTTTTTGATGATTCTCCTTTACTGGATGATCCGGCCTCAGATTTTGACAATTTATCATCTTCGGCACCACCTTTACCAGACTGAAAATACACAACAGAAAATACAGTCATACAAAAAGAGAGAGAGAGAGAGAGAGAGAGAGAGAGAGAGAAAGAGAGAGAGAGAGAGATTGCAGCACTAACATAGCAGTTGGTGGAAACCAGAGGACCTGGAGAAAACCCACGAGGTTGTATAGGCCAGTTGACTCAATGACAGACCTTATGATGCAGTGCACCCGTGCTAACCATTCGGCCATCCAACCCTGCCAAGACTAAAACATTCTAGATAGAATCAGCATACTCTGCCTTGCTTATGACACCCACAGATAAACAAAGCAATTTAAGGTTTTGATTAAAAAAAATTGAAGTTTGTGGGATAACACCTGGCCATGAAATAACTCACAGAAGTTTGTGGGAGAACAGCTCATAGAAATGAAATAGGGTTAACATCCCCACTCTCTACACTGACTGGGCTAATGAAGACGGGCATATGCCATACAGTGCGCTAAGACGGAAATTTTGCCTGGACAGTGGCACTATGGCCTACTCTTATATCGAATCACAGCTGCCAATTAGCCATCGTGGCTCCCAACGGTTTTAGAAAGAGTGTCCATTACAGGACTTTTGTGGCTAACATTTGGCAGAGCTTTGATTTCAATAATTTACTTGTGTGTAGGGGTCTTGAGCAGTGGGAGGACCCTATACAAGCTTGACTCAATGACAAGACCTCATGAGAGAAATGGGGTTTAACGTGGGAGGAAACAGAGGACCAGGAGAAAACCCACGAGGTTGGACAGACAACCCTACTCCTTGTCACGTACGACCGGGGAATAGAAACCACGTCAGTTGACTCAATGACAGACCTTATGATACAGCGCGCACATGCTAACCATTCGGCCATCCAAAACCCCGGCAGAGAATAGAAACCACACCAATTGACTTAACGACATTATTTGGAGGAGGTGGGGAGTAAGTACATTATTTTTCGGGGGGAGGGGGGGAATGAGGAGATAAAATAAGTACATGTATCTTTACCTTCCAAACCATTATTTTCTTTTTTAATCGACTTGGACATTTGTCGAGAATATTTAAAAAATCTTGTGTTAGTTCTGAAAAAGACAATATCAATATTTTGACAAAGATCAGTTACCAGACAACAAAACAGCGTGGCAATATTCCTGGGCCCTTATTCACGAAAACTTAAACTAATTTTGGTTGTAACTTAGTTTTCGTGAATAAGGGCCCAGCGCAATAACTCTAATAATATTAATTAGAAATGGTTGTTTGTGATAGCTCATCACATTAATGACGAGGGATCATGTTTTGCCACGGAATAAGGCATTACAATTTGAACAGAATTGAAATGGGGCTTCACGTCCTACTCCTATACTAGGCTAATGAAGATGGGCACACGCCATACAGTGTGCTACGAGAGAAATTTGGCCCGGGCAGTCGCACCAAGGCCTCGTCTAATATCAAATTCGAAGTGCCAAGGATCTTTTACATGCAAGCCAATGAGTACACAGGACCCTTGTCACATCTAAACGACAAGACAGCTGTCCTTGTCAGGAAAAGTCCTTGCCAAAAACTATAAATGTGATCATAAAATACACTTATTGTTGAGATTTTTTGGGGGGTATATCCCCCCAGGTGTATGTATATAAAAATATACTTTTTTGCGATAAAGTTGCACCAAATTGGCCTGTTTGATTATAAATATTTTACTAAACCTGCGAGACTAACCTTCAAGGAGTTCCATAGTGACAGTTCTATCAACATAGGAAAACCAACTTTTACCTTCATGAGATGAGGGGATCTACAAAACATACAAAATTATTTTAACGTAAAATACACCTGTATTGGACATCAGCAGCTTTAAATAAATTCAAAGATGAATTGAAATCGGGTTTAACGTCCTACTGTTCTGCTCCTAAACTGGGCTAATGAAGACGGGCACTCGACTAACATATGGTTTTAATTTTATTTCAATAATTCGCTTGCGCGTAGGGGTCTTTAGCAGTAGTAGGAAACCGGAGGACCCGGAGAAAACCCACAAGGTTGGACAGGCGACCCTACTCCTTGCCACGTACAACCGGGGATTCAAAACCACGCCAGTCGACTCAATGACAGACTTTATGATACAGCGCGCTCACGCTAACCATTCAGCCATCAACCCCCCCTGGATCGAACAATAAACAACTTACCTCATACCCTGACCATTTACAGGCGAGATGAATACAGACGCATGCCACGACATTAGGTTTATGTTGTAGACACATCGTCGTTAAATGAAGGCTGAAATACGGCATATTAAATAAAAACATTTAGAACTTTATAAAAAAAATAAAACAGAAATTAACAAATTAAAAAATAAACGATTAATTCTGCTGGATTTTGTGAATTGTATTATTTTAAAAAATTTAAATACAATCTCAAACAGCTCCCCCATTTGCTGTAAATAAAAGAATTATATTTTCTGTAACCAAGGAAACAAGAAAACTGAAATCTGATTTAAAATTTTATTTTTTGAATAAACGAGAATGGACATTACAACAAGACTAAAAACACGAACCTAACTTTTCTCAGTTCCTTGGTTGAAAATAACAGTTTTATCTTTTAAATTTTTCAGATTTTTATCACAATGGTCGTTCTCAATTCAGGATCATTAAAGCATTAAAACGAGACAACTCCTTGTGATAGAAATTGAATCCAATCAGAGGACTTATTTCACATGAACAACCAAAATATCGAGAACAGCCAATTGATTTCAAGGTCATCCAAATTATTTCAAAGTCTGCAAGTCTGCCTAATTGATTTCAAAGTCAACTCTGCCTATTATTATTAATCTAATAATCAGGTTTATTTTACTAATTTAGGTTATTTTTTTTTTTTTTAAATTTACATGTAAATGAAGATCTTTATTAAAATCATTAGAACTATTTTTGTTTTGAATTTTGAATGAAAAACATTCTGCGAAAAAATAATTTTTTGTTTGTAAATTTACGAGGTAAGTTCATGTGAGACAAGAAGAATGGATTACTATGGAAACAGTATATTTTCGTTACTATGGATACTATAAGAAGTATTTTAACCACCTGTTGGTTGCAAGGAAGTAGGATGTCTGCGCCAAATCCTTGCTTGCTGTCAACGGCAACCACATCACATCAGCAACCAGCACGAAGACAGCAGACGGCAAAAAGAAACAAAGTACACATTAGCTCAATGTCATTACATCACCATTTTATGTGAATTACAACATCATAATATGAGTACTGAGTTAATTATGTCATCAATTATTGGGTATTTCATAAATCAACATATATTTATAATATCACTAGAATTCTGTTGAAAGACTTATACAAAAACATCACGCCAATGTCTAAGGCATTAGTTATAATTTTTTTAAAACAACATTTCAAAGAAACATGTGTACGATGAACAATGATTCCCACAAAAGCTTTGAAATCGAGAAAACGAAATTCTAGTTTTCAAGAAACCAGGACACTGCCACTCATTTATTCAACATGCACAATCTTTTATTTATATAATTACACAATACATGATATGACCTATCTAGTTGATAATACCCAATATTTGTCATTTTTATAATTGTGCATTAAAAACAAAACCTTACGTCGGTCGTTCGGCCAATTTTCCTCAACAGTTGAAGTTTTATTTTAATAAATTTTCATTAATTCATATCAACGACGGAATTTTACATGACAAATATTTTGGTATAGATCAACTGACATGGCGATTAATCCAGGTAAATATGTTGCGTTCATTTTCCACCTTGATTTTAAGTTTATTATATCTACCCTCCTTATATTCTATATTTCATTTCTATGCAGTTTAATATATGGGATTCCTAAATAATATGTACACCATTCAGCATAAAATGAAATGTGTTTAAGGTCCTTATGTTCTACTCTGACTTGGCTAATGGAGGCGGGCATACACTAAACTATAAAGGAAATTTTACCCGGACAGCTGCAAAGGGATCTTTTACGAGCATGTGTACATGGGACCTCGGATTTTCATCCCATCCAAACAGCTACACAGCTGTCCTTGGGCCAGAATATCCTGAGGAACTTTCCTGGCCAACACCGGGAGCGAGGTCAGCTGAGAACAGGAATGATTTATTGGAATAAATAAGAATCAGTTTGGTTTATGTGTAAAATGTCAGGACAGTTAATTCAGTGGTAAGGAGGAGAATTTTGCTGAACGATCCTGCTTATTTATATAATTCAAACTGTGAAGGGTTCATGCTAACGTTTAAATGGGTGAACGTATGTTTTGTCCAACAAGATCTGGGCTTAAAAATTTATGCAGTTCTACTCGGTTCACGATAGAATTTCAACCAGGGACCCCCATACATTTTCGCCACATGTGTGTATGACAATATTTGTTTGCATGTAAAATAATTCAACTGTTTTTAACAATATATGTTTAAAGCATGATGCAGAACATTTTGATTCTTGTTTTGTCGGAATCCTACCTCTGACTAACTGACATGTCGTCACAACTGTTGTATGGGGATGGTCTACCCGAACTTCAAAACCTAAAAAAACAACAATACAAAGTTGTGAATTTTATGAGTAATTGATTATTGGATTGCTCAATGCCATAAATATCTGAATTTCTTTATCAATTTGAGATTATCTAAGATGTTTAAAGATACATTATGTAAGATTTAGATAAAGAACTAGCCATTCTTGCTATTAAAGTTAGAAAGTAGATGATGTAAAATGAATAATTTGAAAATTTCATTCAAATTACTCTATTGCAAGCGAAAATATTATCCTTTGAAGGTTTGACAGACGTGTGCAATAATTTCAACCACCGTACTGGTTGATCGAAGCTAAGTCTCGGTCCTACATATTTGATTAAATCAAAGTATCGCTGAACCATTTTAATCTATATAATATCGGGAGAAATCTGATGCCATCGAGAGTTGATTAAGGCCTGGATCAGTAAATTAATGTCTAATTAATACTTTAGATAACATTTCAGGCCTAAAGAAAGACCTGCAATACGCAGATTTAGCTCTTGCATAATGCATGTTTAATAATGGGGGAGATAATGAAAACTGTTTGACATTCTATTTTAGGAACCAACCAAGTTTATGAGAGAGAGAGAGAGAGAGAGAGAGAGAGGAGAGTAACCTCCACTTGACACAGACTAGGGCATTTCTGGTCTAACACATGGTTTAATTTTATTTCAATAATTCGCTTCCACGTAGGGGTTTTAGCAGTGGGAGGAAACTGGAGGACCTGGAGAAAACCTACGAAGTTGGACAGGTGACCCTACTCCTTGTCACATAGAACTATGGATTCGAAACCACACCAAGTTTATGAAGATATGAACCATGCTATGAGGGAAAAATTGCACAGAAAACCACGTCTCCATCGCATTTCAATTGTCACAACTTCTTTTCCGTGCCAGCCAATGTGTACACAGGACATAAATCTTTTGTCCCATCCGAAGGACTAGAAGGTTCATAGGAGAAAAAGAAAGCGAACAAATTCCGTTAGTTTTAACAGATATTGAATAAAGAATATTAAGAAATCAGTTCCAATAGCCTTAAAAAAATGGAATATGGATTCTTGTTTGAGCATTGCAATTTAGAGTAGAAAACTGCACCACTACTAAAATAGTGATAGAATTTAAACTTACCAAGTGTTTGAAGTAGAATGTTTTCATTTATTATCAATTCCTGAGCATATTCGAGGTAGGTCTGAAAAAAAAAAAACCCCAAAAATTCATAACTTATTACGTAGCTAAAATGATTTCTCTAGAAGTAGTAATTTGTTCACCATTTGCTATTCACAAAGAAAGTTTTTAATGCTATTTGTTACAATTCAATATAATAAATGTTAAAGTCACAGGAGTCAACTGGGTTAGTAAATTGAAACATTTACAGAATTATTTTTAGAGAATTGTAGAAGCAACTTTAATAATCAAGAACTGTAAAAGAAAAATTTACACATTCCATCAAATAAAGGAAAACTAACAACAGAAAATTGTCAACAATGTATTCATACCTCACTTTTTGTATCAAGAGTTCCTTCCCTTTGTTGACACGAGTGCGACGTTCTTATCACATGTTCTAGTTTACGGGGTTGTTCCTCCACCTTGGCAGCAAGAAACAGGCAGGCTGGACTCATTACCTTTACACATAAACCAATCAAATTAAAAAAATCCAAAACACTACATGACATATTTTAAATTCTGAAGATTAGAAAAATATTTTTATTTTGACTACTGAAAACTAGTAATAAAACCCAAACCCCAAATAAACATTTCCGGTTTAGACACAAACTAGGTAATTTCAAGAGTTACATTAATATAGGATACAATTTTATTTCAACGACTGATCTCAATCTGTGGCAGAAAACCCACAAAGTTGGGCAGACAACCCTGCTACTTGTCACACGTGGTACAAGTGTGCAATCTAAACCACACCACATTATGCAATCACAAGATTTTATGATCCAAAGCTCAGACACTGGACCACACAACAACCTAGCTACGAGAACGTAGCTAAAAACGTTGAGATATACTGATGTGTTTGTTTTTAACTACGATTGGATACCTTTTAGTTCCAAGTGGCAAACTCAATTTCTTTATTAATGCATGTACATGTAACATCTTTAAAATAAGATAAGTTTATGCTATTATGATTAATTAAACTTACAGAGGCCAATGTAGTGGCACAACTGTCGCCTAACCCCAAATATTCGCGTTTAAATTAATGAAGTGTTGTTTTTGTCTGACTTTAACCGCCATCGAAATCCATTCATAGTTACAGAGCTTTAGATTGGTTGTTATAAAAGCCTTATATTTAGCCCAGCCTTCATGATGACAGCGTATCTTTTAAAAAGATGGCGGTCTTAGTAACGGCTTAACACCTCGATTTTAAAAACGACGATTTGTACCTGTTTCAGGTAGGATTATATGCTTAATTGTAGTTGGGTCTGGCAGAAATATTATAAATAACAATAATCAATCGTTTTTATTAAAAGTATTGTCAATTTTGTTTACAAATGCCAGGTGCGAATCGCTCCCGCATGTGCTACGTTGAAGGTAATGGCCTCATATCTTATCTCGAAACACGGAGGGTTGAGAGATTATGGTTTGTTATCTATCGACAACCCAGCCCTGCGTGGCCTCAAACAAATGGATTTCCCTCCAAGTTGGGCAGTTGACCCTAGTTCTTGTTACATACATGTACAATTGGGCTATCGAAGCCATGCCACAATAACCCAATCACAAGACCTTATGATCTAAAGTGCACACGCTGACCACTCAACAACCCAGCTCCATGTGGCCTCAAGCGACTGGATTAAATAAAACAACGATTCTTAACAAAAAATTATAAACAATAATAGGAACACTTACATTTCTGTTAAACTTGGTGAAACTGTGGAACATGTAAAATCGATGCATATAAACTATAGCTGTGTTGATACATAACTGATTTCTAGGGCACAGGTTAAGGTCATTTCATTTACAAAAAAACATATAAGGATTAAAGATATATTATGGGAGATTAGATAACGAGTTGGCATTTCTAACTATAATAGTTAAAAACTAGATAATGTAAATGCAATTTGAAGAAAATTTCAGTCAAATTGATCCACTATGAACCGAGAAATAAGCGATCGAAAGTTCCGCATAGCCTCGGTCATCATTACTAAAGTCGGTACGACAAAAATCAATCTCGATTATCCATTTATTTGTTAAATCGAGAAGGAAAGTTATGCAGCAAATCTGATCATAATCCAACAATTATCGCAGGCTAGCGTTGACATCGAGAGACGATTATGGTCTGGATACTTTAATTAATGTCTAATTAATAGTTTAAATAACATTTCAGGCCTAAAGAAAGACCTACAATAGGCATAATTAAAGGAAATACATGTTGAAAAAACATGTATACTGAATAAGTAACGGCAGCGATTTGTACAACATCTGGCAGTTGCTAGATTGATCTGAATTTCCAAACCTCTCGTTACGTTGTCTCCTTTTTATTACAGACATGCGATACAAACACATGACTGAAAAGATTCTTTTACAGCTGCTGAACACTTTATCTTTTAGTTGAAAACTAACGGAAAGTCAACGGAAGTACGGAAAAGTAAATTAGTAAGGTTTGGACGAAGATATGAAATGGCCTTGACATTGAACAAATCTAGAACTTTGCAACTTGATTATCACATTTCAGTTGAGAAGCATGAGAGTTGTTATTTGCAATAGTTTCTATCAAGGAATATGACAGGTCTTAAACTGGGCCCAAAACCATCCGAAATCAGTGACGAAAAATGTTGAGTATTACGGGGCGTAAGGCCTTGGTAAGTTGTAAAGAGTTAAGGCCTTTTATTGAATAAGGCAGGAATCTGACATTACGTCATAAAATGTGATGCACAATTTGTTAAAACAGGTATTCCAAGTAAATGTTTCATGTCAATCATACTTTTATTGTTGGGCGCTGCCCTAAGATGAATATGAATGGGGTTTGTCAGGTGACTGTTCTGCTCCGGCAGAGCTAATGAAGATGGGCAGATGCTCCACAGTGTGCTATGAGGGAAATTTTGCCAGATGAACTTTCTCGGCCAACGCAGGGATCGATCAAGGAAGCTCCAGGTTAGCAAACCAACGTTTTACTCACTGAGCCACCATGCAGGCCTGGAAATAATGGTTTTAGATGTACCTGACAAAATGACAGGCACTAGTGAAATAGTACCTAACATTTTCAACTTAGTGCTGGACATGTATTAATAATATAAATAAAAAAGAAAAATCAGTGCCGAACAATATGACAGGCACCAGAGGTTTTGTGACGGACAAAGCCTGAATCTGTGCCCGACATTGTTTGTGACCGGTGCCTTATTTCCAGACTTGCCACCGTGGCTCCCTGACTAAAGAAGGAGATTATCCAGTGTATGGAATCTGTTTCTGGTCCAAAGTTAAATCAAGTCTTATCATGATCTTTGAACATTGAACAAATTATCAAAAGCAAGTGATAGCAATTGTGTACTGACAGGGACAAGGCTTCATTCAAAATCATTTCATCAGTGAATCTGCATATTGGCTGAGACAACAGAACATAGTTCAAAGTATGAAATAGGCCAACATTAGCGACCTTTCGCATCGGTACGAAAACGTCATCAATTCGTGTGTACTTGTGAAGTCAATATGTAATGAGTCTTCGGCCAGTGAAAAACGTTATCCGTATGGAGCTGGATTTACGTAGGAAAGCCCATGAATATGTTTCTTATCTCATATATTGAAGTTTCCACCATTTTTCGAGGCTTTGTGTATATTGTTGATTGTGTAGAGTTCATAGAATGTGCTCGAAAGCAATATTCTGCTTGATTTGTTGTACATCAGCCAAAAAATCGATTGAAAACTTTGCCTTGACCAAGAAGTTCATGGAGTGGAAATTAACACCATCTAGCTATTATCGTACGTCGAATTGCGAAATCATGTGTTAGAGGATACGAAAACGAAAATAGGTTGCTTTAGGTGTTCATTTTCGTACTGATGCGAAAGGTCCCTAATAGCTATTGAGGACTTGGAAATGCATACATTCTATCTTTAAGGTCAAGATCTTGTATTATGGTTTGATTGGTCGAAGAGAAAGATGTGACAAGACATCGGACAGTCCATTGGCCGGAGAAGATGCAGAAAAATAGAACGTTAAAATCCCATTTAATTTCAACAGACAATAGTTGTTATCTGACCGTTAAATCTAGGTTCAACATTTACCTCCTGAGGGAGTAACAGAAATAAGACCCTTGTATCAATCCGTGATGTTTTTCGTATTGTTCAGGATTTTAGATGCAGAAACGGACAAGCTCGTTGTTTCAGAAGATTGGACTCACAAGATGAAATCAATCTCTATTCTTTGCTGAACAGCATTTCAAAAGCTGGGAAGGAACTAATGAAGGATAGTGATATTTTCACCTTATCGCAGGGTGTACATGCAAATGTTTCTATTTGTTTTGGTATTCACAGCATCATCGCGAGAATGTTGTTTGGCCATCATTTGAAGAATATAAATGTGAGCTTTCTAACGAGATGAAAATTTGACAGGTTAAGTGTTGTTGTGAGTATAACGAGATTTAATTAAATGAAGAACAACGAAAAGATGCCGTTTTTTTATGGCCCTAGGAATGCCGTTCTGATGTATGAGACTATGATTTATGAAACAATGAGGTTGAGAATGTGTCTGATGTATAGGTTAGATATGGTTATTTTAGGACTAAAATCTATACATTTGTTTAAGATGTTTATATGGGAAAGTGAATGTTTTGATTTATAGCGAAAATCGCGTTTTCGCAAGGCAAATTATGAATTTTTATTTCAAAACGCAAAAGCATTGACCTCATAAACACCACGTGACTAACCGGTCAGGTCATTTCGTGCAAGCTCCAAGAAAACGTCATTTATCAATAGAAAAACGGTACAACAGTCATTATTATACATTCAGAAAACTTGTCAAGTAATGCTGGATCGTCGTGAACCTTCAAGACAACCGAAATCGGTCGCTTTTCAATAAATTGCCAGACAGAAATGTCGCAGCAAAAATGAAAATGGCGAGCGTCTTGAAGAATTTCACCACCGACAGGGACCGAAAACAAGCTGAAATTGAACAACATTCAGGATACGTTTGAAGTCGCTGTCCCATGTCTTGGATTAAATTTGCTGCCTGCTGCCTATATGACAATTCTTTGTCGGTGTCTATTCCACATTTTCGGCTGGGGGTATTCAATAACTGCGACTTTGAGAAGGTCCATCGTTCCCCCGCCATTTACAAAGCACGAAGACACATGCCACTGTACGCATGCGCCAAGCTTAAAAATTTGCGCACTTAATAAATTCCAGGCATACTATTGGATTTAGAAAAGAATTAAAAAATATAACTTTTCTTAAAAGTAATTAATTACAAGAATAATATTTTTCCGAATTATAAAATAATGTCATGACCCCGACTTCTATTTTTGTATGTTAATTTTCAATACAAAGGATACATGGCTGCTGTTCAATTAGATGCGTTTCCTCCCGTCTGCCGCCATTGCTCATCAATTTATGACGAGAAATAGCGAAAGTTTCAACTCCTTCAAACATGGTAATCCAGCTGCGACATACATCCAAATGACTTGTTTTAGTTAGAAAACATCCTCTTCTTGCAATTCGTAGCTTTTGAATACCTAACACGACCCAGTACGGGTAATTTTTTGCAGAATATTGGGAGCTCCTACCGAGCCAACCGTCCGCCATGGCTGATTCCCAAACCCAACTTACAACGCGACCCCATTTTGCGGACAAGTTAGTCGCTGTTCCGACATTGATCACTGCGCCCTCGTTAGACTCGTATAAATGTTATCGAAGCAAGAAGGCATCAGTCGATCATATTAGTAGTGGATGTGGTTGACTTCTCTGACAGGAATAACACTGATTAGGTTAATTAATTTCTAAGATCAATGCTTGACTATTATAGTATGGAATATTTTTGATAATAATAATGTTTATTTCGACTGTACTATGTTATTTGTAGCGGTTTTGTGGCTGAATACAAGACCGAGCAAATTGTTTTTATTTTTTAGGTCATTACTCATTTTAAGTATTTACTACCATCAATGTGCCAAAATGTGCATTATTCAGAATAACATGAATAATAGCCTAACGGTAATGGCATGTAATAATTATAGGTCATATATAATGGATTTCTTGGGACTGTCCAAGCTTTAGAACTAATAACTTAGGTTATGCACATTGTTCAGTTCTTGTCAAATTACATTCGTTAAGTTTCCATCAACACTTCTTAGGGTGATATAGATAGATTCATAGAAGAAAACTGCAGCTTGGAAGCCAGTTGCGATAGTTTATTTACATGTAGTTATACCTTCAAGGTGTCTTTTTTTACTCCTGCTCTTTAGATCATACGACCTGCAATGGAGTCAAGTGTTGTGGTTTAGATCACAAACTCATACGTACACTTGTAAGGGGGGGGGGGTGGATGGCCGAACGGTTATCATAAGGCCTGTCATTGAGTCAACTGGCATGGTTTCGAATCCCCGGTTGTACGTGACAAGGAGTAGGGTCGCCTGTCCAACCTCGTGGGTTTTCCTCGGGTCCTCTGGTTTCCTCCCACTGCTAAAGACCCCTACGCGCAAGCGAATTATTGAAATAAAATTAAACCATATGTTAGTCCCGAAATGACCTAGTTTGTGTCAAGTGGATGTTAAACCCCATTTCTCTCTCTCTCATACACTTGTAGGAGTATAAGCTGTCTATACTGCAACCTTAAAGATACATTCTCGGGTAAAACTGGGTGATTTGATTATATATTTGGACTAAAAACATATTCAAACTACTTAAATTATCATAATTTTGCTTCAAATCTTTCTCAAAACATTGCAATTGTCAGGGAATACCCGGCTATAACAAATCGATCAAACAAGAGGTCATGTTTAAGTGTCACATGACACAACGGGTGCGATGTCGGAGGAGAATTCATTGCATACACAAGACGATGTTGCCATTATCGCTGACTACTTATTACAAATATCAAAGCCTTTACCGAAATTCTCGAATTATCCACTGCCCGCGTCTTTTTACATGATTTTTATCTCAGAAAGTGTTGTACGTCTAACTCTTCATAAAGTTTATCAGCATGTACATCAAGCGTTCAATATCTGCGTGCTGCGTGCAACCTTCAACGCCACACATGCAGACACTCATAATCGTCGGGCTGTCGATTAGGGAAACCCGTACATTTTTGTCCTGTATGCACTCCATGAGTGTTTTTCAGGGAATCCAGTATTTTTCTAGTAAGATTGGATATTTCTACTTTCCATATATACTAAAATTGCCATACTTTTATTGGAAATAACCACCTGATAAATACTTTTTTGGGAACGTAGCTTTAAGCTGTTTCTCCCCATTGTTAAATTAAATATGTCGGTACCTGTTGATGCAAAACAATCAACCAGCAAATAGACTGCTTCTTAATAACAAATGAAACCATCAGTTATTTTCAAATTAGAATTTTCCTACTGTTCTACTCGGACTGGGCTAATGAAAACGGACAAACTGGCGTGCTATAAGGGAAATTATGCTCGGACAGTTGTGCTGTGGCATACTCTCATATCAAATTACAACTGCCAAGGGATCTTTTACATGCACGCCAATGTTTACACAGGACCTCAGTGTTTCGTACCATACAAATAACTAGACAGCTGTCCTTGTTAGGCCCTCTGCCCTGCACCACTGACAAGGGGAAACTATGCCTGAAAATCATGATGAACTTTCTCGGTCAACACTGGGAGCGACCAGCGACCTCCACTACCATTGTTAAAGAGGCCTACACACAAGCAAATGAAATTGAACTAGTTAGTCCCAAATTACATAGTTTCTGTCGAGTGGACGTTAAATCCCATTTTTCTATTTCTTAAAGATATATTATGTAAGATTTAGATAAAAAGAGCTAGCCATTCTTGCTGTAATACATGTAGTTCGAAAAAAGATAATGTAAAATGAATAATTTGAAAATTTCATTCTAATTACTCTATTGCGAGCTAAGATATTAGACTTTGAAGGGTTGACAAGACGTGTGTAATAATTTCAACCACCATTTTTAGCTTAAATCAAAATATTGCTGAACTGTTCTAATCTATTTAACATCGGAGAAACCCGATGCCATCGAAAGTTCATTATGGCCTGGATAAGTTAATTAATGTCTAATTAATAATTAAGAAAACATTTCAGGCCTAAAGAAAGACCTGCAATAGGCAGATTTAGCTCTTGCATAATGTATGTTTAAATAGTATGTGCCGGTTGACTGCTTGTGTAGTGGTTTAATGCCTAAGTCAAGTGGTGTGTTTGTTTTGATTCTCCGCTTGTGAGTGACAAGGAGTAGACTTGCCTGACCAACCTTGTCGGTTTTCTCCGGGTCCGACGGTTTCCTCCCACTGCTAAAAAAAAAAGTCCCCCTACTGCAAGACAAGTGAATTATTGAAATAAAATTAAACCATATGTTTGTCCAGAAATGACCTAGTTTGTGCCAAGTGGACTTTTATTTAACTGTCCCTCTCTCTCTCTCTCTCTCTCAATGAAGGGGTAGATTTAGATGTTTTTAATTATTTTTCCAAACCAACTCAAGGGATAACAACCAAATACTGATGGACCTCTTGTTTGGGTGGCGCTTTAAATTAATATTTGTTACTCAACCTATTAGCATTTTTAAAGGTCACCTTGATAAACACATACTTGCACCAGCAGGTGATTAAGACCCCTGGGCCTCTTGTTTATTAATATAAAATAAATAGGCCTGAATATGACACCTTGTAGTTATTTATATAACATGTTTATTATGTCGGCCATTGTTATATCTCTATGTGAGCTTGAAACATGTCCTCAACAGCTGTCTGTACAAACAGCTGCATGACTATCAATCATTGTTTAAAGTCTATAATATGCAGTAGTAGTGAGATATTTGTCGGTCATCATCAGGATTGAACCAGTGACCTCCGGGTTATTCAACTAGCATCTTATTTACTGAGCCACGTGACTGTGGCCCCCTTGTCAGGATGATATAACTCAAATCCACTGTGGCCCTACTTGTCAGGATGATATAACTTAAATCCACTGTGGCCCCACTTGTCAGGATATAACTCAAATCCACTGTGGCCCCACTTGTCAGGATGATATAACTCAAATCCACTGTGGCCCCACTTGTCAGGATGATACAACTCATGTCGACTGTGCCCCCACTTGTCAGGATGATATATCCATGTAGTGTGCATTATGTCAGCAGGCAAATACAAAAGGTATACGTGTACAATACTAGGTTCATTTTGAAAATGGTTAGTGCATGTGCATTGCATCATAAGATCTGTCATTAAGTCAACTGGCATGGTTTTGATTCCCTGATTGTACGCCACAAGGAGTAGGATCGCCTGTCCAACCTTTTAGGTTTTCTCCGGGTCCTCTGGTTTCCTCCCACAGCTAAAGACCCCTACACACAAGTGAATTATTGAAATAAAATTAAACCATGTGTTAGACCAGAAATGCCCTAGTCTGTGTCAAGTGGAGATTACTCTCCTCTCTCTCTCTCTCTCTCATAAACTTGGTTGGTTCCTAAAATAGAATGTCAAACAGTTTTCATTATCTCCCCCATTATTAAACATATTAGATAATCTCAGATATAAGATAGTCCCGAAATGACCTAGTTTGTGTTGAGTGGATGTTAAACCTCATTTTTCTCTCTCTCTTGTTTGAGAATAACATATGGTAATTGTCTATTTGTAAACTGGTTATATGCCTTAGAAGCCATTTCCATTTCCCACCCACTAATCTTTGTACATGTACACATGACCTCAGTTTATTATCCATCCGAAGGACTATAAACCATTCCATGTCTGTGTTTATATGACTGACAAGTTGGAATGAGACTTGAAAGAAATTTGAATATTTGTAATTGTAACATTATTTATAATCCTTTAGTGGCATTTAACGATAAGAGAATACTTATCAAAACGTTGTGCTTGTGTATAATAAACCAGTGATTGTTGTCCCATATAACTGTGTCAGTTTTGTAACATTGTTTATGTTTTACCCTCATACTGCCCAGTTTGATTATGTATATTGATCTTATCGCGATGTTAATGGAGTTTAAATTATCGATCCATTAGCTGATGGCCACCGCTGAGAGGTTATACTAGCAGGTCATTGAAAAGTCACATTAACATTTAAACAGGCATTATATCCTGAGCTAAATCTGCCTATTGCAGGTGTTTCTTTACACCTTAAATATACATTATACAAGAGCTAAATCTGCCTATTGCAGGTCTTTCTTTAGGCCTTAAACATACATTATACAAGAGCTAAATCTGCCTATTGCAGGTCTTTCTTTAGGCCTTAAATATACATTATACAAGAGCTAAATCTGTCTATTGCAGGTCTTTCTTTTGGCCTTAAATATACATTATACAAGAGCTAAATCTGCCTATTGCAGGTCTTTCTTTAGGTCTTATATTGTTATGTAAATTATTATTTAGACATTTATTAACTTATCCAGGTCATAATCAACTCTAGATTTTCAACAGATCTAAACACATTTGGTGGTTAACGATTTAACTATGTAAATCTGTCTATTGCAAGTCTTTCTTTAGGCCTGAAATGTTATCTAAATTATTAATTAGAAATTTATTAACATAAAATTAAACGATCCTTTAATTTTTTTCTACTACTCCGCCCCGCCGGCATCATTATTTGATCCAGTATCCACACAGATGTACCAGTCTGTCCAGCTTTAATCTCCACTACAGGGAGTGTTGCCGTCCCCCCGTCTTCTTGTTTCAAATTTATTAACAGTTAACACGAACCCCGTCATCATTAGCCCAGTCGTGGAGCAGAACAGGAGGACATTAAACCCCATTTCATTATTAACCGTCAGGACCATAATAAGTTCACAATTTTTAAGGGATTTAAACATGATTGGCAGTTAATGATATTCAATTACCAAAATTGACAGGATGTTAAATTGTTAAACACCATTCATTTTATTATTGTTGTAGAGACACCACTGCCCAGGCCAAGCCTGGAAATAAGGCACCTGTCACTGACAATGTCAGGCACAGATTCAGGCTTTGTCAGGCACTAAACCTCTGGTGTCTGTCATTTTGTCCGGCACTGATTTGTCTTTTTTATTGATATTATTAATACATGTCCGGCACTAAGTTGAAAATGTCAGGTACTATTTCATTAGTGCCTGACATTTTGTTAGGTACACATAAACCCGTATATCCAGGCCTGGCCCAGGCAAGATTCTACTCCCTAGCATATCACATGACCATAGAAGAAATAATGACAAGATATTGATCAACCATTGAATTCCCTTCATTCCGTATCGTATTGGGTGGTTTTAATTCCCAGCTTGTACGTGAAGGAGTAGGGTCACCTGTCCAACCTTTTGGTTTCCTTCGGGTCCTCTGGTTTCCTCCCGCAGCTAAAAAAAACCTACGTGCAAGCGAACTATCGAAATAAAATTAAACCATACATGTATGTTAGTGTCAAAATGACCTAGTTTTTGTTGAGTTGACTTTAAACCCAAATTCCCTCTCTTTATGTACAGTATTGTATTGTATTTAATTTTTTTTAATATTTTGTTTATGTTACAGAATCATGAATCGAAAGTCATCAGTACGTAGTAAAATAAAGGTCAATTCCGAGGGATTATTCTGTAACTATGGTAACCGAATTTGTATGAAACATCGTCTAGAAGGCTACGAGTTCTGTATACGCCATGTTTTAGAGGATAAAACGGCTCCCTTTAAACAGTGTAGTTTCGTACCAGGGAGAAAAGGTGAAAGATGTCCGAATGCCACGCCGAAAGGTGACAGGAAAGATGGGTAAGAGGATAATTTTATATTGATTACTATCTCTTCTCGTAGAAGGGCATCGGCCCAGAAGATGTTCGATCCTGGTTGTGGCTGAGAAAGTTCTCCAGAATTTTCCAGCGTGCTTTCCCCTCGTCATTGGGTGAAGAATGGAGGGCCTAACAAGAATAGGAAGAATAATCAAGGTCCCATGTACATTACTGTGAATGTAAAAGATTAATTCAAAGTTGGAAGGGGATTGGGTGGCCGAATGGTTATAGCATGTGCGCACTGTATCATAAAGTCTGTCATTGAGTCAACTGGCGTGGTTTCGAATCCCCAGTTGTACATGACAAGGAGTAGGGTCACCCGTCCAACCTCGTGGGTTTTCTCTGGGTCCTCCGGTTTCCTATCACTGCTTAAGACCCCTACGCGCAAGCGAATTATTGAAATAAAAAAATTAAAACCGTGTTAGTGCACAAATGACCTAGTTTGTGTCGAGTGGAGGTTAAACTCCATTTCTCTCTCTCTCTTTCTCTCTCTCTCTCAAAGTTGGAATTTGATATAAAAGTAGTCTGTAAGGACATTGTCCGGGCATAGCACATTGCATGGTGTATTCCTGTTATCCTCATTAGCCCAGACAGAGCAGAACAGTAGGATGTTAAACCCCATTTCATTGCTGATTAAATAACTTCAGTTATTGTCAAAATGTACATCTTCATATTTATTTGGTGTTACATCAAGGTTATTTTAGTACTTGATGTATTTAAAAATATGATGCAATAACTGATCATGGTATATCAGCCTATATTCACCACTGTATATATCCACCCACTGATGTAAACTGTGTTATACTATATCTATCACTGTATATCTACATAGTGTGCTCAAGGATTAACTCTGTTGATTCAGCATTATTTAATATTTAAATTTCACTATAAATAGATTTTATTCCTGTAGTGTTTTTATTTGACATGTTATGAACAATATTAGTGTGTATATAGTTTACGATATAACATACATATGTAGTTTTCCTGGGGTTTTTTAAATTTATAAAATTTTTGTGGTGTTGATGAACTTTGAAATTTATAAAGTATTGTGTTGATAAAATACATATTGAGGAATAGGATGATGTTGTTGAGATCTAAATCTAGGTGAGTTCACAGAAATCTTGTCATATTATATGTTTTAGTCAACTAACAAGTTATTTTCTATATTTTCGGGGAAATCACGTGGCTAAGTGGGTAAGACGCTGGCTCGCTAGCCTGGAGGTCGCGTGTTCTATCCCTGCATTGGCCGAGAAAGTTCATCCAGATTTTCTGGCGTGGTTCCCCCTTGTCAATGATGCAGGACGGAGGGCCTGACAAGGACAGCTGTCTAGTCGTTCGAATGGGACGGAAAAACCGAGGTCCCGTGTACACATTGGCGTGCAAGTAAAAGATCCCTTGACAGTTGGAATTCGATATAAGAGTAGGCCGTAGTGCCGCTCTCCGAGCAAAATTTCCCCCGTAGCACACTGTATGGCGTATGCCCGTCTTCATTAGCCAAGTCTGGAGTAGAACAGTAGGACGTTAAACAACATTTCATTTCATTTCATTTCTATATTTTCCGGTTGGGGGGGGGGGGCTGAATGGTTTAACTCATGCGGTTTAGATCATAAGGTCTGTCATTAAATAAGGTTTGTGTGGTTTTGATCCCCAGCTTGTGCGTGACGGGTCACCTGTCAAACCTCGTGGGTTTTCTCCGGGTCATCCAATCTTCTCCCAGAGCTAAAGGCCCTGACACGCAAGCAGATTATTGAAATAAAATTGAACCATGTGTTAGTCCCGAAATGACCTAGTTTATGTTGAGTGGATGTTAAACCCCATTCCTCTCGACATAGAGAGAGAGAGAAATGGGGTTTAATGTCCACTCGACACAAACTAGGTCATTTCGGGACTAACATATGGTTCAATTTTATTTCAATAATTCGCTTGCGCGTAGGGGTCTTTAGCAGTGGGAGGAAACCGGAGAACCCGGGGAAAACCCACGAGGTTGAACAGACGAACCTACTCCTTGTCGCGTACAACCGGGGATTCGAAACCACGCCAGTTGACTCAATGACAAGTCGTATGATACAGCACGCACGTGCTAACCATTCGGCCATCCAAGTGATCCAACCCCCTCCTCTCGACATACCAATATATATTATCTCGTAGAGTGTCATGTGTTTTATATTCATGTAGAACTTTCAAAAAAAAAAGATGATTACATGTTTTGCAAAACATGTTCCACGTTCGCTATCAATATTTTATTTTTATTTCCAAAAAGACTATTTGATGGTGTTTCTATTATTTAATTCTATCCAAATACACTTTTAATTCATTAAAATTCCTGTTCATTAAGATTCTGGGACCCAAATTATTGTTGTATTGCAGAAGTTACTGTAGACATTTTTTAAACCATATGTTGTTAGTAAAATGATTGAAGTATGAATTTACGAAAATGCTTGCTTCATGGATTTCAGACCCTAGTCTTTAAACATGCATTATGCAAGAGCAAAATCTGCCTATTACAAGTCTTTCTTTAGGCCTGAAATGTTATCTAAATTATCAATTAGGCATTAATTAACTTATTCAGACCATAATAAACTCTCGATGTCAAGGCTAGCCTTCGATGTTGGCTGGATTAGATTCCTCTTTGCCGCTAACGGCCGTTGATAATTAAATCAGAAAAAGTGGATAATCGAGACTTGCTGTTTATATTAATGATTTTAGTAATGATGACCGAGACTATGCAAAAATTTCACCCGCTTCTTTCTCGGCTCATAGTGGATCAATTTGACTGAAATTTTCAGCAAATTACCTTTACACTATCTAGTTTTTAACTATTATAGTGAGAACTGCCATCTCTTTATCTTATCTCCCATAATGTATCTTTAAGTTTTTAAATTTTATGCAAAAAAAAAATAAATTGTTGAGAGGAATTAAGTTGCTAATTGAATGGTATCCTTAATTAAAATACAGATGTGACGTCATTCTTTGATATTGACGTACCATTATTTCAAATGATGTACGGGCAACTTGCCAATCGTACATTATCTATACTAGATGAAATACTGGACTCGAGTGACGTATTTCATTGCAAAGCATGTGCGGGATAGTGTCTATATTTTAAGTTGTTTAATGGTCTCGAGCTATAGACATTGCGTAATATATTGAAACAACATTCGGCTACCGCCTCGTGCAGTATCAATATATTACTTAAAGGGACAATAACACTCTTTCTGGCTTGACTGCTCCAGTAAATAAATAATAGCCTTATTCTAAGTATTAGATGTTTAAGTGTCCTACCTGCTGTGTAAATTATCCATTACATCCTATTTTACTTGTCCAGAGGGTTCAAAAATATTTTTAAATCCAAGTCACATTTGAAAAGGTTTTTCAAATCATTTAGTTGAATTTTTCCAATTTTTTAAATTAGGTGTGTTAAGATGAAATTTGTATCACCAATTAATTGGAATATTGTAAAATAGTACAATTTGTTGACCAGAATAAAGATTGGTACATATTATTCAGTTACAACAAGTGTGGTATTGAGCCTTTAAAGATACATTATGGGAGATTTTAATAGAGTTGACCATTCTTGCTATAACAGTTCAAAAATAGATGATGAAAAAAGAAAATATTGAAAATTTCAGTCAAATGACTTTATTCTGAACAAAGTTATCACCATTGTAATTTTTGACCAGAAATAGGAGTCAACTCACTCTTCACCGTCTCCGAGAATGGCCGATCGTTTGATTGACAGGCATTAACTCCACCTACATACTCTCGATTATCAAGTAACATTTTCAATGGCTGTGGTACCGTTAGCCTATTCGGTTTGAGACCGGGTTGCAATTCAATTCGTATCACCTTTATTTTTACTTCAAATTAAAAATAAGACTATTAATATATACATGTAGATAAGAAGCGAAAGTTTGAAAGGAATGGACCAAATCAATGAGGCATAATTATAGCCAACTTCTTGTTAGCCTGCGTGTACTCTTGTACTGTAACCGGTAGGCCTACGTGACTCCCAAAGCAGACAAATTTCAAATAGGAAACAGTGATCCAATGGGGCTGCAATTCAATTGGGATGATGTTAGCTGCGATGTTTATCAATTTCCATAATTTTTCTGTAAACGCAAGTGACAAAAGAGCGTATAATACCGACATCCAAACTCTCATTTTAACCACAACTAAACATAATGTCAAGGCCGTATATATCAAACTTTTGTTTTGTACACTATCATTTAGCCTCGATCTAAAATTTCCGGGAGTATGACGTCAACGTAACGGTTAATCTCTGCTTACGACGCCATTTAAAAATTTAATCAATCAATGCAATAATGTTTAAATCCAAGCCGAATCCAAGCCATCCGTGGGATTACAGAGTTAATTTTGTGCTTGTTGTGTAAATAAAGATCTAATTTATAATTTCTATGACATCTGAGGCCTAAATAAAGACTTGCAATAATCAGATTTAGCTCTTGCATAGTGTATATTTAATGTCTTGCTCTCGACCATTAAACCATGCATATTATATGGGTTAAAGTAAGGAATTTATCTAACCTAATATATATTCCTAGATTGATTATTGAATATTTTAATTCTCTCTTTTCGTTATTTCCTGTCATGTGTCAGCGTACAACCATGAACAAATTGTTAATATATAAACCAGCTGTTGATAGAAATGAAATGAAATGAAATGGAGTTTAACGTCCTACTTTTCTGCTCCTAACCTGGGCTAATGAAGACGGGCATACGCCATACAGTGTGCTATGAGGGAAATTTTGCCCGGACAGCGGCACTACGGCCTACTCTTATATCGAATTCCAACTGCCAAGGGATCTTTTACGTGCACGCCAATGTGTACACGGGACCTCGGTTTTTCGTCCCATCCGAACGACTAGACAGCTTTCCTTGTCAGCCCCTCCGTCCTGCATCACTGACAAGGGAGAACCACGCCGGAAAATCTGGATGAACTTTCTCGGCCAATGCAGGGATCGAACACCCGACCTCCAGGCTAGCGAGCTAGCGTCTTACCCACTTAGCCACGTGATCCTCCTGTTGATAGAGATAGATAGGAATCATTAATAATATTTCTAGTAAAACATATTCTTTTCAACCAGTTATTAATCATTATTTATTGTAAAGGATCTAAAACTAATCATTCAGAGGCATGGGGGGGGGGGGGCTGAATGGTTAGTGCATGCGCGTTGTATCATAAGGTCTGTCATTTAGTCAACTGGCGTGGTTTTGATTCCCGGGTTGTACGTGACAAGGAGTAGGTTCCTCTGTACAACCTCGTGGGTTTTCTACGGGTCCTCTGGTTTCCTCCCACTACTAAAGACCCCTACTCGTAAGCGAATTATTGTTTAAAATTGAACCATATGTTAGTCCCGAAATCACCTTGTTTGTGGACATTAAACCCCATTTCTGTCTCTCTCGTTTTAGAGGCATTTAGTAACTGGATAGATCTATAAACTAAAGTTCATACTACAACAGTATGTGTTATATTGGTCTAAAATTAGCAGTAAATATTTGTTTTACTGAAGATGTACTTTTAAAATGTATATCAACTGTTCACGTTGATACAGTACCAATAGGCCTATTAATACCAAAAATAATATAGGTTTAATTCAAAGTATAATATAGGCCTTATTCAAAGTATAATATAGGCCTAATACAAAGTATAATATAGGCCTAAATCAAAGTATAATATAGGTCTAATACAAAGTATAATATAGGCCTAATATAGGTGTAATACAAAGTATAATATCGGCCTAAATCAAAGTATAATATAGGCCTAAATCAAAGTATAATATAGGTCTAATACAAAGTATAATATCGGCCTAAATCAAAGTATAATATAGGCCTAAATCAAAGTATAATATAGGCCTAAATCAAAGTATAATATAGGTCTAATACAAAGTATAATATCGGCCTAAATCAAAGTATAATATAGGCCTAAATCAAAGTATAATATAGGTCTAATACAAAGTATAATATCGGCCTAAATCAAAGTATAATATAGGCCTAAATCAAAGTATAATTTTGATAAACAAACAAAAGAAAAACAAACATGAGTTGTGTAATTTAATCATGTGCATGTTCACAAACATCCATATTCCTGAGTACTTAATTATTAGGGCTAATCTATGATTAAATTACTGTACCTGTATAAGAAGGCCATATAAAAAAAACATATTCTGTTTCTCACTCGTCCTGTTTTTATATGGCCACATTGAAACTTGATTGTATATTGCCCCCGTTGGCGATCTGATGTCCACAATTGCTGTTGGACGCTCTACAGATTTAATTTATATCCGATTGACTTTAAATTTATTTGAAAGGTGTAAGATCATGAGACAAAGAAGCCTATTGATTTTCAACAGATTTTCAACAATTACTGCCAGAGTTATTGACCTTGATCACTTTGAAAAACCTTGTGGCAACTCTAGAGTCTGTTGATTTTCAACAATTTCCTATAATTGTATATTTTTAAACTATTATATCGAGAACTGCCAAATCTTTTTCTAATCATCTATAATGCCACTTTAATATAAATTATTCCTTGTCACGTACAGCAGGGGAATCGAAACCACACCAGTGGACTCAATGACAGACCTTAAGATGCTAACCATTCGGCCGTCCAATCCCCCTCAATCAAAACAAATTCTAATGATTTCTGATAGTTACTTAATGGGTTGTTACCCGTATTCAGAATTTAGTGTACTGTAAATGCTTTCATTACTCACCACAAAAGAAAGAAATATAATGTGATAACCATTGTTTACTGCCGAACGACATAGCTGTTGTGGGTATATGTTTCTTTATTTATTTTTATTTCAAAACGTATAAAATAAAAACATCCTTGTTGGTTACTACTAATAAATTAGAAACAGCTAATAGGAAATGAATTCCTTTTAACAGCTTGAATAAAAACATAACTTCCGTATATTAGATATTTATGACGGGATTGTCCTACAACTAGAATAATTGCTTGGTATGGACTAAATAATCGTTCTGTTTAAATTTAAACATGGTTTATAAATACGTGAAATAGTTTAGTCACTCCAAGGGTGCAGTTTAGTGGCATACTAATAAAATACTTTAAAAAGCCTTTTTTAAATGTGCACATGTAAATGTAGTCGTATATTGTCGTCGCCATCTATAAATTATTATAGGACAAGGGTTTGGATTGCCGAATGGTTAGCATGTGCGCACTTGTACGTGACAAAAAGTAGGGTCGCCTGTCCAACTTCATGGGTTTTCTCCTATGCGCAATCGAATTATTGAAATAAAATTGAAACATATGTTAGTCCCAAAATGCCCTAGTTTGTGTCGTGTGGACATTAAACCCCATTTCTCTCTTTCTTTCTTTATTGTGGGACAAAAATAACGTTAGTCACAATTTTGAAAATTCAAAATAAATCAATAAAAGAATTAGATTCATCCAACTTGTCCCTTGAATGATTGTAAAACAAAAATGCTTGGTTGCATTTCTTAATGCAGTTCCAATTTTTTTGAGCCACGGTGGCTAAGTGAATAGGACGCTTGCTTTGAGGTTGCTTTTTCGATCCCTGCATTGGCCAAGAAAGTTCATCTGTATTTTGCACTGTGATTTCCCCTTGTCAGTGGTGCAGGATGGAGGGCCTGACAAGGACAGCTGTCTTTGTTTTTCTGATGGGATGAAAAACCGAGGTCCTGGGTATACATTGGCGTGCATGTAAAATATACCTTGACAGTTGGAATTCGATATAAGAGTGGCCATAGTGCTGTTGCTCAGGCAAAATTCCCTCATAACACACTGCATGGTGTATGCCCATCTTCATTAGCCCATTCGGAGCAGAACAGTAGGACGTTAAATCCCATTTCTAGCAGGGCGTTCATTAGATACATGTAGTATGTTTAATCACAGAGGGTGTAAGGATGTTATAAATGACTTGTAACATTGACACCTGCGCTATTGCACAGAAATCCAACTCATATGTTTTCATCTAAAACTGGCATAAAATAGCAAAATAGTGCGATACTATCGAAATTGTCTAGTTATTGCAGGGTTAACCTCCACCCGATCTATTAGAGTACAAACAATCTGCTTATTCAACAAAAAGAACCTAAGAAGATTCTCTGTCTATTTAATGGGTTGTGTGCGGCCACAGCTATGCAGGTTACTGGGCAGTTTATGAGGAGTCTAAGGAGCGCTACATAGCACGGGTTGGGGCAGTCTGGAAGATAACGTGTTAATTGATATTTTTTTGTGGTATGTTTTCAGGTATTGTATGGAACATGCAAGGAGAGCGAATTTAGTTCGACAAAAACATTTAGCAAGACATCAACCTGCGGATACATCAGAAAGTTTATTAGTAGAGTTATCACAGTCGTCCAGTCCTTTAGTTGATAATATAAAAGATAATAATAAAAATAAATCAAGACTACCAGCAGACAGTATCGCGAATAGAATACTCGGTAAGTTAACATGCTGATATATCTGTTTATGATAATATCAATGATTCAAATAAATTTCACTGAAGTCATACTCCCTCGCAGTGTTTCTTCATCCAGATTTTCCAGCGTGGTTTCCCTTTGTCAGTGATGCAGGACGGATGTATCGTGTACACATTGGAGTGCACGTAGCACACTGTATGGCGTATGCCCGTCTTCATTAGCCAAGTTTAGGAGCAGAACAGTAGGATGTTAAACCCCATTTCATTTCATTTCATTTCATTTCGCAGTGTTTCATTCCCTTATCTAGTCCTAATTTCACTCTGATTGTTTTTCTCAAAGTACAGCAATGACTAGAGTTTGATTTCTTGGTCCATTGCTTCAGATATCTGCTCTAAAGTAGGCAGAAAATATTTGACATGCATGATTCAAAGCTAAGGATTCAAAGAATTGTATGTATTGTGAGAGGATATCCTAACCTGTATGGGTTTTTTATACGCCCACATTTAAATGTGGTCGTATATTCGTCATGAGACGAAGAAGCCTATTGATTTTCAGCGATTTCCGATAATTACTACCAGAGTTATGGCCCTTGATCACTTTAAAAAATCTTGTGGACGCTCTAGAGGCCAAAGTTAATATCCGATTGACTTTGAATTCATACACAGTGTTTAAGGTCATGAGACGAAGAAGCCTATTGATTTTTTAGCAATTTCCGATAATTACTGCCAGAGTTATGGCCCTTGATCACTTTGAAAAATCTTGTGGACACTCTAGAGGCCAAAGTTAATATCAGATTGACTTTAAATTTATACACAGTGTTTAAGGTCATGAGACGAAGAAGCCTATTGATTTTCATCGATTTACGGTAATTAATGCCAGAGTTATAGCCCTTGATCACTTTGAAAAATCTTGTGGAGGCTTTAAAGGCTAAAGTTAATATCCGATTGACTTTAAATTTATACACAGTGTTTAATGTCATGAGACGAAGAAGCCTATTGATTTTCACCGATTTTTGATAATTACTGCCAGAGTTATGGCCCTTAATCACTTTGAAAAATCTTGTGGACACTCTAGAGGCCAAAGTTAATATCCGATTGACCTTGAATTTATACACAGTGTTTAGGATCATGAGACGAAGAATCCTATTGATTTCCGATAATTACTGCCAAAGTTATGGCCCTTGATCACTTTGCAAAATCTTGTGACGCTCTAAAGGCTAAAGTTATCATCCGATTGACTTCAGATTGCTACACAGAGTTTAAGATCTTGAGAGGAACAAGTATATTGATTTTCAATGAATTTTTATGTCTTGGAACAGCTAAATCCATGATATTAAAAGTTTTGTATACAAAACGTTAGCATGGTTCAGAACTTTATAAAAACCAAACAAATTCTAATTGTTTTCTCAGTTGTTGCTCTTAATCAGATTTTAGTGTATTATAGATGTTTCATTACCGAAAAAAGTAAAAATATGCGACAACTCTTGTTGACTGCCCGGACGATTTAGCTGCTGTGGGCGTATGTTTCGTTGCCTGGCAACCTATCTTCGAATCTAGAAGTGTGTTTATTTATGTTATATCTGATAGATTACGCTTGTTCTGATGAGTGTTTATGTTATATCTGATGGATTACGCTTGTTCTGATGAGTGTTTATGTTATATCTGATGGATTACGCTTGTTCTGATGTGTGTTTATGTTATATCTCTGATAGCGGGATTACGCTAGTGTTTATGTAATATCTGATGGATTATGCTAGTTCTGATGTATGTTATATCTGATAGATTACACATGGTCTGATGTATGTTATATCTGATGGATTACGCTAGTGTTTATATTATATTTGATAAATTATGCGAGTTCTGATGTATGTTCATGTTATATCTGTTAGATTATGCGAGTTCTGATGAATCTGATGTTGAGGGTTGTTTAATAGATGGAACATGGCGTGGTGATGGTGACAGCGATGCAGAAAGTATTGACAGTGAACAAGAAGATGTCCTCAAGTAAGATTATTGTCTTTAAATGTAGATTATCTCATTTGAATTATCATTTATCAAAAAAATCAATAATTCCAATAATTTTGTCAAGTTTAACAAAGATTTTTAATTTCTTCATAGCTCCAATATATATTGATTAGAATATATCTGGAGTATGAGTACGTGAAATGGAAGTCTGCAAGTTCTGGGGATAAATTTTAAAATGCTTAAACATGCATTATGCAAGAGCTAAGTCTGCCTATTACAGGTCTTTCTTTCAACCTGAAATGTTATCTAGATTATTAATTAGACATTAATTAACTTTTCCAAGCCATAATCAACTCTCGATGCCTTTGTTAGCCTACGATATTTATTGGATTTGAAGACATTTAGTGATGGATAATTTAACGTAAAAATGGTTAATCGAGACTTTGTTTGTTATCATACCAACGTCAGTAATGAGAACCAAGACGAGCCTAAAATTCAATGGCTAATATCTCGGCTCAGAGTGAAGTAATATGACTGAAATTTTCAGTATTTTCTGTTTTCATTATCTCTTTTTTTAACCATTATAACAAGAACTGTCAGCTCTATATCTTATCTTACCTAACGCCCTGAAATTTTGATATTTCCCATATTACAGACACGCTGGTGTATATACAGCAGAAGAAGTGACGTTGATTTTACGTGATAAGTTAATCAAACTACAGTCGTTATATATTGACCAGTTTAAACGTTTACAACATGTGATGAAGGAACAAAGACGAAGATATATACATACACACAAACAGGAGAAAGATTCACTAGGTAAGATATATACATACACAGAAACGGGAGAAAGATTCACTAGGTAAGATGAATTTAAAGCATCTTTTGAGTTTGTCGATCGATCATGCTATATTGTCTGTCTGATATCTAACTGGTTTTATGTCTGATATCTACCGGGGAACTGGTATTATGTCTGATATCTAACTGGTTTTATGTCTGATGGGGGGTTGGATGGCCGAGTGGTTAGCATGTGCGTGCCGTATCATAAGGCCTGTCATTGAGTCAACTGGCGTGGTTTCGAATCCCGGTTGTACGTGACAAGAAGTAGGGTTGCCTGTCCAACCTCGTGGGTTTTCTCCGGGTCCTCCAGTTTCCTCCCACTGCTAAAGACCCCTGCGCGTAAGCGAATTATTGAAATAAAATTAAACCATATGTTAGTCCCGAAATGACATAGTTTGTGTCGAGTGGACGTTAAACCCCATCTCTCTCTCTCTCTCTTTATGTCTAATATCTAACTGGTTTTATGTCTAATATGTCTAATATCTAACTGTTTTATGTCTAATATCTCTAATATCTAACTGGTTTTATGTCTAATATCTAACTGGTTTTATGTCTAATATGTCTAATATCAAACTGTTTTATGTCTAATATCTCTAATATCTAACTGGTTTTATCTCTAATATCTCTAATATCTAATATCTCTAATATCTAACTGGTTTTATGTCTAATATCTCTAATATCTAACTGGTTTTATGTCTAATATCTCTAATATCTAACTGGTTTTATGTCTAATATCTAACTGGTTTTATGTCTAATATCAAACTGTTTTATGTCTAATATCTCTAATATCTAACTGGTTTTATGTCTAATATCTCTAATATCTAACTGGTTTTATGTCTAATATCTAACTGGTTTTATGTCTAATATCTAACTGGTTTATTTATTGACTGATATTTGTAAGGTTTCATGTCTTGATATTATTATGTATTATTGAATATTTATATTTTATTTTGTAGGTGGACTTAAAGCTTATAAAGCAGATCCATATCTACGAAAAAAATACGATAAATTGAAGGCGTACAAAAGATACCATAATAGATACGGAAAGGTTTGATGCATATCTTTTTATTTTACAATCTATACCAGTTTCTATGGTACTGTCTAGTAAATATAATCTATACCAGTTACTATGGTAATGTCTAGTACCTGGTAGAATTTATAGGAAAGTTACTCAGTATGTTTTGTAGAAGCTTATACTACTGCCCGGTTCAATGAGACGAAACCACTGCATTGGTAAAAACAGCTTGTATCCTCACTGCTGTGTTGAAACAGATGTAGCCAGTTTTATATTAAAATCTGCAAAACTTATTTGAGGATTTTGAGTCTCTTGTCAACTACAATATTAATAGGAATATGAGTTCAGTGGTTCAATTCCATTCAAATATAATGAATTGAAAATTTGTAGGCTGATACACACAGAGATCCATCTACTTTGAGTATAGATCATCTCCCCATTATGGCTTCCATGTCCAACAATTAGTATACTACGTACGAAAATTAATTGGTGGCTAGCTTTTTTTTCGCACGTATACAGGGAATGGCCATTTTGCTCAGTAATCCCAGCCAGAATTTGGTTATTTTCTAAATTTGCGTTAAAGTTTAAAATATTTGTTTTAGAACTCAAATAGATTCACTATTAGTCAATCACAACGCAAAAAAAATCAACAGAATTGATTGTGTATATCTGAAATAGACACGACCGACGCACAAAATAGTGCCAACCATTCGCAGATGCTGTCATTGAAGACAACGTCAATTCTATGAGCTGGAAGAAGAGAGAATTCGTTGGGACTGTACGAATTATATAGTCTTCATGGGTGCAAAGGACACAATGCTGAAGATAAACCTATTGTTTACAATTTAACGTGTTGTTGATCTCATGACCCATTGACGTCAATGTCATGACCTGTGATGTGTAGATCACGTGATATGGATATGTGTCTGAGATACTTCTCCGCAGGTAGTGTGTCTCAGATGTTCAGAATGCTGTTTAGTAAAGCAGTTCTACACCGTTTCACATCTGTCATACACCTAGACTAAATAAACCTATTCAATTCCTTTAAATGGAAGCTGAATAAGTACTTTAACAAAATTCTCAAAGTATTCTTAGTGTTTTTGACTAAAAGTGTTGGTCAGCCAGCGCAGTGTCTGTTTTCAAGCAGAGCTAACTGTAAACAGACAACCTAAGTTTAGTATATAGGGCTGACCTTAAAAATATCTTTGTTTCGCCTAACGCGACCGACTAACTAAAACCACCCCCGACTTAAATTATTTTATTGCACTTTTCCGCGATCTTTTTATTTTATTTTGTGTGTCAACCTGAAATATATCACGAGAGTTATTTCCCTTTACTATGGCTATGGTTTGATTCATTATTGAAACTGGTTGATCAAGACGAAAGCGTCATAGGTGTCGCTTCTCAACAAAATGGTTGCAGACGAAAGCACGTCCATTCCCACGAAATGATTCTGCCTCTATGTCTGTGGGGCGTCGTTTTAAACATGACGAAGATATTTTCAATATCCGTTTTTGAGAAAAATGAAGGCACGATCGTTAAAAACGTGTTGAAGGGGTTTCACACTTAGAGTTCGTGGCAAATCGTGTGCGAGTCTCGGAGTCGTGCATCATGAAAAATCCCGATGTCATACTCATTGATTTGTTTGACAATAAAAAAAGACGAATGTTTCCCCCCAGAAAATTATCAAGCTGTCAAATTAGCTCTTTAAAAAAAAATCTGAAAAAAAACCCCGACCTACCGACCCTTCTCCTCGATTGTGGGTCGGGTTTGGCGAAACAAAGATATTTTTAAGGTCAGCCTAGGATTTGGTCAAAGGCCAGCCAGGACAACCTAGAGAATTTGTCTATATTTTAATATACTTGCCTTAAAGTTGACAAATATTATGTAAATAATAATTTCTCTATCTTTCTTTTTATTTGATGACCAGGAGGCCATTTTACATCGTAAATCCAATGTTCGTCGTGTGGCGGTGTCGGAAGGTGTTGGTTTTAAAACCCAGATTTATCCCAAGTGTCAAGGACTAGAAGATGGCATGAAATGTTTAGAGAGATCTGTTCCGTTATCTAAATACTGTTTTAAACGTATCCTTCTCTATCAGTTATTATTCTTACATTTATATATACGCCCAAATGGAAATGTGGTCATATATTGTTATTGCCTCAATGTGTCCGTTGTCCACAATTTCTTGGGGTGGTTGAATGGCACAATGGTTAGCACGTGCACGCTGTATCATAAGGTCTGTCATTGAGTCAACTGGTTTGGTTTCAATTTCCCGGCTGTACGTAACAAGGAGTAGGGTCGCCTGTCCAACCTTGTGGGTTTTTCCGTATCCTCCGGTTTCCACCCAGTGCGTATTATTGAAAAAAAATTGAACCATGTGTTTGTCCCGAAATGACCTAGTTTGAGTTGAGTGGACGTTAAACGCCATTTCTCTCTCTCCCTCCCAAGTTTGTAAGCAACAATTGGGAAGGTTAACTTTCCAATCTCCTGGGTTTTTTGTTAGGTTCCTACCACTGCTAAAGACCCTAACCCCAAACCCTAGCGATGAGCTTTATAACACGCACTGTAGTTTTAAACATCTGTCATCATCCAGTCGTTATTGTTTGTATTTTGGGGGGTTGGATGGCTGAATGGTTAGCGTGCGCGCGCTGTATCATAAAGTCTGTCATTGAGTCGACTGGCGTGGTTTCGAATCCCCGGTTGTACGTGGCAAGGAGTAGGGTCGCCTGTCCAACCTTGTGGGTTTTCTCCGGTTCTTCCGGTTTCCTCCCACTGCTAAAGACCCCTACGCGCAAGCGAATTATGTAAATAAAATTAAACCATATGTTAATCCCGAAATGACCTAGTTTGTGTCGAGTGGACGTTAAACCCCATTTCTCCCTCTCTCTCTATTGTTTGTATTTTAGAGGAAAGCCAAAAAAAAACCTTAATGAACAAATTGAAAAAATTTCTCCCCTAAGAAAGTTCTCCCTGTTTTGATAAGAAGAATTAGTGATCTGATATTAAGCGATAGTGATTAGTTATGTGTATGGGAAATAGTTCTGAAGATCAATAACTTCATGTAATTAAGTTATTCATGGTTTCATAAATTGCAGGTCTTTCTTTAGGTCTGAAATGTTTTATAAATTATTAAGTAGACATTTATGACGCAACAAGACCATAATCAACTCTCCATGCCATCCGATGGCTCCGATTTTAAGTAGAAAAGTTCTGCCATTTAAACATTTAATTTAAAAATGGAGAAGCAAGTCTAAGACTCAAATTACCAGTAAGGTGGTTACATTCAATACACACATCTTGTCAAAACTACAACCATTGAAATACTATATAGCGAGAAAGGTGTCAGCTCTTTATCTAAACCTTCCATGATGACCCTTTAAAATCAAGGCTATCTTAAAGATACAGTATGTAAGATTTAGATAAAGAGCTAGCCATTCTTGCTATAATAGTTCGAAAATAGATAATGTAAAATGAATAATTTGAAAATTTCATTCAAATTACTCTATTGTGAGCGAAGATATTAGCCTTTGAAGGTTTGACAAGACTTGTGCAATAATTTCAACCACCATACTGGTTGTTCAAAGCTAAGTCTCGCTCCTCCATTTTTAGCTTAAATCAAAATATGGCTGAACTGTTCTAATCTATTTAATATCGGAGAAATCCGATGCCATCAAGAGTTGATTATGGCTTGATAAGTTAATGTCTTGTTAATAATTTAGATAACATTTCAGGCCTAAAGAAAGACCTGCAATAGGCAGATTTACCTCTTGTATAATGTACGTTTTTTCTTACATAATGCCCTTTTAAAATCCTTGATGTATATAATATTCAAGTTGACAGGTTTTATATTATTACCCTCCATGTTTATAATTAAAGTATATATTGTATTACAATCCTTGACATATATTCAGATATTTTACACGATACCAACCAGGTGTTGTATCGACCGTGTAGTTTCGCTCATGGAGGATGTGGTGTTCCTGTAGTACCTATAGATGATGATCCACGCTGTCATCTACATTATACCATCATAGACACCACAAATCATCAAATACAACAGGTAAAATAGTCTACTTATTACAGGTAAATAGTCTACTTACAACAGGTAAATAGTCTACTTACAACAGGTAAATAGTCTACTATAGGTAAATAGTCTACATGTACTTACTACAGGTACAGTCTACTACAGGTAAATAGTCTACATAATACTGTTAAATAGTCTACATGTACAGGTACATAGTCTACTACGGGTAAATAGTCTGCTACGGGTAAATAGTCTACATACTACAGGTAAATAGTCTAAAATTACTACATGAGGTCTTCATTTGTTGACACAGAAAAGTAGGAAGGTAAACAAACCCCCATTTCATTTCATCTAATAAATAGAGATTTTGTCGATATTAAAAGTGAAATATAATTTATGTTATTTTTACAGGAAGAAGAGTTGGAACCTGTTGATGTACGAGAACAGACAGACGCCAGTACGGACAGTACGCTCAGCGCTACTGGAGAATTTGATAGACCAGAAATATATAACATGACACCTGACCATATCAAACCAGAATTGATGGATACATCTTGATTCGTAGTTAAAATTACAATCATTTTGTTGATGGCTGTCTTTGTGGAAAGAAAAAAGTCTTATATTTGCCATCCTGTTTCTAAATGTTACAGAAAATGGAGGAAAGATGGGAAGTGGGTGTCTGCTTGAAGAAATAAACATGCCAGACGTTGTAGTGTGGGCTGTCGTTATTGACATGCTATTGGATAGCTGAATTCCCGAGATTAAAAGTTCTTGTACATATATTGTATATGTGGCTTATGTTTTATGTCTGCTCTGCCTTTTCCAGCAAATAGGCATTTTAACTGAAAAGTTTCTTCTTAATGACTAGTGTACAACCTTGTTGGTTTTCTCTGGGTCCTCCGGGTTTCCTCCCACTGCTAGAGACCCCTACGTGCAAGTGAATTATTGAAATAAAATTGAACCACATGTTAGTCCCGACATCACCTAGTTTATGTTTAGTGGATGTTAAACCCTCTCTCTCTCTCTCTCGTAAACTACATTTGTTTTTCTGTCTTTGTTAAATATTTAAGGAGTAATAAACATTTTGTGGAGCCACGATAAGTGAGTCTGACGCTGGCTGAGAAAGTGCATCAGGATTTTCCAGCACGGTTTTCCCTTTTCAGTGGTGCCAGATGGTACAACAAACTGAGGTCCCGTCTAAAAGATCCCTTGACAGTTGGAATTCGATATAAGGGTAGGCCATAGTGCGGCTGTCCAGGCAAAATTTCCCTCATAGCACAATGTATGGCGTATGCCTGTCAGAGCAGAGCAGTAGAACCCTAACCCTAACCCTAACCCAACCCCATTTCTCTCTCTCTGTAAAGAGTTAATACACAACCACCATAGGGTTGGTTAGGGTGATCTGAACAAAGATTAACTGGGGGTTAGAGTTCAGGTCATCTCCACGATCCTGAAGTAACAATTGTGAGTTTTACAACATCTAGCCATTTAAATTCCCAAAGTTTTAGGTATGGTACCTTATCATCCTTAACCATAGTTTAGTTTACAGCATAGAGTTATGATGATTTACACACTGTAACCCGGGTATCATTTAATCTTGTGTATGTATCACTAATTTCTTTTTAGGTATGGTACCTTATCATCCTTAACCATAGTTTAGTTTACAGCATAGAGTTATGATGATTTACACACTGTAACCCGGGTATCATTTAATCTTGTGTATGTATCACTAATTTCTTTCACATTTGTTAAATATCCAATCTTTGTTTAAAAATTTATAAAAACTGTTTAAAATCACCATAAATCATCTAATTTGTTTTTCTGTCCAGTTTAAAGCTGACCATTCAGTTATGATAATGAGTGTCCAATTTACAAGTGTTTGATTTCTCAATCTCTGTTAAAAAAATAAACAACCCAATTGATTATTGATGTATAATGATTAATTTTTGAACAGTGGTCAGGAAATTAAATACTTGTAAATTGGACACTCATTATCAAAATTAATCTGTCAGCTTTAAACTGGACACAAGTACAAATTAGATGATTTTTGGGGATTTTAAAAGATTTTTACAAATTTTTAAACAAAGATTTGATATTAGACGAATGTGAAAGAAATTAGTGCTAGATACACAGCTGTTGAAAGCTTTTGTTTTAGTAGAAAAACTCTTGGAGAACCAAAGAATAGCAACTTCATTAGCACAATGGAAGAACGGAAAAGTAAATTAGAAAGGTTTGGACTAAGATGTGTAGCGGAAAAAGTCCAGCAATCTGGACATTGAATGAACCTTGAACTAAGCAACTGGATTACCACAGCTAGACATTTCAGTTGGAAAGTGCAAGACTTGGTATTTTCTGTCAAGGAATCTGATAGGTCGGGAGCTGGGTCTATTATGACCAATCGAAATAAGTGACGTAAAATGTAGAATAATACATGAAGGCCTTGATAAGCTGTAGTGTGCTATGGAAAGTTTGTCCTAACCGGAACATATTTGCCTCTTAAATATAATGGATTTCAGAAGTCAAGGCTTCTATGGCAACAAGTTCGTGTGTGAACCATGTCCCATTAAAATAGCCCCTTCTGTTTTCCCCTTGGTCAGCCCTCCATCTGGCACAGGGAGCCATGGTGGCCAAGACGCTGGTTCGCAAGGCTGGAGGTCGCGTGTTAGATCCCGCACTGCCCGAGAAAGTTCATTGGGATTTCCCGTGGTTTCCCCCCTGTCAGTGGTGCAGGAAGGAGAGTCTGACAAGGACAGCTATCTTCATTCGGATGGGACAAAAAAAAAAAGGTCCTGTGTATACACTGGCAGTTGGAATTCAACATAACACACTGTATGGTGTATGCCAATCATCATTAGCCCAGTTGGAGCAAAACAGTCGGACGTTCAACCCCATCTCATTTCCGCCCTGCACAACTTAGGAGCGAAAACAAGGCTAGAAGATCCCCAGAAACTGTCCCAGCCAACATCAGTGCCTCCACATGATGGCCAATTCTTTCCCACACGTAATGAAATATGATTGGTCAATACGATAACAAGAACTATAGTGATTGGTCAATATGACAACAAGAACTATGGTGATTGGTCAATGATTAACATGTTTATTGAGTTTTATATACATTTATACAACAACAGATTTCGAACTATCCGATAATACAAGTCCTTAACTTATACGACACATCTCCCGATATCATATAATACAAGACACTAATCCTATACATGTACATATCATCTATTATAAGTCGTTAACTGATACTATACATCGCCACCTATCATAATACAAGTCACTAATCTTATACCATACATCGCCACCCATCGTATAATACAAGTCACTAATCTTATACCATACATTGCCACCTGTTGGATGGTAAATCGTTAACTTATAAAACACATCTCCACATATCGGATAACACAAGTCACTTATCTTATACCAAACATCTAAACCTATCAGATATTACAAATCGTTAACTTATATATACGATACATATCGTATGATACAAGTCTCTTAAATCATACATCAACACACCTTGACATATCGGATAATATAAGTCACTTATACCATACATCTATACCTATCGTATCGTATAATACATCTATACCTATCGTATCGTATAATACAAGTCACTTATCTTATCTCCACCTGTCGGATATTACAAGTCGTTTATCATATACACACCATGACATATCGTATAATACAAGTCACTTTTGGAGAGAACTTATAAAAGCTTTTGCAGTTTATTCACTCTGATTAATTCACTTTATTGAATAAAATATCGTTAAACTAAATTTACTTATATTTTTATCCTCATAACTTATAACATTCTCTACTGTAGTAGTACATTTATAGCTTATAACACAAAGGGAAATCTCTGAAATTCAATAGGATTCTTCATCTCACTAATATTAACAAGTATTAATTTTAAAATTATCAAATCATAAACACAGTCGGTTTTGTGTGTCCACAAACAATTGTGGATGACCAACAGCTGAGAGCAACAACAATACATGACATTTCTAAATCGGCATGAAAATATCTGGTACATTACGCTAGAGAAATTATTCGAATATTTACGTAGTACTACCTGGTACGTCTTTTTAAGTCCCCAGCCCCTCCAACATTCACACCCTGAACTTTAGAAAACATACAACAATAACATACAGTGTGCACCAATTTTTCTCAAATTTAGAACTCCCTTAGTTCCTCAAAATAATACGATCCATTTAAAAAAAAGTAAGTGGCTATTGTTACGATGAGTCTGAGCCAAGTTTAGAACGAATTCCAAAATGGCCGCCAATCTCTCCAACACCAGCGTTGAAAAGGGAGCAGTATTTTCAACATTTTCAGAACAGAAGGCAGCAATTAAGTGATGGGAAGGGTTAGGGTTAGGACTATTTTTATGACTATTCAGTTTTTAACTTCGCCGATGGAGGGCTGTGAAAGTATCATTGTAACAATAGTCTGAGGACTATTTTTATGACTTGTCGTAACAATAGCTACTGTCTAAAGAAAAAACACAACTACGATCGTACTATGGACCAGAAACTGACCAGGTTATTAGATGAAATTCAAATAATCTAATTCACCAAATTGATGCAAAATTGTTCAAAGACAAAATATGCCAATTTTCATTTCGATCGGACTTGAATTGACAGAGCCTTAGGCATTTTGAAGAGCTTCACCCCAAGAAGAACAAGAACGTATAGTGGTCAGTTCCTGGTCCAAAAAATGTAAATGGCACAAATTGTCCTTGGTATAATTTTTGGACTACAACATAAAAGTCTCAAAACATCCTTTGAAGGATTTTCAATCCATTGCAAACTAAAATATTGGGAAAACTGAATTTCAAAACAAGCGGTTGCCATGCAAGATACGCCCACATTTTGCAAGAGATGGATACAGAACAAGATAACAGAAAGCAATCGGGCATAATCTAGGATGCTTCAGTCCAACATGCGTCAAATTCTGAAGAAACACAAGATATTTGGGTCATAAAGCTATATATTTCAAGTTTCGTCAAATCGGATAAAAATAGACCCGTTAGGTCGACAAAAAAATGTGAACTGACAGATGAACAGGCCAGGGCGACGACAATATACGTCCACATGAAAATGTGGGCATATGTAAATCAATCCTTAAATGATCAAATTAAGTTTTAATCAGAATGAATCTGAGCTGTGATATTATCCACCATTAATATTTTTGTTTTGTTTTCTTAATTAAATATTCAATAATCAAAGTAAATTTCATAATAGACAAAGTCATGGAAAATTAGACATTTTCCCCAAAAAGACATACGATGCACAGTCTTTAAGACCAGAAATAAATTATCAATAAGCACTAAATTTCATTCAAACAAATGTTTTTCATGACAATGTCTTGTTTCAAATGTATGATAAATTAAAATGAGACTAATTTTTTTTAATATCCAGCAGCAATTCGATCTAAAACTTGTCGATACATGTCGACATGCTCCTCGAAACTTTTCTCTAAATATTCCATCCGCTTCTCTTCACTTACTGTCAGTGTCTCGTCTATTTCTTGTGGATTTAAGGCTTTCTTCAATTTCTGGAAATCACGTCGATTTTTCTGAAAAGACATAAAATTAAATTGTAAAATTATTTCCATATATAAATACCCGAGGAACCAAACAAATTTTATAATGCATTATTCATAAGATAAATAAATCAAATTTTTACAATTTTATAATCCAAATACCAGTACGTATAAACAGAATTTTCACTGAATTGGTCCAAAAACAGCAGTGCACCCAAGTACCAACCCTCAAGGGTTAGGGTACCACATAGTCTAACCTCAATTTCAATCAAACGTTTCAAAGAGAAATAATAAAAAAAAATTCCGGGAAACAAAAATTACAGACAGGAAACCTATAGTCCCTTTCGGTTTCACCAGTAGGGGACTAACATAAGGTGTCATTAAAATCAAACATTTGACATCTGCAAAAAAGTGACCAGCCATGAACTTCAAATCTTAAAACATATATTTCCTTGAGACTAATCATTTCATCTGATTGACCCTCTGAAAATATTTTTGTAATGACCATGAAAAATATAATCATAAGTATCAAATTGCCTGATAAAAAAGTTATGACAGAGTGTCAACCGCGGTATCTGCCATTGATATCTCTGTTGATGCATTACACGAACGCTGCCTGGAAACTCTCGCGCTGATCCATTCATCATATTGTAACACCCCTCTCACCTAGGAACTAAATTGATCAAAATGTTTCCAGTTTTTTTTTAATTCAGGATGTCTTATAGTGAGAGAGTTTAAACGGGGTTTAACTTGCACTCGACACAAACTAGGTCATTTCGGGACTAACATATGGTTTAATTTTATTTCAATAATTCGCTTGCGCATAGGGGTCTTTAGCAGTGGGGGGAACACCCGGAGAAAACCCACGATGTTGGACAGGCGACCAGACTCCTTGTCACGTACAACCGGGGATTCGAAACCACGCCAGTTGACTCAATGACAGGCGTTATGATACAGCAAGCACGTGCTAACCATTCGGCCATCCAACCCCCCAGGATATCTGATAAATGTTCATCTAAAGAAATATATCTTTTAAAAAGAAATAATACCCAAATAAAAATCAATAACAAGAAATTGTAAGTGACAAAAATAACCAATAAAATCTAAGATGTTTGTTTTTTGTTGAAGAAATTGTGAATTTGTTGGGTAGACTGTCTATCGGGTCGAGTTTCACGATGGACCACAGATCAGTTACGATTTATACCCACAAATCATCTACGATCACATGGTACATTGGGCCGGTCATAAAAAACAATTATTCTAGTTCTCAGATAATTCTGTGTCATTTAAAAAGCGTTGCATGACTCATTTATCAAATATGCAACCTTGATAAATGTTATTGGTAATTATAAATGATACTTGATAATCATATATTCCTACAATGCTACAAACAAATGAAATGAGGTTTAACGTCCTACTGTTCTGGTCCGAACTGGGCTAATGAAGACAGGCATAAGCCATACAGTGTGCTATGAGGGAAATTTTGCTCCAACAGCGGCACTACAGCCTACTCTTATATCAAATTCCAACTGTCAAGGGGATCTTTTACGTGCACACCAGTGTGTACACTGGACCTCAGTTTTTCGTCCCAACCAAACGACCAGACGGCTGTCCTTGTCAGGCCCTCCATCCTGCATCACTGACAAGGGAGAACCACACCGGAAAATCTGGATGAACTTTCGCGGCTAATGCAGGGATCGAACACCCGAACTCCAGGCTAGCGAACAATATGTTGAGATAAATATAGTACCTTGAAATGTGATATTTTGAGAAGTCATTTAGCCTAGTAGTCATACTTGGATAAAATAAAAACTCCCTCTCACATCAGACTGAGAACTAGAATATTAATTTTGTATGGCCTTGGTTTGAGCATTTATACATTTGACGTTGCAATAGATGGCTTGATCAACCTTTTCTTCAACAAAATAACATTAAACAAAAATACCTTTTACCAAATATTTTTCTCTTTTTATTTTGTTTTCTGTAAATGAATTGTTTTTCACAAAAGAAAGAGAAGTGCTTTGTAAAGATTAGTAAAATGATTAGCAGAATAAAAATAATAAAATAATTATTGGAGTTAATGTAAGATTTAGATAATAAAAGCCTGACAGTTGTAGGCCTAGCTATAATTGTTCAAAAATAGATAATGAACAGGGAATATGTTAAAAATTTCAGTCAATTGACTTTATTCTGAGTTGAGTTATCATTGTTTGCAGAACAGTGTAGTCTCGATTGTCATTACTACCATTGTTATGATAATAAACAAAGTTGAAAATCAAAACCATCCAAGTTCTTGAAATTTGATTAAGTTCTAGAGAGATGATTATAGGCTTGACATGTGAATAAATGTCTATTTAATGATTAGACAGATTTAGCTCCTGTATAATGCATCATTAATAATATTTTTGGACAAGGAACTGGGTCCCGAACCATAGGCATCTTTTTGTTCCTTCGACAAATGCACATCAATTAACAGACTTTGATTTTTGACATGTCTCAATTCCAAGATGACAGCCATGACCTCTTTTGTCATCTTTCTTTGGAAGACTTATTTGCACTTGCTCTTTAAAGAGCCCAAAAAAATTGACAGCAATTTTGGAAACCTTACACAATTCGATTTACCATGAAAATTTAAACTAAGAACATAATTCCCTAGAATAATTTCAACTAGGTTTCCCTTGATCAAGTATTACATAGAATTGTATAGGAAATAAATTAGTTGTAAATAATTTTTTAGTAAAATATTTGTCACAAAAATAATTAATATTACCGTTTGAAAGAAATTTGTCAGAAATAAATTGTTAATTATTTTTAATTTCCAGTAAAGTCTGATTTCCATGTACGCATTTTCGCCGATAACATGGAAACAGTCCTGTTACATCTGCATTTAACAGACATTTTTGTCAGCAAAAACGCATACATGGAAAACAGGCTTTAAGAGTTGAAGAGAAATTTGGTATTAATATTTCTGTTTACCTAATATCATATCTGTTAAATCATGCTATAATACAAACCGTAAATGGTGCATTCAATCTTCGTTTAACATCCAATCGAAAGTCTCGAAACTGTTGTGAATTATTTCCTTCTGTTGATTTAAGTCGTAGTATTTCATACACTCTACGAGCTTGACGCTGGAATAATAAATAATTGCATATTTTTACATATCTAAATTTCCTCTCACTGCTAAAGACTACTACGTGCAAGCGAATTATTGAAATAAAATTAAAACCATATATTAGTCCCGAAATGACCTAGTTTGTGTTGAGTAGACATTAAACCCCATTTCTCTCTCTCTCTCTCTAGTAGTAGAGGGTCCCAGTGGTCCTTACCATAGGAGAGAGAGAGAGAGAGAGAGAGAGAGAAATGGGGTTTAACCTCCACTCGACACAAACTAGGTAATTTCGGGACTAACATATGGTTTAATTTTATTTCAATAATTCGCTAGCGCGTAGGGGTCTTTAGCAGTGGGAGGAAACCAGAGGACCCAGAGAAAACGCACGAGGTTGGACAGGCGACCCTACTCCTTGTCACGTACAACTAGGGATTCGAAACCACACCAGTTGACTCAATGACAGGCTTTATGATACAGCGCGCACGTGCTAACCATTCGGCCATCCAACCATCCCCCCTTACCATAGGACTATATCTTTAGATGATGTGGTGGTAGGGGGGAGGAGGGAGGAGAGAGAGAGACAGAAACAGGGTAAAACATCCACTCAACACAAATAACTAGGTCATTTTGGGACTAATATATGGTTAAGTTTTATGTCAATAATTTGTTTGAGCGTAGGGTTACCACCACCCCCGACTCCCCCCCACCCCCACCACCATATATTTCTCCAATAGAGATCTTTGCCAATCTGGTTGAACAAATGTATAAAATAAAAACTTACTCGACTTAATTTCAGTTTTTGTCGTGCTTCCAGTAACATTTCATCACTAAAAGAGGATTTTAATTTTTCCGGTTGAAAATGATCTAATTTCTCTGCGTTCTTCACATCAACGTAATCTCGTAATCGCTGGAAATTTTCTGATGGATCTTCCACTAAATCCAGAAAAAAACAAGCCAACAGTGAGGCTGATGTCCCCCGCCGAAATCCCCAAATAAATAGATGACACATATTAATTAATCGCACATATATTTTTTTCAAAAGTATCGAACAATCAAACTGATTATCAACTATACACGAAGTTTCATCACTCTCTATCAGATAGAATCAAAGTTATCTTGTCCCAAAGCATCGACCAAGGAAATTGTTTATCTTTGCTTAGCTTTAGCCTAAGCAGACAATTTTCATCATCTAACTGAGTCAAGGTATTGATGTAATGAAAATATACACCAAGTTTCATCACTCTCACTTAATTAGAACTAAAGTTATCGTGTCCCAAAGCATCAATCAATCAAATTGCTTATCTCTGCTTACCCTAAGCAGAAAATGCTCATCTTCGAACTCCATCAAGGCATTGACCTAATAAACACCTACACCAAGTTTGAACATTCTAGGTCAATTAGGAGAGTTATTGTGTCCCAAAAAGTGTGACCGATAGACGAACCCATTTTAATAGTCCCTTGCTTTCTTCGAAAGGCGGGGGACAATAAAAAAAAATATAACAACATGATACCCAATGATAAATGAGATAGTGATTAGCATTCTACTTTTATGCCCCGATTGGGTTAATGAAGATGGGTTTACGGAGTGCAGTTAACTCTTAAACAAGCAGTGGCAAGGAATTCCCACCTAGAAAATCTTTGTTGACAACAGTTCTATGTTGCAAATTAAAAAATAAAATGAAAAGGAGTTAAAAGTTCTACTGTTCTGCTCTGACTGGGCTTATGAAGACGGCATACGCCATACAGTGTGCTACGAGGGTATTTTGCCCTGTCTTGGCCAATGTAGAGATCAAACACAGGTCCCTTGTTTAGCAAGTCAACGTCCTATACTCACTGGGCCACTGTGACTCTCTTCAATAAAATAATAAAATCACCTGTAATATCCATGACATCATCCCTATCATAACATGTATTATAGAACGTCTGTAATATTTGTGCTCCATGACCCTGGCGTTGAAAGGGAGGTAATATCAATACTTGACTGAAAGAAGAATAATTATTATACAAATACGAGCAGAACTCTCGATATACACTCTAGACAAATTAGGGGTTATTAAACATAATTATTTTAAAACCTATTATTTGAGAAATGTGCAGGGTACAAGTTTGTAGGGTACGGTATGTTTTTACTTTATAAGATTGAATTTTATACATTTTCATGCATCAATAACAACCTTGCTACTTTTAAACATACATTATACAAGAGTTAAATCTGCCTATTGCAGGTCTTTCTTTAGGCCTGAAATGTTATCTAAATTATTAATTAGACATTAACATGACAAGCGCATATCAACTCTCGATATGATGGGATATCTCCGATATAAAGTAGATTAGAACGGTTCAGCCATATTTTGATTTAATCTAAAAATGGTGAAGCAAGCTAAGCTTCGAACAACCAGTGCGGTGGTTCCAATTAATGCATGCATCTTGTCAAACCTTCAAAAGCTAATATCTTCGCTCGCAATGGAGCAATTTGAACAAAATTTTCAATAAATTCATTTTGCATTATCTATTTTCGAATTTTTATAGTAAGAATGGACAGCTCTTTATCTAAATAATACATAATTTTACGTTACATGGCACCATCTCTGAATGCTAGTAAGGAGAGAGAGAGAAATGGGGTTTAACGTCCACTCGACACAAACTAGGTCATTTCGGGACTAATATATGGTTTAATTTTATTTCAATAATTCGTTTGCGCGTAGGGGTCTTTAGCAGTGGGAGGAAACCGGAGGACCACGAGAAAACCCTGCTAGTAAGGAATAGGTTTACATGGGGTATATGAAATGGAAATAGATATCAAACAGACACAACTAGAGCTATGTACATTTACCTGTTAGATTAAGGGGGTGCTCGGTTGTCAGTCTGGAACGTCCCGAATTGACAGAATTGCAATCAAGTGATACAGAATTCAGTCCTGTCACAGTTCTGTCAGTCCCGACAGTTGAGGTGGTGTGAGTAGAATCGTGACGTATTTTAAGTAACATATATGTTTCAGCTGTCATGATTGGTTAAGATATTTTTTATACAGTCGGCACATGCGTTGTACTCCGAAATTCCCAATTTCACTTGAATGAAAATATTTTTGGAATTGAGAGAATTTAATTCTGGAACGATCAATCGATTATCCCCTATGATAAGCCTCATAGAGTTATGCACCCTTACCTGTTAGATTAGGATAAGTATAGTGGAGCTGTGTACCTTTACCTGTTAGATTAGGTTAAGTACAAGAGAGTTATGTACCCTTACCTGATTCTAGGTCGTGTTTTATTGGGATAAGCGTAGTAATTATAAACAGTCATATAACCAGCTATAGCGTACATTGTATTACCATCCGATTTATATTTTTCAAACCTTTAAATAGAATAAATATAATATACATCAAAAATAACCTCATTCAAATTATTTCAAATACAATAAATACATCAAGAATAACCTCATATAAATACAAAATACATCAAAAATAACCTCATTCAAATACAATATATATACTGATGTCCAAAAGAAAGTATACACACTAAAAGTAGGACTAAGTTTTGTTTAGATTAAAAACATTTAATAAAGCATTACTGAGTTTGTCTCTTGCGTCCAAACTCAACATTTCTAAGCAAAATAAAAATGTGAAACAAATTAACATTCTACCCAAATACCGCATACCATGGAAAAACGACTTTGGTTGATGCAGCACAAAATGCACAGTGTATACTTTCTTTTGAACATTAGTATACAAAATACATCAAAAATAACCTCATTTAAATACAATAAATACATCAAAAATAACCTCATTTAAATACAATAAATATATCAAGAATAAGGTCAGTTAATAAATTGTGAAATATACTCTAGTCCGTATAAGACTGGGAACAATGTGAGGAGGGCTTATTTTCAACTTACAGACGGAAATGAATCAGAATCAGGGTTTAAGGTCTGACTGGGCTAATGAAAACAGTGTGCTATGAGATTTTTCATTTTTTGGGAATGATTAATGTTGTCCCTTGCTAGGCCCTCAGTTCAATTTATAGATGCCGCTACTGTTTTGGTTGAGTAAAAATATGTTATATTGAGTAGTGAACATGGAGCACTGGATCCTACCTCATTTCACTTCACAGGCATTTACAACTTTAGTATTACATGGTCATTACATTAACTTTACTGAACAATTGACAGTGTCTTTAAATATAAATAATCAACTTACAATAAATAATAATTCCATCGATCATCATCAACATCTATATAACTAGCAGCATCAATAAAGAACAATAAAAATGTCTGTAATCGACTGTGATATTCACGGAATCCGGGAGCTTCAATATCTGTTTTATAAATTTCAAACGTTCTACTTCCACCTTCTGAAAAACATTCACATCCCAACTACTATGTAATACAGTTGAATCGAGTTTAACATCCTACTTTTTTGCCCTGACCGGGCTAATGAAGACTGAAATGAAATAGTGTTTAACATCCTACTTTTTGCCCTGACCGGGCTAATGAAGACTGAAATTAAATAGTGTTTAACATCCTACTTTTTTGCCCTGACCGGGCTAATGAAGACTGAAATGAAATAGTGTTTAACATCCTACTTTTCTGCTCCGACCGGTATAATGAAGGTGGAAATGAAATGGGGTTTAACGTCCTACTGTTCTGCTCCGACTGGACTAATGAAGACAGGCATACACCATACAGTGAGCTATGTGGGAAATTTTGCTCCAACAACGGCACTACGGCCTACTCTTATATCGTATTCCAACTGTCGAGGGATCTTTTACATGCACGTCAATGTGTAAACAGGACCTTGGTTTTCCGTGCCATCCAATTGACTAGACAGCTGTTCTTGTCAGGCTCTCCATCCTGCACCACTCACAGGGGGGAAACCAGACTGGAGCGAAATAATGCCACAACAGAGACAGAGCTGTCCACTTGACACAAACTAGGTCATTTTGAGACTAACATATGGTTCAATTCTATTTCAATAATCCGCTTGTCCATAGGGGTCTTCAGCAGAGGAGGAAACCTGAGACAACAGGCGACCCTATTCCATGTCACGTACAACCAGGGAATCAAAACTATGCCAGTTGATTCAATGACAGACTTTATGATACAGAGCGCACATGCTAACCAATCGGCCATCCAACCCCCCATTGTGTCATAAGAAAGAGTTTGTGAATCCATAATGAATGAAAATTGGGTACCGACTGAATGAAATCTGTGTTTACCTTTTTTTATTTTATAAGAATGAAGTAATTCACCGAATGGTCTGAAGTTTTGTTCTTTAGGAAGTGTAGCTAGGAAATCATCAATATTAGTATAATAACCCGGGGGTATTTCTTGTGCTAGTTTCGGTATAATATCATCAGCCTGTAATACACCAAAATATAATATATATCATTTATTAAAACATTTATATCATTTATCAAAACATTCATATCAATTCCTATAACATTTATATCAATTCCTATAACATTTATATCAATTCCTAGAACAATTATATCAATTCCTAAAACAATTATATCAATTCCTAAAACAATTATATCAATTCCTAAAACAATTATATCAATTCCTAAAACAATTATATCAATTCCTAAAACATTTATATAATTTCCTAAAACGATTAATATCATTTCCTAAAACATTTATATCAATTTGTAAAACATTTATACCAATTCCTAAAACGATTATAACATCAGCCTGAAATGTTATGTTTTTCTAAGACATTTATAAGTTAAGAATGAGAATCGACAATATATAGGACATTTTATACCCCACTTCATTTTACATTAACTAATTTGGAGAAAATCCATGTGGTTAGGCAGGTAGCCCTAGTCTTTGTCACGTACAAACATTGAAAACACTCCTCTTCACTTAGTAACAGACCTAATGATCTAAACAGCACACTCAATAACCTACCCCTTCCTCGATGTTATAAACATGAAATATCAAAATATAATAATAAAAGTTAAAACTTACAACAAGACCATCAAATCTTTTAGGAGTAACTTTATCTATATAAGACATACTGAGATAGGTTGTTAGTTTAGCAGCTGTATAATACATCTTTACTTCTAAATCTTTATAACCAAATATACTTTCTCTATTAAATACAAACAAAATACACATAAAATAGCGTCTAACATCCTACTGGGCTAATAAAAAACGGACATACACCATGCAGTGAGCTAGAGGGAAATTTGCCCGGACAGTGGCCCGACTCTTATATCGATTTCCACTGGGATATCGGTTTTTCCTCCCATCCGAATGACTAGACAGCTGTCCATATCCATCCTATCCATATTCTCACGAAAATTTGGACGATAAATTTGAAAACTGTTATTGAAAATCACTATGATTATTCATCTCTTTAACATGAACATGTTGATCAAAACATAAAATGCAGTAATCAAGCTTTTGCTAGCGCGTAGCGGTCTTTAGCAGTGGGAGGAAGTCGGAGGACCCAGAGAAAACCCACGAGGTTGGACAGACGACCCTACTTCTTGTCACATACAACCAGGGAATCGAAACCATGCCAGTTGACTCAATGACAGACCTTATGAAACAGTGCACACATGCTAAGCGTTACACCAATTCCCCCTACACATGTGGGCATTTAAAATGTCAGCTTTAATAAATACGATTTTTACTAATGTCAGGCTATTGTTGAGTAAAATATATAGATCTTACTGTTCTCCAAATATCTGATGTGTCATGTCTGCTTTAAATGTCTTATCATGGTCTTCGACATCAGATTCATTCCGAACTAAAAACAAAAAAAAAACAAATACAGCAATTAATTGTAAAACTTGGAAAATTAAATAAATCCTACATATTTGTTTGCTCGAACAGGCAGCATGAAGACAAGCAGACGACATGCAGTGTGCTATGAGGGAAATTCTACCTGGACAGTAGATAACAAACCTTAATCTCTCAACCCTCCGTGTTTCGAGTTAAGAACTGAGGCCATGACCTTTAACGTTGCAGCTGCCGGAGCGATTCACACCCGGCATTTTTAAACAAAATTGACAATAGTTTCAATCAAAACAACGATTGATTATTGTTATTTATAATATTTCTGCAACACCCAACTACAATTAAGCATATAATCCTACCTGAAACGGGTACAAATCGTCGTTTTTAAAATCGAGGCGTTCAGCCGTTACTAAGACCACCATCTTTTTAAATGATATGCTGTCATCATGAAGGCGGGGCTAAATATCAGGCTTTATAACAGCCAATCAAAAGGAGAATCGAAAGCACAGTAACTATGAATGGATTTCGATGGCAGTGAAATGTCAGACAAAAACAACGCTTCATTAATTTAAACGCGAATATTTTGAGTTAGGCGACAGTTGTGCCACTACATTGGCCTCTGTAAGTTTAATTAATCATAATATCATAAACTTATCTATTTTAAAGATGTTACCGTACATGCATTAATAAAGAAATTGAGTTTGCCACTTGGAACTAAAGTCATCCAATCGTAGCTAAAAACAAACACATCGGTATATCTCAACGTTTATAGCTACGTTCTCGTAGCTACCTGGACAGTAGCGATATCGGTTACTCTTATTTTGAATTACAATTTCACGAGTCCTTTTATATTTACAAGTTGCATTAAAATTGTGCGGTTTTGCGCACTCAATCTAAATGACTCTCAAATTACTCAATAGCAGCAAGTGAAATCGTTGTGTGACCAAGTTTGGTATGAGGCAGTTCCTGGCGAGCCCCTACATCATACACTACACATGACAGGTGGCCTTCTTTTAACTTTAACACAGGTAAAATACACTGATCTGGACTTTTTAAGAAGAGCAATTTTCTGATTTTAATCTAACAGGACTTTCTTACCCAACTTAAAATGGATGACATCATTAGCATTGAGTTTAAAATCTTCTAATTTGTTTTTCAACAAACATGAACCTGCAAGTAAACATCATAGTAATTCATTTGTTATAAACAATGGTTTCTTTGGGTTGTATCCTTGATTGTTTTCAAATTTGAGTGAAGTCTATGTCACTACAGACCCAGGACGGTACAGCGCAGTGGACGCTTACGGCTAGCCCCCGGATCCATTCACTTTTTTTTAATTGTTTGTCTGTTTGTGTTTTTCTGAGTATGATGTCTTGTCTGTTTATTTGTTTTTGTGGTGCAGTCCCCCTGCACTTACTATTAGTATTAGTGTTAGCTTCTAAAAAACATTTGGAAACAGCCCATAATCCGGTCATAAAAATAGTCCAAAGATTTTTGTATATTTCCTGGAGTGGAAGCGCACTTGCGATAAAACGTGCCATGGATATCCATTACGGGTCCATAAAAATTGCCACTTTATTCCAAAATAACCTTACTAACTTAGAAAAGTTAGAACAGACTAGGCTACAGTAGTACATTGTACATAGTCATAATAGATAGAGGACTTGACAGTCACTGAGTCAGGTGGTTGCGTAGGGCATTTTCATATTGCAGCTTATATGGACAAACAGGAAAGGCGAGAGGACGGTGAGACCATTCCTTAAGGAACTATGTGACTGGGGGCAGATGGACCTTGTATTTTGTACAACGGTTAGTCAACACACATCATTTTGTTATTTATATTTATTGGCAAACGTTTGTTTTGTTCAGTCAAAATTGAAGTCAACATTTCCCTCAATATGGCCTTAGTGTAACGGTAAACTTCAATTCATTGTGTAAATTTTATAAGTATATTTTGTGACTATTTCATGGTTAACTTTGTCCGCCAATAAAAAGCCAGACAGGTGTACCACAGCATTATTAAAATATGGTTTGCGTCTCCGCTAACACATTTCTTACCCGCCATTTTGTCTTCCCGCGAGACGAACGTTCTTGACCTTTGATGTTTACTTCCAGGTGAAATTGCACGCGCATCTAAGAATATCATCTAATCAACGGCAAGATAACACGTGAATGACCTCGACCTTGAGTGTTATATCATGGCGGTTAATGGCACGGTATGCAAAGTTTTCTCGTGTTGTAACAGTAAAAACATTGCTTTCGCATGCACATTTTATGTTTGCATAACTGAAAAATGTTTCTTCTTTATGTTTATTTTTATTGATTTGCATTACAGGGCAGCAGGTTTGATATCATATCCAAAATATGGCCGATTCCAAAGAAAGCCGAGTGTGAGGGACTTAGAAAGGTTAGGTGAAAGACATTACAGTAAAGTACACTAAAACTTGCTAGAAAATAGCTTAATAATAATGCAATTCTTAAAAGATAACTAACAAAAAAAATGAATGAATAGTACAATTAACTTGTTTCAGACTTAATTAAGTAGTTACATTTTTGAGTAGAATTAGTCGAGTGTTATTGTTGCATGAGCGGGTTTGTAAATAGATCAATCGGATTTGTATAGCATAGGTTACTGGCTTCACGACTGACGGCTGGTTACGCTACTTGTAATATTATTGGAAATATGCCAGTATTTCTTGTACTCTTTTTATTGTTGCTAGATGGGGAAGTTTATTTATTATAAATTACTATTCAAAAACCTTTGTAGGGAACCCAGTCACATTTTAAAAAAAGAAAACCAGAAAGAGAATTCAATGATCTTGAACTGTCAGAGGCATGTCAAGTCAAATCATTGTAAAACCATTAAGCTATAGGTCTACTTTTGAAGTCTAAATAATGTAAGCTTAGGCCTCGGCATCCTGTTTATTGTCAGAATAAATTTTTTTTGTTAGCTAAAATGCTGAATATGCAGTAACAAATAAAACATGGAAAAAAGGGATCATACATGAATAATGATGTAGTGTGACATTTGGAAAATTAGTAGTAAAGTCATATTGCCACCTGATAAAAACATTTTCAAAAAGTGATTTGGATGTCACGTGTCTGTTTCCTTAATTAATGTAACCAATCTGCAGGTTAGAGTTTTCGAGATTTTATTTTCAAATTTGCTGGGTTTGTTTGTTCAGCTCATCATAAGAAGGAAACGTGAAGAAGTAGAGTTGAGTACAAAATTTTGCCATTGTTACCGAAACCTTGTAAATGTAACAGTCTGCAGGTCAGAATAATTTTAAAATTTTTAAAAAAGTTTTTCTAGGATTGTTTGTCTTGTCAAAAAGAGAAACCCAGAACTTTATTAATTTTCACACATGAATTTTGTACGGTTATTGCCCCAGTCACATGAACCTGGTTAATGCTATCATCTATAGATTTGTTCTTCCGATTTCTCTTTCTGTAATTGTTTGATTTGTCATAATGAGGAATCCTATCAAATTTGCATATATAGTCAGTAGTCAGACATTACCTCTCTCACTGAAATATGGTCAGAGTTTTCTTTGGATTTTCTTTCAAACATTTTGGAAGTATTTGGCAGGCCATAAAGCCGAAACTTATCGTATGTTTTGCCATTCTTGCCATAGTGATAGTTTGGGGGACTATTCATTGCCTGCCAACAGTATGTTTTACCAGTATTTTGCAATAATGTACAATATTTGAATAGTCTGCATTGATTCATTCTGTCTACAAATAGCAAACTGTATTTTGTTTGCCAGTTTATTGGCCCAATGGTTTCAGAAAAATAGGACCAGGAATATGGCCAATTGGACAGCAAGATATATTGACTGTACTAGTACGTGAAACCCCATTTCAATTATTCCCAATTGTTTCCGAAATTGAACCAGGAGTGAAGGTGGCTCAGTGCCGTAAGCTTGGTAACCTGGAGACTCTGTGTTCGATCCGTGTGTTGACGGAAAAAGTTCATTGAGGGTTTCCAGCATGGTTTACCCATGTCCGTGGTGTGGGACGGAGGGCTTGGCAAGGGACAATGTATAGTCATATGTATGGGACGAAAAATCACATTGGTGTGCATGTAAAAAAAAAACCTTTGCAGTTGGAATTTGATTAAGAGTAGGCTGTAGCCCCGCTGTCCGGGCAAAACTTTCTTGATGGCTTACTGTATGGATTATGCGCCGTCGTCATTAGCCCAGTCGAAGCAGAACATTAGGACGTTAAACTCCATTTAAACTCCAAAATGAATCTCAATGAATTAAATTTGTACTTGACAGTTATTGGAAAAGAATCTCTACCATTCTGTGTACCAGAACACTATCTGATTAGGTGGTCATGAAACTGGCCAGCTAAACAGGAAGTCATGAGTTAGATCCAGGTTTTGGCCGAAAAAGTTCCTCCGGATTTTCCGGCAGAGTTAACCTTTGTCAGTGGTTCAGGATGTAGAACAATGTATAGTTTTCTATATTGTACAAAAAATTAAGGTTTTTTACAAGTGGGGGGGTGGGGGTGGGTGGGTGCTGGATGGTCGAATGGTTAGCGTGTACGCGCTGTATCATGAGGTCTGTTTTGATTCCTCAGTTGTACGTGACAAGGAGTAGGAGTCGCATGTCCAACCTCGTGGGTTTTCTCCGTGTCCTCCGGTTTCCTCCCACTGCTAAAGACACCTACACGCAAGTGAATTATTGAAATAAAATTGAACCATGTGTCAGTCCGAAATGACCTAGTTTGTGTGGAGTGGACCTTCAACCCCTCTCTCTCTCTCTCTCTCTCTCTCTCTCTCTTTTCTACATGTTGGTGTGCACGTAAAAGAACCCTCGACAGTTGGAATTAGATAATAAGACGAGTACATGTAGGCAGCAAATCTGATTTTTGTACAAAATTGCACTCCACACACATGTACATGTAGCACACTGCATAGCGTACATGTATAATTTATATCTATCTTGGATAGAAAAGTAGGGTATAGAACCTTGTTTCATATGATGGTGTGTTAAGTATATTATTATACAGATTAGATTGAATGTCAGTGAAATGTAAGAAGTTAACTGTATACTGGTTATTTAAACATATGGCTGTAAGTGTAACATTGAAAGCGACCATACACTGTTTTATAACCCACTGTGATGTAGCCACAGTGGTTCTTTGGTTTAAACAGTATTTATTTCGAGAATATTATACAATTTAAAGGCATAAAGAATAGGATACAATAACAAGCCAAGTAGGCTTATATTAATTTCTTTCCTTCAAATTTAATTAAATGAAATGAAATGTGGTTTAACGTCCTACTGTTCTGCTCCTATACTTGGCTAATGAAGACGAGCATACGCCATACTGTGTGCTATGAGGGAAATTTTGCCCGGGCAGCGGCACTATCGCCTACTCTTATATCGAATTCCAACTGCCAGGGGATCTTTTACGTGCATTCTAATATATACACGGGACCTCGGTTTTTCGTCTCATCCGAAGGACTATAAATTTAATTAAAATACAGCCTTATATTATGCTTATATTAATTTAATGCCTTCAAATTTAATTAAAATACAACCTTATTTTATTTCGTTACTGACATCCAGCGAACCTGGAAATTTAAGCTACGCACAGATATTAAACTAGACTTGATTTTAGGAACAATTGGTTCCGTTGGACAGATGGAAATTTCTTTATTTCAAGTTTAATTAAAATACAACCTTATTTTATTTCGTTACTGACATCCAGTGAACCTGGAAATTTAAGCCACGCGTAGATATTCAGTTAGATTTAAAGAACAGTTGGTTTGGTTGCGCACATGGAAATTCCTAATCTGTATTTACATTTATAAAGCATGTCAACCGTTTTACGTCACAAAGTTACCGAGATCAGCAACAGCTTTTTCTGACATTGTAGCCATAACTGTTATCAGAATCTAAATGAAGTGTGATGTTTTTGTTAAAGGGTTAATCCCGATATTTTTTGGACAATAAAACTGCTTAATTTTGTGTTAAAATCCCTTAAATTCCTCTAGCTAAGGGCCGAGCAACTAACTCAATATTTTTGATAAGTTTTCAAACAACTTAAACCTGTCAGTCTTCATCTGGAAATGGAGACCGGTGTCCTAAGCTGTATTATGCGGTGTCTGGATAAAACTAGACTTTTATTTTATAAAAATAATGTGTAGGTGAAATTTGCCTTTCGTTATCAAGTAGAGCACATGGGTCATTCACTATATAGACCTCTCAAGGAACGGGAATCGATTATCAGGTCACCCAACGAAAAAACTGACCCGAAATCTTAAAAGGGTTACGTGTCCGGATAAGCAGTTTTGATGTTCATATCCAAACGACTCAATATTTTGAGCTGGAATTTTGAAAGAAGATCAATACACCATTCCTCTATATTTTGGCACTTAAATTTCATATGTACTCCGACTTTTATTTTTGAATCTCTCTTGAATCGGGATAGTCCCTTTAAAGATACATTATGTATGGTTGTTCTTGCTATAATACATGTAGTTTAAAAATGAATATGCCTACATTTAAATTTTAGTCAAATTATTTTATTTCGACGAAGCTATGAATGTTTGAAGTTTTGACAAGAAACAGCGTAGTCTTGATTATCAAGTCCCATTGCGATGATAATAAATAAAGTCTTGATTTTCAATTTGATTGTTTAATGAAGATAAGGCAAATGTTGTTTAACCCACATGCATGTAATGTGGGGTTGTCGTGTTAATACATGTCTAAATAATAATGAATATGGTTTGAAGCCCGAAAACACCCGTAATACTAATAGGTAGATGTATCTCTTACATAATGTATCTTTAATTATATGTAATGTACGTGGGGTTGCATCATACGGCCTGTCATTGAGTCAACTGGCGTGGTTTCGAATCCCCGATTGTATGTGACAAGGAGTAGGGTCGCCTGTCCAACCTCGTGGGTTTTCTCCGGGTCCTCCGGTTTCCTCCCACTGCTAAAGACCCCTTCGCGGAAGTGAATTATTGAAATAAAATTAAACCATATGTTAGTCCCAAAATGACCTAGTTTGTGTCAAGTGGACGTTAAACCCCATTTCTCTCTCTCTCTCTCTATATATGTAATGTACAATGTATAGATGTTCTATTTTAGCCTTAAGCTTCCATTTGGATTAGGTATTGAGCCATTTAAGGTGAAACTTGAACCTCTTCAGGTCAGATTAGTTATTAAGCTGTCTAAGGTGAAACTTCAACCTCTTCAGGTCAAATAAGGTATTACCGTGATTAAGCTTCGGTTTCTTCAGGTAAGTCAGATTATAGATTCTAGAATACTGGCTTAAGTGTCCCAAATCCTTTCTTCAAAGTGGGATTATGAATTGTTCTATTGCACGTAACATGGCATAAATTCAAAGGTTTGATAGGAATTTACGCATTTATTAATTATAAATCAT